TTGTCTTTGACACTAAATAGTGTGGAGTTAGTAATTACTTCCTCGACTTGTCTTTGATATACCTCGGTAGGATCGTGTTTGATACATTGGAAAAGTTCTGGTTTAAGAAAATTGTTGGTTTTTGAAATAAATTCTGGGAGATCGATAGCCCTTTATCTGCACGTGTAAATATTATGTTATTTTAAGAAGCTTTGTTTTTGATAGTTTTTACTAGTGACATTTGAGAAATTTCTTAGTGTTTGTTGTTATCTATTAATTAAGAGTTTATTATATTCGCTAATACATGTTTGTTTAAATTAGAATCATTAATGTCCTTAATTGCTAATTCACGATCGATCCCTAAACCTTTTCCCAGAAATCCAACTTCATTTATAGAAAATGTTATGTCGGTGTATAAAATGTGAAACGCTGTTGTAAAATTGGTGGTCGGTATACTGTGGTCATTTTTCGGTATATATAGTAGCAGGTAGTTTGTAAATATTTCATTTGATAAAGACACGGTGTTGTCGAAACAATTCTCATGTAAAAATATATAATTTCGTGAAAATCTGAACTTTTGGTTCTTATTTATTCTGATAAATGGATTTTCATCAAGTAAAAGTCACCTCAGTTCAACCCTTTCATATTCTTTGAGAGTAGCTGATATTTTTCATCCAGTCTCTCATAGAAAAATAACGTCAAAACCAGATTAACAAGTTACAAATTTCGTTTGAGATACGAGGAGTTTACAGAAATCCATGCATATGCAAAAATATCAAAAAAAACACGAAAGAGCCTTAGGACTATGAAAAATAAAATCATCTCTTCTATCAACGAAAAATCTTAGAATCTATACATATCCAATCAATCTTAAGCCCCACTCAGCCACACCTTTCATGGCGTAGGGATGTGGCGACCCCACCGCCCAGAGGGCCACCTCTGCAAACAGCCAACCCGGTGCTTGGGGGGTAAAATCGAGCCACCCTGTCTCAGGGGGTCATAAATTCTGAGACCTGGTCCTCCAGGTTGGGGGTTGTACTGTAGGCCAGCAACCTACATATGGAAAAACTTTATACGCTGCGAATCAAACACTTTTGCCTCGGAGACGGACGGATAACCAGGATAATCGACCTAGGCTACGAAATAAGGATATTCTATTAGGCACATGGAACGTTTTAAGCTGGTTTAGACCAGGAATAGCTACAAGAGCGATCGATCAATTGGAAAGGTACCGGATGGACATTACTGCCATTCAGGAGATTAGATGGCTGGGCACAGGCAGTGTACAAATGCAGAACTCTTTAGTGTTTTGGTCAGGGTCTGAAAATATACATGAATTCGGATGTGGTTTTGTTGTAAGCAAAAAATATCGAACGGCTATTATAGCATTTAAGCCGGTGAACAACAGAATATGCAAACTCAGAGTGAAAGGAAGGTGGCACAACGTAACTATGTTCTCAGTACATGCCCCGACGAATGAAGCAGAAGATGAAAAGAAAGACGAATTCTACGAGATGTTAGAACAGGAATATCGAGCAGCTCCCAGGAACGACATAAAAATCATAATGGGGGACCTCAACGCCCAGCTAGGAAAGGAAGACCATCTGAGATGTGTAGTGGGAAGACATAGTTTACACAACGTAACAAACGATAATGGGGACAGATTGGCAGACTTCGCAATAGCAATGAACATGTCGGTTAGGAGCACTCAATTCCAAAGAAAGAACATCCATAAAATAACATGGGTATCCAACGATGGAGTAACGCAAAACCAAATTGACCACGTCCTGATAGATGGTCGTTTTTCCAGTAATATTGAAGATGTCAGAAGCATGCGGGGGGCAGATAGTGACTCAGATCATTTCTTAGTAAGATCCAAATTGAAAGAGAAACTGTCCACCAAAAGATCAAGCACGAAAGAAACGAGGAAAAAATGGGACATAAACAAATTTACAAGACTTCAAAAGGTACAAGAATATAAAGAAGCAATTAGGAACAAAATGCAAATGCTACAAACTGAAACTACTGAAGAAAATGTTGAAGTCGAATGGCAACAATTAAAGACGATAGTAAGAGAAGCAGCTAGTGAAACTATAGGAACAACAACAGGGAGTCAGAAAAATGGATGGTACGACCAAGAATGTAAAAATATATTGGATGAGAAGACTAGAAAAAGAATGACTTTTTTGGAGAACCCCACGAATGAAAACAAGGAGATATTTAATATAGCACGTGCCAAAGCCAGAAGACTACTGAGAAAGAAGAAAAAGGAACATTTGGAGGAAAGAGTAAGAAGAATAGAGGAAAACAACACGAACAACCAAGTAAGAGAATTTTATAGAGGAATAAGAATCGGAAAAACAGGACAGACGATAAGAGAACTAAATTTTGTAGAAGATAGCACCGGAAGACTACTGACGTCGGAGGATGATATAATTCAAAGATGGGGGCAATATTTCTCTGAACTGCTTAATAGACAAGTAGATGGAAGTGACAAAGACACGCACTTCTATACTGCAGAATTGGAATTGGAACCGCCTACACTAGATGACGTTAAGAAGGCTATCAACAAATTAAAGAACTACAAATCCCCAGGGCAAGACGAAATTAATGCAGAACTCGTAAAGAACGGAGGAAATGAACTACACCAAATGATACACCAGATCATATCAACTATATGGAAACGCGAAAAGATGCCAGATGAGTGGAACAGTAGCATAATAATACCAATCCATAAAAAGGGAAAGAAAGCGGACTGTCGTAACCATAGAGGAATATCATTGGTAAATACCACCTATAAGATAGTGACATTGATCCTTGTGCAGAAACTAACACCATATGCCGAGGAAATATTAGGAGATTACCAATGTGGATTCCGACCGGGGAGGTCTACGACGGATCAAATCTTTATAGTCCGCCAGATTATGGAGAAATGCTGGGAATTCAATAAAGACATACACCAAATATTCTTGGATTTCCAGCAGGCCTACGACTCAGTCAACCGGGATCAGCTATGGTATGCAATGAGGGAATTGGGAATCCCATTAAAATTAATAAGTTTAACTAGAATGTGCGTAGGGGGCTCCAAAGCAAAAGTACGAATTGGTGAGACTACGTCAGAAATATTTGAAATACATACAGGCCTGCGACAGGGAGACCCTCTATCCCCTTTGCTTTTTAACCTGGCTCTGGACTGGGCCATGAAGAAAATCTCTCCCCAAATAACACCGGGTTTCGCAACGGATGGTACGAAACTTATGTTAGCCTTTGCCGATGACATAGATGCTGTGGCACATAATACTATAGATGTTAGAGAAATATTCTCCTCTTTTGAAAATCATGCTCAAAGAATGGGATTAAGGATCAACGAAGCTAAAACTAAATATATGATAACGTCTAAGAACCCCAGGCAAAGAATACGGCAAAATATTACAATAGATAACTACAATTTTGAAGTCGTAAAAGAGTTCAAATACCTAGGAGCGACAATAACAGATGACAACAGGAACGAAAAAGAGGTAGCCGCACGTATTGCATCGGCAAATAGGGCTTTCTATGCGCTATCAGGATTCCTTAGATCCAAAATACTTACAAGAGGAACTAAGATAAAAATATATAAGACCATAATACGCCCTGTTTTATCATACGGTAGCGAAACGTGGGTCCTAAACAAAAGAGAAACCGACAAGCTTCTGGTCTTCGAAAGAAAAATACTACGAGCGATTTTTGGATCAACCAGGGATATTGTAACAGGAGAATGGAGACGTCGAAATAATAATGAACTTGAACAACTATATGGTGTGGAAAACATAGTAAGATGTATTAAATCTGGTCGACTGAGATGGGCAGGGCATGTTGTTAGGAGCAATGATCAGAGACTCTTAAATATCATATACTGTGAAAGGCCAGAAGGAAAGCGATCTGTTGGCCGACCTAGAAGGAGGTGGAAAGACGCAGTTACGGAGGACGCGAGGAAAATGGGTATAACCCTTTGGGAATTGGAAGCTCAGGATAGACAGAGCTGGAGGACAATAGTGTATGCGGCCAAGACTCACCCAGAGTTGTAGTGCCAAAAAGAAGAAGAAGCCACACCTTTCACCAATATACGAATCAGTCATACGAGACAATGTTCATGCCCTCCATTTAGCTCCGCCCCTCTCAAACAATATAGAGATACAGACTAGAATGCGAGCCAGTTTTAGTTAAGCTCCGAAGAAGCTACGAAGCGTCAGCAAGGTGTATTCATTCGCAACCGACGCAGGAGGAATCCAGAAGATTTTTAACAGTAATCTTTTGTACTTTGAAATTCTGTATTAACTAATTATTTTACTGTTTTAATAACTGTTGCCTCATTGTTAAGCCTATGTTGGCATTTTTCAATATCAAAAATAGTTTGTATGTTTGTTTTAATGAAATCTATGAATTACTTACTTAACCAAAAATTGGCAGTGTAAATTGAAACAGTAATAATAGTACAGTAATGTAACACATGGAGCAAATCCTGTCGAATTTCAAAGTTTCTTATTCTCTTATTATTTTTAATTTTTTCACAAAAAAAAACTATTTAGATAAAGCAAAAATTTTGGAAATCAATCGAGATTTGGTAATAATTCACAAAAATGGACAGCAAAAAATAGTCGAAATTATTGTCGTAATAATACGATATTCAATTGAGGTTAAATCAGAAAACATCACATATCACTATAAAAGTTAGATTAAATTCAAATTCAAAATTAGTGTGATGTCAATATAATGAAAAATTATTTTTGGAATTTTGTATTTTAGTTAACTATTTATTAATATCAAATTATTCCCAACGAAAATATCTTTGTATTTCTAAAAAATGTTAATTAAATTATTGTTAAAATTATAAAATGAGAAATTGCAATATTAAAATTAAATTAGATTATATTTTTTTTTAATTGATAATTTGAAATAAAAAATTGAAATCGCTTTACGGGCATAGGTAAATTCAACCCTGTAAACAAGTTAAAGATCAAATCTAAATAGATATATTTATTTATTATATTAGAGTACATAATATGCAAAACGTTTTATACTTTATATAAATGTAACCAATAAATAAAACGTGTTCCTTAACGATTTAAAGTGAAGTGACATATCTTCTCAGTTCTTCTTGAGTGTCGAAAATCATCACGTGGAAAGGTGATCCAGGTACTAATTCGCCAGCCCACTTAACTTCGACTCGGTAATCCCCAGGTTCAGTGGGATCATACTGAAAAATATTATTAATTCGAAATCAGCCAGAAACATTTGATAATAAATAGGATTGGTAGTAATAGCGTCGTGTTTGGATTGTTCATCTGCTTTTTTTTTTTTGATAAATATATAATATTCCAAAAAATATCTATAAAACTATTTCACTTTTTTTGAGATAATATTTTTAAATGCGGGGTAGACGCTGGGATAATGTTAGATGCGAAACAGTATTTTTTTTAAGGGTATTAACTTAAAAACAGCATAAAAAATGTTTTTAGTTTAATCCAAAACAACAGCAATATTTTTTTAATGTTAAAAGTAGATGCCGTTTATGCCATTCCATTTTTTTCCGAAATAGTAATTTTGGCAAAATAAGATGATAAAACGCAAAAAATGTGTTAAATATTGAAATATTAAAATATTTGAAAAATGGACGCCATGGTCACAACACAATTTTCTCTATCTCTATCCATTTTCCATAGACTCTTGAGTTTGGGGAACCCTGTATAGAGGGTGGTCCGAATAATAATGAGAATCTTTAACAGCGTATTCAGCAAATAAAAATATATAAAAGTGTGTTTAAATTTTGCAAAACGATTTTCCTATTTTTCAAAAATCTCTTCTATGTTTTGCTTTTTAAACTTATTTGGTGTTATTGCCACTTAATTTATTGAAATAATACAAAAAATGATACACCAATACGCAATTTTATTAACAAATTTAGGGACCCTCATCAATTTTGAACAAAAATGGTCTCTTCAGTTTTTTGGCTAAAAGGAAATGTTTTCGAGAAAAAATATTCTTCGAACCATTTTTTTTATTTATTAAATTAATTAAAACGGTATCACGAATGCTACTGGTTAAATAAAGACAATTTTATCTATGCTATACCATTGACAAGTTGCGAGGACGCCCTTACCTTGCATAGTATTGTACGGTCTTTTTGACTTTCCCGTTGCATTTCAACTCTAAAAGCACCTTTCGGACCCCTCACCCTGACAGTCAGTTGACCCGCTCCTGCGCCTCTGGTATCGCAAATAAACCTAGACTGGAAAGTCGCCAACACGCCATGCTCGATACCGGGTCCGTATACACGCACCTACAAAAAAGGGGCGGATTACGATCACTGGCATCAAACGTCGATGATTGGGAGCATACTTTACTGGCGTCAGGGGTGCCAGCAACGCGCAACAGAAATGGCGATCCTTGCACGTGCTGTCCGGCATATTTAATAGTGAGATTGTGTCTACCAGCTTCTTGAGGTTTAACATTTAATGTGAACGTTCCGTCGCCGTGATCGTATAATTCACAATAAGCAACTTTGCGTGGTCCCGAACAGTGTGCCGTTAGCTCACCGGGACCTGCTCTCCTAGTGTCGATCCAAGAACGAATTTCCCTGCCGACAACCCCTTGGCGTAATCCTTCGCCCGAACATAGTACCTGAAAGATATTAATAATATCTTTTTTGTATTAACTATGACAAAATATAACAAGATTGCTTTCGAAAATTCGTCGGTGAGCGGGGCAAGTTCGTAGCAAATAGCGCGAATCAGCTTTTTATTTTAAAAAGAAGGCGCTTCGCGGATTCTTATTCTAGAGGGACGCATTGTTTTTCTATCGTGCTCATGAGGACTACTGTGGAACTTCCGCAAAATCGATGTAATTTGATTGTGAATACACCCTGTATAAAGTGTCCTTCATATCTCGTCGAACTTCAAAGTTACGGCACACTTCGGTAAATATTAAAATTTTTACTGGTAATTGCAATTTAAAATTATATTTATTCAAATATCTTCCGACCCCCGTATTATAGACGAAACCGTAAACTTTCTCTCTCGGCACAGTTTACGATACTGTACATATCAAATTATCACATCTTTAAAAGTTTTTCATGTATCGCCAATAATTCACCCACCAAAGCGGAAATTTCTAGGACCTATTAGATTTTCTTGCCCACAAATGACGTACCCTGTATATAATTCCAACAATGTTCGAAATAGGGGACATAGCCCTGGATCTCCTTCGTTTCCTGGTATCCGAATTTTTCCAATGGAGTAAATGGTTTTCAAGAAACTACTTATATTCTGAAACCATGCAATACGTGCAAATATTTTCATTTGTGACAGCGTATGTGATAGACGAAAACCGTAAATACAAAAATTGTAACTCTTGATGCGGTTTACAATATTGTTTAAACCAGTTAGCCATATTTTCTACAAATTTTGATTTGCGGCTAATAATTTACTCTGGAAAACAACAGTTTTCAGGGTCATTTATATTTTTGTTCATAATTGATTAACCCTGTATATAATCAAAAAAAGGCTTGAAATAAAAGTTATAGTTAACAGTTTCTGAGAAACTAATTTTTTTCAGGAAACCAGAATATCCCAAAAAAAAGTTTAAATTTTTGTTTAAATACTCGCGACAGTTGCACGGTGCACGGTGCACACGGTTTCAACAACTTAAACGTGGGTGTGGACTTCTACCTCTGTGATAAATTTTAAGCCAGTAGCTGCAAATTTAAGACAATTGCTCTATTTCTAATTATAGCACGGAATATCTTAAACACCATGTACAACAGGTAAAAACGTAAAATACAAAAGTTTTAGCTGTAAATATGGGCTATAGGACCATATGAAAGAAACTGACAACTGAAGCACAGCCTTCTAGTTATCTCCAATTACCATGTTAAGGGGACCCCAATTTTCAGTTTTTGGCGAAAACCGGACATATCAGATACATTCATGAAAATTATCAAGAATAAAGATTCGTAGGATTGGATCTAGTAGATCTTCTGCAGGATATTTTTTTCTGATCGCCTAAACGGTTTTCTAGAAATGATTTTTTTCTTGGACCCTTGCAAACGAAGTTTTTAATTTTTAAAAAACCTTCCCGACCCCCCGCCCCTCCCTCACCCAATTTCAATAGGTTCCGTTAGTGGACCAAAAACTATTTGATGGCCAAATTGGAAGTTGATAGCTGCAAATTTCGGACACTTATCGTGTTGCATAGCAAAAAATACTAACGTTTTACACTCGGACAACCAGATACTGATAGAGCCCTAATTTGAAAAAGAAACATATACATATAAACTCAGCATAATGTGTACATATAATAAGAACGAAAACTAATTCAGTAGGACAAAGGAAAAGTAATAGGAAAAAAATGTATAGCGGATTTACAGGGGAGGTATGACGAGTAGAGTGGAATAGTTTATTGCTCAAGTAAAAATTGTGACTTAATTAAATGAGACGGCGAAAATTCACAAGCATTAAATGTATTTAGAATAAATGCTACATTATAAGCGATGGATTTTTTAAAACCCTCTTTATGATGTCAAGGAACCGTCAAAGTAACCCTCTCTACGTAAATTTAAATCATGCAGTTCTGGAAAAAAATTTGTTGCTCGGGAAACGCGGTGTTTTATATTTTATGATTTTATGCACAATGCCAAACAACAAAGGGGTTTATTCGTCAAAGTCTCATGGCGTTAAATATTTCTTGCTCTAACAAATCTTAAATTTTGTAATTTTTGCTAAGCTTTAGCTTAGATCTAATATGCACATACTATAATTATCGGATGTTTAAAATCTATTCATCATCCACAATATTTTTAAAACGGTAATATTTCCGGTTATAGAGGAAGTTACACATTGTGACAGAGTCCGGCCCTGGCTACGAAAAAAAAATCCGGAACGTTCAATAATCATCTCGAGAAAACTCTGCGATCTATGACAGCGAAACACGGTCGAACAGGTCTCATATATATAATATAATATGAGATGTAAAGATGTATATCATATAATACATAAATGTATAAGTAATGTGATGCATAGTGAATAGTGTTGTGTATATAGTTTTAGCTCTTCTTGACTTTTATTCTGGAGAGAATAAAATCTCAGTTCAGTTCAATTTGATTGTTGTATTTGACGAACCTGAAGGATTTTAATTTTAAAAACGTAACAGTATTTATAAGGAATAGAATATTATGTTGAAATGAATATTAAATAGAATATGTATCACTTTTTTAAATTTGTTAAAAATAGTCAAAGGCAGGTCCGCTATGATTTCCAGTTATAATTTTAAACAATTTTCAAGTTATGTTGGAACAAACGATGTTCAGATTTTCACAAATTCTAGTGTATATGATAGCAGTTTCGGCAACACCGTGCCTGCACCAAATATCAAATTTTCATAATTATTAAACTACAAGTTAATGAAAAAAAAAATTGAAAAACTGCAAATCCTGCAAAAGTTCTTCTGAACCAAGAGTTTTGCTTTAATGCAAAACATGATTTGACGTTTCATTGAATACGAGTTTGATCTGACAGTGATAAGTGCAAAAAATTCTAGATATTTTCATGCAATTATTTTTGCTGTTAAATTTAGTTTGATCGACGAAAAAATGCTTGCTGAGTGCAAAACGTGCGATCAGCAGCAGCAAATTTCGTAGAGCTAAAACTAAAATACTCTGCAGTAATGTTGAAACTGAGTTTTTAAGATTTGTTAGATGTTTTGAACGTACTACCTCTGTTTACTGACTGATAAAAAAAACTATCAAACTAACCAAAACTATCAGTATTTTAAACTTTCTGAACCTACTGATTTATTTTTTTATAGGAGTTCATGTTAACGCCAGAGGTGAAGCTTCAACCGTTAACACATAATACGTTTTGAAGTTTTTTGTAAATAAATGTAAAAGTACGGTCCCATGAATTCTTGACCTGATACCGTATACTTGATCTGAGAGCGATAGTGGACGGAAGAAGTGACATGTGCGCCTTCAGAGCGTAGAAATAACGTTCAACGTTCACAACTCTGCGATTTACCTTTGAACCGACATGTATAATTAAATTAATGTTATTCATTCCTATTAACGACCTATGTGATAAAAACTTACCTTCGACGCATCTGCGCGTCCCTTTATTTCAACCATCAGCGGACATCCTTTGATGGGTCTACCCGCCCACAGTACCGAGAGCAAATAACTTCCTGGAGTATCAGCAGTATAAGACGCTTTCCATATTTTTTCACCGGCTACACTCATCATCACAGGCACGGGGATGTTTGAGTCAGCCGCGTACAGCGTAACTTCAGGATTACCTGCGCATTTTGATAGATTCGTCACATTGTTTTTGGATATTGTACGATGTATAATTTACCGGAACTCGCTTTGGAGCCATCGATTGTAAAAATGGCGGGTTCTCCGGAGTTTGCATGCGCCAATCCTTTACCGGTCAGTACGACCTGGTCACTCGAGCCAATAACGCTCCTAGGTGAGTCCGAAAGGGGCGTATTCGCGAACAATATTTCAAAACTGTGTTCACCGGCATTCATACCTTCACCTGCAATATACAATTCTAATGCACAAAGCTTATCTTGTCTTCGTTAGTTTAAAAATAATGTGACGAACGACCAAAAACACTGAAAAAATGTCTCAATACAAATTCCGCTTTTCGAAAAACAACTCGGAATATTCGGAAAACAACTCGGTCTATACAAGCGAAACGCAGTTAAATAGAGTGTGCAGAGTGAATAGTTGTATATAGTTTTAGTTCTTAGTGAGAATAATTGATTATAAGGTCTTAGCGGAGTGACGATTTTAGTGGTTTAAAAAATGTAACAATAACATTGACCTTGTTTTATATCAGTGAAGTAAGAACAATTTTTTTTATACTGAACCTACTACACTTTCATCTTAACATTTGTTTCCATTGATATTTTCGATATATTATAAAACGCGTTACTGAATGGTATATAAAATTTAAATTTCGATTAATGTTAAGCTGAAAATTACAAAATAAACATGTGTCCTAAAATGTATGGCTTTTCATGGGGAACAACCTTCCTCCTCCTTGTTTTAGAACAGAGTGTGTAATAGTATATAATAGTATAATTATTATACAGGAAAACCATTTTTTTGTTACACAACATAAAAAAAGGTAGCGGATGAGGCCTTGCCTCGAAAAAAAATAAATATTGGTTGCAGTTGGTTAAAAAGGAGTAAAAAAAGCAGGTGCGTATCGAATATCATAGTCCCCTATTTTCTCTACATTACTAAAAGCTTATAGACACAAAGTTGTAGGTCAGGTTTAAGGATGAATTTCTACAAAGTTAACAAGGTCGTTTTTTTATTGTTTTATGATGCCTATTATAATTATGTTTTATGGTAAACTTGTGAATTTGTTAGAGAGCAATTTGATATCAAAGAAATTGCCAGTCTAACACTAGTAGTACAAATAAAAAACTAAACTAATACTAATACTAAACGTACCTGTCAGATCAAATCGAATTCGCGGCCCACTTTTGTCTGCAGCAATCTTTTTCCCGCCGATTTTACATTCCAGCGTTCCAGGACCGGCGTTCGAAATATCAAAGGCCAATTTGACGGGCAACTTAATTCGTCCAGCCTCGTCCAAAAATTGATTCCAACCACCGATCACACGAACCGCGTCTGGATCGACAATATTCGGCCTGAACGGAGAGCCCGGAAGCTGAAATATTGCCGTCATCATCTTCATTCTATCTCATAACTTATAAACTAGGGCTCACATCATTTGGACCGATGCTGATTATGATGTCGTACGTTCCAACCCATTTAGGAACGTAGGACACGTGGTACTCCCCTGGTTTTGGGCTCTGAATGTGGGCGTCTACGTTCCCTTCGGCAGCTTCGATTACAATTCTAGGCTGGATAACACTGGTTACTATAAAGGAGGATTTTTCACCGACCCTTCCCATTTCTAGTCCCTTTCCGACAGCTCTTGGTGGCGGTGTAGGACCAACGGGACCCACGCCCAAAGCTAGAGGCGAGCCTTTTACTTGCACGCCACCGTATGCAACGGAAACTTGATATAAACCGGCCGAAGTAGGAGCGAAACTAATTTCTCTTAAGTACTCTTCGAGGGATGTCTGTTCTATTGTTAAAGGTTGACCGATGGGATTGGTTGCTTGGACGTCTAGGTCTGCCAGACCGCAGTCTTTTGTTAAAACTGCAAAAGCGAATTTTTTTAATAGACCCGACTTTAACTTTGAAACGGTAATACATGTCCATATAAAGTTTTTTGTTTTTTTTTTTTTGTTGTTTATGGAAATTAAACGCATCCTGTACAAGAAGATATGGAGCGAAAAGAGAGGAAGGACATTTTACAAATCTGTATGAATTTGTAGGTGGGGAGTAATTTTTTCCGTAGTGTCTTCGCATTATCAAAAAACAAAAACGATTTTCTATAATCTATTAAGTGGAATCATTTTTGCCATTTTTAATATTAATTGCGGTTAAAGACGTAAAAAAAATCCATCATAATCCTGTGACAATGTTAAATTTCACATTAAGTTTATAATATTTTTCTACACTCATTACAATGCCTTTAATTATTGGAATCTTACTTCAGTTCCGCTAGAGAGAGTTAGTGCTATTATTGAATTTCCCGCGTTTTTTAACGATCTTGCACGCAAAACCGGCACAACCCAGTGAGACTGTTATCACCGCAGAGTACGTAATGTTGGTAAAAAGCGCGAAGAAGACTCCTTATGAAGTCGTAGAGATGACTAGTAACTACTAGCTAGTAACTCAAACTTCTTTTAACTTTCATTGGGGCAGTTCAGGCGATATTGTTAAAATAAATGACGCGTTTGTTTTCAAAGTAGAAAAAGATGCTCGTGACACATTGTTCTATAAAACATCTTTTAGTGAAACTTGCAATTTAACAAGTTTATAAAGGTACCTTTTCATTGCTTTATTAATTTTCACTTTGGGTTTTTTAAAGTTACGACTATGTACCTATCTCGCAAATGAACCTGCTGTATTATATTTTTATATATATTTTTATAATAAAATGATGGTAAAGCTTTGATCTACTGTTCTATTGAGACTTTTTTGATCAAAATTTGCACTTTATTCGTGAAATTTATGTGTGCAAAAAATCAATATTTAAAAACGTTCAAAAAACAACACACGAAAAATATATTTTGTTTTAAAAAGAGAAAAATACAAATCAATATGTAATTATAAAGACATATCACTATAAATTTTGTAATAAGTAAGAGAGTTGATATGATTTATCTCAATATTTCAGTTTTCAGTTCCCTAAATCACTGATTTTCTCGGCACTATTATTTTGTGGATGTGCCCACCAATGAGCGACATATGTTTTCCGTTGCGAGGATATATTGTCAGCCTACCTCTAAAAATGACCTTTTCTCCAACGTTTCCTTGACAAGTGGGAATGTCGACGATCCTTACATTATCGGGATCATACGCTTGACAAATAAAGGGACTTTCCTCCAACGGCACGGCCTGATGCAAAACTTCAATTTTGTGCGGGCCTATGTCTTTGGCCGTGAATTCTGCTTGAAGTTTGCCCGTTTTCGTCTGATAGCACCTAACCGGTACTGCTGATCCGTTAGGTCCGCTAACCACCACGTCGAATTCTCTAGCAGACCGTCCCAGAGTGACCATGTGAAAAGCAGTCACTTTTCCAACCCTAGCCTGATACAAACCCAATCCACCTGCCCATGGCAAACTGCCGACATTTTTAACGGGTATTTCGATTATTTCCGGTCTCGGTACCCCGTTGTAAAATAGTTTGATTTTGTGAGGAGCCGCTAATTCTGGATGGAAAACCAACTCCGACATGTTAGGATTCAGCAGATTTTGCCTGATGGTGTGCGGTACTTCAATCGAGGCAACCCGTATCGTAGCCGTCAATTTTCCGGGTCCTGCTTTATTTAAGTTAACAGCCAGGACGGCCGGCCGATGACACGCCGCCTCTGGAATGTCCAGTACGTCGATTTGCGATGTGTCGAACACGCGTATCGTGCGAGAGGATACAAGTCTACAAAAGAATTTCGTGTTGTATTTGTTTTTGAGCTGCTACTTTTTGTTTTGTTTCCAGGGGCCAATAGTTTAATTTGTACACTAGTGTAACAAATATTTATTTTGTTGCGAGTTATAAAATACTTGCTTTTTTTCACTGTGTGAAAGGATATATTTAAATAGAAATGCCTCTTCCTAAAAGAGCCTTTCTATTTTTTATCAAACAGATCCGTGTTACCGTTTCAGAATAAAACACCGTGGAAAATTTTGTGTTTCTATGAAAACATAACAAACATAATATTTCTAAAAACAGGAAAAAAAGTTGTTTTATATGGGAGAACCTGTACATTTTTGAATAAATGAAAAGAACTTAAAATGACACGAGTGTTTTTCGTTGATTTTGGACAGGGGTTCCTGAGAAAATGTGACCTAGTAAAATAGTACCACACCTGTTATAGAGGGGAAGGGACCATTCTTTTCAGCCAAGGCCGTATTTAAGATGTTATTCGAAGAGAACTATGCCTTGCGGACTGTTGTATTTTCAGCGTAGGGAAATTTTTTTTGATTAAACTATTACATTAATTCATATTAGTGTGCTTTTTATAAATCTTCCTAAAAGAGTCTCTACTTGAGGCAGCTCGATTTCAAGTTGAATTTGCCGATATGATCACATTGCAAAAGCTTAAACTGATTTCCAATTAAGGGTTTAACATAATGACTCTATAGTATTTTCCTAGGAAAGCAATGCAAAATCTTATGTAGATAATTGATTTGATATTGATTTATAATGGATATTTTGGATGGGGTTGGTGAAATCGGAGTGTGCTGTATGTATGCTGTTACCATATACATTTTATTACAATTTATTTCATACCAAATACTAACATGATTCAATTTTGTTAGTCACTTGTGATGTCCAGCGACGAAGAAGTTGAGATTGTGGTCCATGACGTAATAATCGTTGATGATAGACATCATCAACGATTATGGATCAAAGACTCGGAGAAATTTGCCGGTTGCTGCCAAAATTGTATTTTTAAATGTGTTTCTGTTTCTGAAATGGACATCTGGAGAAAGTGGAGCCATAAAATTGACGTCCGAGATGACTAAAACACCTTACGTGACATAGTTGTGAATGGTGTCCAAGAAAGAAAAACGCGGAAAGATCGTGAGATCCCAAAAAGTCTACATGCCGGAATAGTGAGCCTGATATATGATGCGCATCAGAAGAATATTGTTTTAACAATTTTCAAACTTTACATGAAGAGTTGCGTAGTGTTTTGATCATTGATTGTTGCCAAGAGACTTTGCGTGCGTTCATACGAAGAATTGGTTTGATTACAAAACTATCAAGTTTTGTAATCAAACAAGTTTTGATGTAATCAAGAAGAATTTCGGAATGGAGGATAAGAGATTTGAGGAAAATCCCAGAAATTTGTACAAAAAACGTCCCCACCAGATATTTAGATGAGACCTGGTTTGATAGCCACGATACCGTCAAGAAAGGATGATAACAGCAGAAAATGTCCGTTGGATGTGGCAATTAGATGCGGGCTCCGAAGCTGGTTGGAACTTTACGAAAATTCCCGTTGCTTTACAGATAAAACGACAAGTTGACAACTACCAGTAGCCACTTGTTATCTAAACTATGTATTTCAAATAGGGTTCGAGCAAAATATCAAGTGTGATATATTTTTGAAAAGGTAATTTTAAGGTACTTTCCGTTATTCAAAAATATAAAGAGTGAAAAAATCTGAGTTAATGTTGAAAATTTTTATACATGCAATATTACGTAAAAAGTTGCTTTGGAAATGTTTTCGTAGAAGAAAAAGAAATATTTCCATAGCAAAAAACGCATTTTTTTCAATGCAAGTTTGTCAAAAGCACCCTCTATAACTCGATAATAGATTGCATTTTTTATGAAAAATAAGGTCTAAAAATGAGCATCAGTTATCGTCCACCTGGTTTGTAAAAAGTTTTCCTTTAAAAGTGTCCAATTTGGACGTCCTGCAAGCACTACAGAGGGACATATCAAACACTTATGTCGATTCGGCATAGATTTTCATCGCAAAATCTTCCACAGTTTTATGCAATCTTGCAAATTTCAAACAATACATTTTTCATTCACTGGTTATTAGAATAGCCTTTCATAGAACTGTCGCCATGGTTTCAAGTTAGCGATGGCGATAGAGGATAGCCAATTTGGGATAAAGTAAACACTTACTCCGATTCTTTGTACATGTTGACTTTATAATTTCCCGTTTGGGTTAAAGCAAATTCGGCTTTGTAATTGCTAACCACATATTTAACGTTTAGATTTGCAGGATCCTTAATTTCCAGTCGATAATTTATAGTTGGCAGGTCGACGGAGTATAAAGCGCCGATTTGAATGTATTGTGTTGCCTCGTTCTAAAAAAATCTTCATTTAATTACTGCGACCCAAGAAAACAGAGAGTACTACAAGATAATGTCACTACAAGATTCAATTGTCAAAACACTTCGTTGTTATCCTGAAATGCAAATATGTGAATTTTGAAATTTAGAAAAATAAATTTATATAAAATATAATCCAAAAAACAAATATTTTTTTACATTTTATTTATAGGCAGAGAAAAAGTATGTTTCGGCACCTATATAACGATTCTTTTCATTTTTTGGGACCGTTGAAATAAATAAGTTAAAACTGTTGGCAACATTATAATGAGATCATCTAATTTACAGCCAAACATTGGTGGTGAAGAGGAACCATGAAGTCTTCTGAATATCTATGGCATCATTTGATGAAACGGTTAATATTTGTGAGGTAAAATAAATCGGATTGACACTGTTAAAAGAGGAAAATAGGAACAACTATATTCCACGTGAAAGTCCATAGCACTAAGATCTGTTCAAAGATACTTATAGAGAAATAATTTATATTGAAAGCATCATGCCGTGGAGCACTGCAGACAGCTAAATCGTTTCGATGCAAGAGTGTAAGAAATCGCCAAGAGACCTTAACATTGTTGTTGAGGCGACCTTCAAGTATTGGAAGAGAAACGTTAGCAAAAGGATCACAGACCTACCCTTCAAAAATTATATGACTCTAGAGAGCTGAATGTGATGAGAGATGGATATACATAGGAGACATATTAGACAGTGAGTCATACTTGAACTTACCACAGTACAGTGGAAGGGACTACCTATTACGGAAATATCGTTAAACGTAATATTGACGAAATGTTCTTCCGCAGTCAAGGGTACAAAAGTGACGTTGTATAACCCTCTCGCGCATGCTACCACTTCCGCTTTAATCGTGGCTTGTTGAGTCGAAACGACCAATTCAAGCGTCCCTTCTCCGGCTTGGGCCGCGTCGACACTAAAAGTTACCGCCTTTCCAATTTCGGCGGGGCCGAATTCCTTGACGTTGAGGTCTCCGACATTCCGATTAACGTCGTTTTTACGGCCCGAAGGTCCGGTCACTATCACTTTGTTTACGTCGTATACGTTGCAGCTGAAGGGTGATCCGATAACGTGTTGGTCATTAATCAAAATTGCCACCGAATGTCTGCCGACCATTTCCGGGACGAAGACGGCGGTGTGAACATCACCGGTAGCTGATAATTTTACCGGCAAAATTTTGCCTGTGGGTGCAGTCACCACAACCTGCAGCTGCCCAGCTAGGAAAATATGGTTCATATTTTAAAATATATCAAGCAAGATTTTGTTCTATAACATTTTTCGATACTTGTACACTATATACTGTGACCCTGCTAGTTAAACACCAGAACAAAACTAATTTTAATTTAAATAGGCAATTTAAAAAACTGATTAATTTGGGCCATGAAAAATGTGTACCATGTGAAGTTTAAAAAGTTCACACACGCTGCGACCTTAAAAGTCCATGTAACAGTTTTTAATTGTTGAACTTCTGTCAAAACTTAAGAAAGGGTTCAGTGTCGTGATCCTGATATTTGAAAACTTAAACAACTTAACAACTTAAAAAATATAATTTATACTATAGTTATAATATAGCTACTGCACATTTTTTTGATGACTGAAATTAATCTAAAGTTGACTTTTTTTGTGTCTTCCCATTTTTGTACATGCAAGAATATATTAAAAGAGATATATTATATTTCACAGGACAAATTAATACCAAATAATAAATAAACTGTTAGTTGTTGGGTACATTTTTGCAAAACAACACGAATACATTCACTGACACGAAAACATCCGATTGCTCCCAAACCCGTGTGGCAATATCCCGGAAATGTCCGAAGTGGCTCGGATCCGTGGGAAACGAAACTGACATGATAAAATGACACTTTCAGCAAGCTAGATTGGTATATTATTGGTTATTTTACAGAGATTACATGTTGTTTTGCGAAACTGTGCAATGTGCAAAACGTTTGGTATAACTTTTTAAGTCACTCGTTTATTGAACTTGTGACTCAAGGGCCGTTTATCACACTTATTACTTAATACACTATTTATGTATAGTGTGATTTTGGCAACACTCATTATTTTACTAGATAGACACAAATTTGAATTTTTGAGTTGAACAGCAGTTTGACATATTTCGATTTAGGTCACTTTCAATTAGTAGGCACTGTCCAGTTTGACATGCAATGACATCATTATATTGAGTTATTGAATATTTCCCTAATTCTCTCTCCAAATTCATCAGCATTTTAGGTTTATGTTTGGCCACTTTCATTCTTAAGTCCCAGTCTGAATGTCTCAAAAATGTTCGAGCATAATATCGAGCACCAAAAGCACCAAACTTTCAACAATAAATAAAATTGACTACGACTCCCAATAATTAACTCCAAACTAATATTAACATTAACTAACTAATGTCAAAAATTATTAACGGTGAAGTTTGTTCTATTGTGAACATCAAATCGCGAAACTTAGTGAAATTTCTTAAAAATAATTGTAAAATTAACGTAGAATCGACCTAGATTTACCTGTGACTCCTTCAATTTTCACTTCCGCCGGAGCGTCAACAGACGCCAACTGCACTCCTGAACCCGATACGGGTACCCTAGGTTGAATGTTTCCCGGATTCACCTTGCAACTGAACGGAGATCCAGGTACGGGCTGTCCATTAAACCTAACGCGAAATTTCACTTGTGCATACTCCGATAAATTGGTTAAGGCTCTCGCTGCCCGTTGATAAGCTATTATCTTGATTCGGGTTTAAAGGCCGTCGTCGATTGGAATTACTTCCTAACGTTTCGCTAGCACGAGTGGCGAGCTTCTTCAGAGGTCCTTCCATCTCCGATGTTCAGTCTACGTCCAACATCGGAGATGGAAGGACCTCTGAAGAAGCTCGCCACTCGTGCTAGCGAAACGTTAGGAAGTAATTCCAATCGACGACGGCCTTTAAACCCGAATCAAGATAATACCCTGTGCATACTCCGTTATTCTCCCAAATATATTTTACCTGACACTCAATGTATGGGTGGCTGCCTCAGTAGGTTTAAAGTTGACTTTAAATCTGGCGTTCCCTTCGCTTTGGACAAAATTGGGCACGTTTCTCCCCCCTACTGCGACTATGATTTCCAAATTGCCGGCACCCGCTTGCGAGGCATTTATGCTGAACGAAACCGGTTTACCAACTACTCCATCAGTGATGTCGGTGACGGTCACTCTACTGGCGTCGTAAGCTTTCACGAGGAAAGGACTGCCTTCTATGTGACCACCTGGTAAACGCACTTCGACACTGTGATCACCCACGTCGATCGGAGTGAAGCATACTTCGAATTTTCCAATAGCATCAAGTTGCGGATTGATCTAGAATACAATACAAATTTAGTGTTGAATAGAACATGCGTACATTTTCATGGTGCGTTTTCGACATCTATACCGTTTCGAAAAAATTAAAAAATTTCTTCAATTGTGGACAATTTAATTCGTTTTCATTTTAGCAAGTTCCTCAATTTTTTTTATAGAAAATTGCCATCCAAATCGTTTTTATAAAAAAATTGATTTGGTCTCTCCATTAGAACTTTCATGGATGATATACAGAACAAGTTTAGCAGTTACATTTCCAATACTTATTTTGCTGATTATTAAGGCGTTTTGTGGAGGAACGTGTTCCTACGAGAGATGTCAAGTTTCTGTGTTTATTTTGTTTAACGGTAGACTTGAGAAGTGGGTCTCTGGTAGGTACCTTTCCGTCATATCTGGTTCACAGCTTTATTGTCACCGAATATTGTATCATGATGTAACAGTGAAACTGGATTGTTAATTTTGTACTTTATTCTTTCGCATCTTAGGAAATATGAGAAGAGAGAAGATATTTTTTGTCATGGTTCGACTAGTTTTGCCTTTTGCATATTGAAAAATTTTAATGATTACTAGAAGGTTGTCTCTACATCTGGTAAGAGCGAAAGTGATTTGGTCTCCAAAAAATTTCAAAATTTTCAAGAACTGTGATAAAATTGGAGCCAAAACAATAAATCTGATTATCAGGTAGAATTAAAAATAAAAACCAACACAATTGCACACGGTTTTGGTTCGTTCCGTTTACGGTTATGGACAAAGTACATATAAGCATTCAAACTCACTTGTGTAGCCAGTAACCTTCGTGAAGGACCCAGAACCTCAACGATGGGCGCTCTTGGACTTTCGACAACGAAAGTGCAAGGTTTTCCAACGGACACCTTGTCCAATACTTCTGGACCTATGATTCTCGCGGCGGGTGCGACATTGCACTTAAACGGACTACCGGGAACGTCTTGACCATTAAATCTCAAATCCACTGAATAAATAGTCGCTTCTCTGGGAGTGAAAGAAATAGCATAAGTGTGCGGACCTTGCGCTTGAGCAGTCGTAGGTACCAGTCCCCCGTTGACCGTGACTTCTAGGTTTCCTGGACCGGCTTGACTTGTTTCGACTAAGAACGTTACAGGTTTACCAACTACACCGTTTGGTGCTTCCTTGACATTGATTGCTTTAACGTCGTAAACTTTTGCTGCGTATGGGCTACCAGCAGTTGGCACACCACATACTAATACACTGATGCGATGCTCGCCCACAACTCTGGGTACGAATTCCGCTTGAAACTGATCGTTGCCGAGAGAGTGTACTTGGGTTGGTACTGCCTGCCCTGCCGGTCCTGAAATGTTCTTTCTATCAAAACTACGAGGGTCGCTCCCTAATGATAATTGCTTGAAAATTCGACTGTAGTTTGGGTTAGCGTAAATATCAAGTACTGAAATTTGCATTGAATTGAACTCTAACATATACTGATTAATAGCGTATAAATATTTATATCTCGATTCGGGAAAGTACTCATCACATAACAAAATTTCATTTATTTAAATTTTAAGGATTATCTAAAATCACAAGTAATAGAGGTTTTACTGAAAATTTCACACTGAATTAATTTTACCTTCAACATTGACTTCAATATCTTCCAATCTTCCAGGATGGTTTATCAAAACGGTTGTAGGTCGATTTACCGGCCCTGGACCAGGCAAAGTGACGCTAGGTCCGGTTCCACTTCCTCCCACATTTACGATTAACGGACACCCTTCTACCTATTTTTTTGTTAAAGTTATAAATAAATCAATTAATCCACAACAAACAGAAAACTACACTATACTTATTATTTCAATAACCGTGAGGGCTCTATACAAGGTGTTGTTTTATATTATGCACCTTACCTAAAGAGTTAATTATAAGACAAAAAACAATTAAATATAAAAAAAAGTTTGCTTTTCTTCTGTATTATCACTTTCTTCCGTATGACTCTCACAAACACAAGTAAACACTCATATGTGACTTTGTCTATTTAATAAGAATTTTTTCCCTGATTTCAAACATATATACCATCATATTTGATATTTAGTTGTTCTACTAAAAATTGATTTCAAAACTGCACCGAAAAGTCTAAGGTGACTTTATTATCATACTTATAATAATTATTATGATTCAACTCGACACACGCAAAGAAAAGAGAGAGAAAAGAGTATTATTATTTATTTATTTATTTTTGAGTGATTTCTTTGTTTTGTTAGTACCAAAAGATAATGGAGATAAAACCCTATTTCTTATTAAAGGAACTCTCTACACAAAAGCACTCGATATTTAATATAATTGACTTTTAAATTTCAATGTTGTAATTTTCGTGTTTCGTATAAACCTGGCAAAATTGGGCATTTATTGTGGCCAAAACAAAATCCGGTTTTCAAAAAACAATTAAAAACGCGTATATTAAATATTTTTTATTCATTTTTCATTAATTCATATTTTAGTATATTTCATGCATAACACAATAAGCTAAATTTGTTATAGTAAAGCATATTGCTCGAAGCTCTCATTTTGATGTTAATTTCTGCGACACGGAAGCTGTAAATGCGCTCCAAATAGCAGAAAATGAATCTGTGTTTTATTTAGTGTCCCATTTTAATTTTAGCGCTGAAAAAACTGAAAATCTTTTGTGGTTCATCTTATAATTTCGGGGCAGAAATCTATTGGAGGTTAACAAAACCCATTAAAAGAAGTAAATGATTCAGATAGCAGACCTGTGGTAAAGGTTTATATTGAAAGGAAAATATTAAGTGGATACGAATGATCGGCATTCTTAAGATATAGGTTGGCAGTCATTCATAGCCTACTGAATTCTAGGAGAACAAGTGATCGCAACGTTCATGAGAATCAATCATCGTCTTCAAAAGTCTCCAAATCTTTTCAGCGTTAAAAGCGAGGATTTATGAAGTTCACCATTAAACATTAAACAAGTTAGTATGATTTTACCTGATTTATTTGACTTTCCGGAAAATAATATTTACAATCGGGTCCATTTGCTTATTAACTGAAACATTCTAAAAATGTTTTATGTAGGGCAAATATCCAAACAAATATATTAAAACGGTATTTTTATTTTTATTATTGTTGGTTCTTTCAGCACAATGAAAGGTGTAACCAGATTTTGCTTCCTCTCAATGGTAGGGAGGTGTACTATTAACCAATTGATCAACTTAAAAAATATAGAGCGTGAATTAAATTAAATTAAATTTTACAATAAATTACTTACAAGGTCACGCTCATCAATAGACGCTTCAGAGGCAACAACAAGAGTTTTTAAGTGTACCCCAAAATGGATTGGAACATTTAATTGAAACATTAATAACAATTTGCAAAATAAATTTACCAAATTTTGCAAAATCGTGGTATAAGTGAAATACGCTCACACGACTTTAGGAAAATTCAACGGTTGCAAAATTAATATGTAGATTAAAAAAATCTTATTTTGGAATTTTGTGTATAAAGTATTAATTGGCAAACTTATATTGACTGATCCTAATAGCAATGCAATTTCATGCCGAAGTACACAGGGTAGATAGCTATTATATTTGTAACCAATAAACATAAAACTCCAGAAATGCCCCTGCTGTTTCTTGTTTGACCAACCAATAAGGAAGGCAACATAAGCTGGTGGAAAACATTTTAGTTGGATGTTTTAAACAATGTCTTCATGTGGTTGGTGTAACATCAGTTTTAAGTATAAATAAGTCAGAGTATTCTTGGTATTCCAACGAAGTGCGAAAAACCCTTCCCAATGTTGTATCGCTTGTGCAATATTTTGTTTTCTAACAGTAAAGATAATTTCTTAGTGTACTTAGTGGCACTTTCTTTAAGTAGCATATTTCAGCATATGAGGTGTGTTCAAAAAATAAAGTAACTTTCTTAAGTTTGATCAAAAAGTATTTTCTCATTCATCAAAATTAATGTTGTCCCTCGCAAAATAATCCCTCAGATATACCACACTTGTTTCAACGTTTTTTCTAATCCTCGAAGCACTTCTGGTAAGCACTTTCTAATATAGCCTTGAGTTTGTCCAGCGATTTTTTCTTTATCAAGTCAATCGTTCCATTTCATGGGTTTCTTGAGTTTTTGGGAACAGGGAAAAGTGGCAGTGAGCTATATTCGATGAATATGATGGCTGAGGCAAGTTCCATGAATTGTTTTCCCACAATTCCAGAAGTTTTCTTTGTATTGCTTCTCCCAAACGGAGCATAAGTTTAAGTTAATACTCTTTGTTGACCGCCCGACCTTGTGGTAAGAACCCTTGATGTACTACGCTACGATAATCAAAGAAAACAGTAAGCAAAACATTGATATTGTTCGAACTTGACGTGCTTTTTTTGGTCTCGGCGATTCTGGGTTTATCTATTGTGGCAACTGGTTTTTGGTTTCGTCATAACCATGTACGCATGACTCGTCACCAGTTATGACCTGTTTGGGCATATCAGGATCATCATTGACATCGTTTAACAGCATTTGAGCGATGCTCCTTCGGCGGTCCTTTTGTTCAAAATTAGGCAGTTTCGGAACAAATTTTGCTGCTACACGTTTCATGGCTAAAACTTCGGAAAAGAATACATTGCACGAGACAACTGAGATGCCGACGTCTTCAGCCATTTCTCTAATAGCGATTCAACGATTTTTCAACAGCATTTATTTCACTTCTTCAACGCTTTCATCAGTTATTGATGTGCTGGGGCGTCCAGAGCGAAATTCGTCATCGGCGTCTTCTCGGAACAGCTTTCATCACTTGTAAACATTTTTTTTTGCTCAACATATGCCGCTGTCAACATTTCAAGTGTTTTGCAGCACTGTATTCCATTTTTTACAAAAAAAATTATGCCAATTCTTTGTTCCAGCAGAAATTTGCTGAGCTCACAAAACACGTCTAATGCTTCTGTCTTATAAAAAAAAAGTAAACTTGCAAACTGTCTGAAACTGTGAACATATGTTTGGGACATATGTACCAACATAAAAAAAATATATCAAAGATCGAATGTTACGTAGCCCCGCCCCAGTTACAAATACCTTACTTTTTGAACACACCTCGTATTTATTATCGCTATTCGAGCTTCTTTATATTTAACTTTCCGAAGTACTATTAGTAACAGTGATAATGGAGATGTAAAGGTGGTTTAGAAAATATCAATTCAATGCGCTGAAAATATTTAAACCTTGTTAATAAATAGAAATTGAAAATTGCCTTCGCTAAAGGTTTTCAAATCAAAAAACTGCAGATATATAATAAATTAACCCTTCTTAAAGTCTAATTGAAGTGGTTTAGGTAATATGTTATCAAACACAGAATTTTCTGCTATTCATTGTATATTTGTTTAAAAGTAGGTATTATTATAAATTAAACTAACCGGTCTTTTATTAAATGCGACATTGACGACGTGGTCGCAGGCCTCGGCCGGAACGAAACTGACTGCAAATCTTGCATTTCCTTGGGGATGCACTTGTGTCGGTATATTAAGTCCTCGAGCGGAAATTGTAATTTCCAAGTTACCCTCGCCGGCCTCGCTGGCATCCACCGAAAAGGTGACAGGTCTGCCTACTGTCCCGCGAGCCACGGTACCGACAGTAACCTATAATTTTATAAACAAGTTTAATTAACAATTTCAGCCAAAAAAATAATCTCTGCCACACATATTTGAATTGAAAATTAATAGCTTCATAATTTACTGATAACGTCATTTTCGAAATAAAATATCAGCCGTTTTAAAAGTGTGACAAACTGGGAAAACTGAATAGACAAAATGATAAATAAAAGAAAAGTTTACGGCTTTCTGTTTCTTGCAGTAAAGTCTGTTCACAGATATACGAAAGTGACTAACTGATACGAATTAAGGAAAGACTCGGACAAGCTGTAAGAATGAAATGTGGCCAAACAGGTTTGCTTAGAATTTAATTATTTGAGGTTTTGTTAGGAAAGATACTAAACAATATTTATTTATTTATTTACGTTTTATGTTTAAATCTAAAATAAAATTACAAATTATCTTTATTACCTACTTAAATTACTTTAAATTATTCACATAACATATCAGTATCACTATCGCTATCATCGCCTGTTCTAATTATTATTCGTTCTATATTATTTGCAATATGGATATATGATTGTTGCTTTTTCTATACGTTTAACAGAATTTGCCCAACTTTGTGGAGGGATGTTAAAAACTTCGGTTTGAGGACATTGGAGTTAACACGGGAAAAAACATTGTTATGACGAATGGCAGATTTCAGTTGGTACCAAACATGTTCAATGGGATTAAGTATACAGTGGTAAGGTGGAGGAAGCCTTAAAACTGTATGCCCTAGATTTTTTGCATAATTGTAGGTTCAAGCTTTGCAGAACCTCAATTAATTGCTTTTTGGTATAATATCCGTGAAAATATATGTAGGGGGTGTCTTCATGGTAATTCAGAGAAGAATCTTTAATATTTTTCGCAGACAGAGAAAGTCCATTTGGAATCCAACCATCTTTAGAGCCAGCATGGAAAATAGTTATTCTCTTACCTCTTTTTGATGGCGCGTTTTTTTTACACTTCCTTACGTCTGTGATTATGCGAAAAATCTAGGGCATACAGTTTTAAGGCTTCCACCTTACCACTGTGTATATTTAATCAAATTGAACATGTTTGGCACCAACTGAAATCTGCCATTCGTCGTAACAATGTTTTTTCCCAGTGTTAACTCAAATGTCCTCAAACTTATAGAAACCGAAGTTTTCAACATCCCTCCACAAAGTTGGGCAAATTATGTTAAACATATAGAAAAAGCAGAACAATCGTATATCCATATCGCAAATAATATAGAACAAATAATGATTAAAACAGGCGATGATAGCGATAGTGATACTGATATATTATGTGAATAATTTTAAGTTATTCAAATAGGCAATAAAAATAATTTATAATTTTATTTTAGATTTAAACATAAATATTGTTTAGTATATTTTCTAACAAAACCCCAAATAATTAAATTCTAAACAAATTACGGACCTGTTCGGCCATATTTCATTCTTACAGCTTGCCCGGGTCTTTCCTTAATTCGTATCAGTTAGTCACTTTCTTATATCTATGAACTGACTTTACCTACGCTTTCCGTCAAGTATAACATATTTTTAAATAAAAAAAATTGTAAATTGATAAGGAGCCGCATTTCATGTATAAGTGATTTGGGTTAAACCTTAATATTTAAAGCTCGGGATTCTACAGTACTAATAAATCACCGTGTATAATATAAACTAAGTCTTTTATTGTGCCTTCTAATACGAAACCCTGTATAAAATTACCTTATTCGAGTCGAAGGCCTTGGCTATAAATGGGGTTCCCTGCACAGGTCTGCCATTGTAATCGACGGTAATGTGGTGGGCTCCCACTTGCATTGGGGTAAATTCGGCAGTGAATCCCGCATGAATGTCTCCTATGACTTTAACTGGTAGTTCCCCGGATGGTCCCCGTACAGCCACAGCCAACTCAGCAGCACCTCCACCGGTAACACCCATATGAAAAGAACTTGGTTGATTGACCGGAATCAGCTCCAGGTGCGACAACGTCAGCGTAACTCGGCTAGTGTCAGAGACGGAACATACGAAGGGACATCCACGTACAGTTTCTCCGTTGAATTTAATGTCAATTAGGTGCGGTTTGGCTTGGTCTGGCGTAAAGGATACTAGACAACGTCCACCACCCACAACTTGAACGTGGTTGGGAACTTCCCCTTCGTTGATTGAGATTTCTAATTGACCTTCCCCGGCCTGACTTGCGTCCACTATATATAGGAAAAATGTTTAGAGAAAGATTTACATTTCATAGAAATTGCCCCGATAGCATATTGAGGCAACTCTGGGAGTTGTATAAAGTATAATCTGGATAAGACCGGAATTAATCTAAAAATATTTTTATATTTATAAACGACCAACAGCTTGAAATCGTTACGAGTGGTACTTAATCCAACAACTCGATGTATTGGCATACACTACATAAGTAAAACATCAAGGAAAAAAAGAGAAAAGTTGATATGCTGAGGTTTGATTAGTTTTGGTAGTTTAATTAGATTAAAATTATAACTGACTGTTTTGCAATTTTTGTTATTTGCTTTGAATAAACCACTAAAAGTACTTTTTACTATTGAATTGTTTTAGTATTTATTCACGTAAAGGTAAGTAACGGCAATGGAAAAAAAATATTAAGATAGTACTAGAGTCACTATATTATCTATAGGTACAGGAAGTCAAGGGAATGGGTATGTCAAATGTTTTAGGAGTATGCTTGAGTGGTCTATCGGATAAAAGGTTTTTTCACCCACCACCGCTGATAATTTGAGTAAAAAAAGGTGTGATAAAGTTTTTTTTTCTTAAAACTTGTAGCTGGAAATATGTTGACACATATGTTGATATTAACACCCTTAAAATAATGGAATTAAGGCATAGCTATAATCATTGCGAATCGAGACACTTATTAGTTAAAAACATGTAGAAGATATATTATCAATGCGTTTTCTACGGTCTTAAGGGATGTCAATAACTAGAATAGTATATAGAAATAGTGCGCATTTATTGCTTTGACGTTTTAAGTTTTAAGCCATCAAAACACAGTCTTTTTTAAGACTATAGATGATATAGCACAACAAAACGGACATGAAATATTGAGATTAGCCTTGTATCATTGTATATTTAACCCGATTGAGATGATTTGGTCTGAGTTGAAAGCGCATATAAGAAGAAATAATACTGCACCAAAATTTAGTGATGGTACGATAAACGTAAGCTGGTCTAACTGTGAAAAAGTAATGAAAGAAGAAAATATTTGTCGAGAACGATTAGTGAAGGAGTTGATCATTAAACTAGGTGACGACAGTGGCGATAGTGACGATTTTTTAAGTGACTGATACTTTATTATTGCTATATTTATTCTTTTGTATAATGATACTATGTAGAGATGTAATGAATTTATCTACCTATACAAAGTAGATAAATTCCTAGGACGGTCCTGTAATGGTTGGGTAAGGGTCTGCTCGGCAGGGTGTTCTATAATAGGCTGCGGTTTTGGAGTAATAAACACAATATTTCTGGTCATGGTATACCTCTAAACTGCACCGGCTGCCCGACAATTCCGCCACTGACATCGGCAACTTGTATTAATCCAGCATCATAAACTTTGGCCACAATAGGTCCAGACCGTAGTTTTTCCCCCTTTAATGCGATCTCCACCATGTGGGTACCAACCTCACTAGGCACAAATTCGATATTTTGGAGCCCTAAAAATTTTAAATTTGCTTAAATTTCCGATAAAATAAAGACAATCATACAGGATGAACTAACGAAGATTAGATACTTCCGAACAAAGTAATTAAAAAAGAAACTGACGATGGTTGATAATTTTGGTCACTTATAATAGAAATTAATATTGGAATATTTTATTCTAGAACCCTTTTGTAATTAACGATATTGTTCATAATTAACATAATAATTATTATCAAAACACACAACTGTGATTCACATGTATGAAATCATAATGAACTTATCTTAAAAATGAAAGAATAATAGTGTTTTAGTGAAAAAACCAATAAATTTCCAAAACTCTTGTGTATCTGAGGCTAAATTTTCAACTAGAATTTAGACAGTACATTTCAAGGAACTATATTTAGTTTTTCAATGTCACTATCTAGCCTTATATTAAACTAATTGTGAAATCTTATCGGTCCCGTTATTTTAAGATATAATATTAAAAATTATGAAAACGAATAATGAAACTGCTTATTTTTCCTCAAATACTAAAAAATACTTAGTTATCAGGAATATTTTAGAAATGCTACCATGTCCACGTATGAAGCCCCTAGTGGTTGATTCATCTGAACATATATTTACCAGGCCTGTTTCCGGGCAATATTCTTGAAGATACCGCCCGTTTGGATGGAGAAGTGACGTGAACTGTGAGGTCATTTGTTGCGACGTTGGCATCTGTTATCACCTCAAAAGCTGCAGGGATGTTGGCAGGAACAAGTCTCGTCGTGTCTCCGACAACGGAAAAAGTAACGTTGGTCATTGTAATTTTGTATCACAGACTTTCTGTAAGAAAGTATGTTGTACTGATCAGCCCGAAATTATTAGGTCCTTTAAAAAGCTTGTTACTTAGGTGGTTGAAAGGACTGTTGATTTTAATTATTTACTAATTTTAGGGTTTTAATTACGATATGCACGAATTAAGTGAATTTCACATTTTACACACGTTTCACATTAAATAACTTGTTTCAAAGCTATTGATGTTTCCAACTATCCACCTGATGAGAAATGATGATTTATATCCAGAAGAATATAAAAATCATTACACGTTTCGTCAAGTAACTACGTACTTTTATACTGACATGCCGGGTCTACTTTTTTAAAACCATATTTATATTAGAGCAAGCTTTGTTTTTTATTTTGAGTAAAATTGCGGGAATGTTTCTATTCTATCGATTTATATAGAAAATTTAGAACGTAGATAAGCGCTAATTCTATATTGAATGTTCTCCAATTAAAACATTACCTTCGAGGTTAGCAAAGTATAAACTGTTTTTTTAACAGTTACCTTAAAATTGTTCTCATATCTGCAATGAGATCAACAGACATAAAAATATAATAATTCAAGCTACCCGTCTCCAGTCACCGTAAAAAATATTTTTTTTACATTTGGTATTTATCAAATAAATTACTGACCGAGCTAAGATTTGAAGCCATTGCTTCAAGTTTTAAATCAATATTATTATTATAGGGACCACAAATCATATCGAGTGTACAGGGTTATTTTTTATATTTGCGTACCTACATAAAAGGGTTAACGTTGTGTAATTTATGCAGTGTTATATTTGAGACTTGTAAAAGAAAACAAATGTTAATCGCGAAGTTGAAAAACAGTATCCAGTTTTTTAGTTTTAACTGGAACACCCTATATATTTTCTATTGTGACGAAATATATAGATTAATTTTTCAAAGAAACTTCCACAAGCTACTGTAATACTTTTTACAAACGTTCTGGATTCCTGCTGCGCCGGTTTTTGCTGAGTCGAAATTGCTGACGTTTCGCCAAGCATCCTGTTGGCTTCTTCAGAGCTTGACTGAAACAGTTTCAGACAAGCTCTGAAGTTTTGTAAAAAGTATTACAGTAGCCTGTGGAAGTTTCTTTGAAAAATATATCTATTTCTACTGCAATATTGAAATCCAAAATCCAAAAGTTTTGTAAAAAGCAAATATATAGATTGTTGATATTTGCATAAACCGTTCTAAACAGATGTTGATCGCTTTAAAGTATTATAAATATCACCCCTACAAATTTATTAAAGTTCAAAGCTTATCTGAAAGAAATAATCGTAATAAAATTCAAATGTTTTAATATTGTCAAGAAATGTCGAGGCATATAACAGACGATCCAGATTTTTTGAGAAAAATTATTTTTACTGATGCAGCAACCTTTACGACAACAGATAGGTTTAATAAAATAAGCATTATTGGACAAATGAAAGCTCAAATAAAATTCAACAAGTAAAAAAACAGGATCGTGATGGATATCTGACAGACAATTGTTATTTGGATTGAATTCAAAATAACACTGAAGATTATTTGAAAGACCATCCAGTTCGCTGATACATTAACCTGATTTGGCAACAAGATGGGGTACCGCCCTTCAATACCAATCCAGTTACTGAATACCTCAATGACAGATATGATCATTGGATAGGCAGACATGACACAATTAATTGGCCTGCTAATAGCCCTGATTTAAACCCTCTTGATATTATGCTATGGCGATTTTTAAAAAACGGAGTATACAGTGACAGACCTCAAAATTTAAGGGTTGATCCAAAAAATTGAACAAGAAATATTCCGGCTCAATAGAGATCGTCCAGATTTTATTTTATTATTTACATTAATTACTTCGCGTTATATTTTCATTATAGTTCGTTTAATTATGGTTGTCATCGGCTTTATTTTCGTTTGTTGTTGATAATATGTTCTTTAGAATTTATAGTTTTGGTTAATTAATACTTATTAATTAATTAATACTTTTCTTACTCAGAGTAAATCAGGAGAAATTTTGTGTCATAACAGAAAATATGGAGGGTGTTCCATTTAAAAATAAAAATCTTGCTACGGTTTTTAAATTTGCGATGCGCATTTGTTTTCTTTTACAAATAGATAATACTGCAAAAATTATACAACTTTTGTATTTAAAGTTTTTCTCGGTGACTTCCCTTAACCGCTATAGGTGGGCACGCGAATATAAAAATAACCCTACAAGTCTGAGGACCGAACTTCAACCTATCAAGTATTTTTAACTCATTTGATAATCAATCTGGTGATACTTTTCCTTCTGTTTGAATTGGTTTACTTCGAAACTGTTTGGGCACCGTTTCAATGAACTCTTAAAACGTGCGCATAAAATTTGGTATTAATGCAAATAGCGACCACAATAAAAGATTCGAACAAGAATTTGTGTACCGGAAGGCCAAGCGAAAGCCACGCTTATTACTATTAGCCTCGGATAAATTTGCAATTCGTCGTTCAAATGATGAAGGCCGTATGGGTACAGTGTGAATAAGGAATCATTCTGATAAAAGAAAGCAACGGAATATTTATAAATCGTCAATTAGAAATGTTGATTAAAATTTCCTATTCAAAAAATGTATATTTTTAGTATTCCTATTATTTTATTATTATTATTACTTCATTGTTGCAATTCAAATTTTAGTACCACAAAATTAAACTTTTGCGGAATTCTTGATATGACTTATTTTTTCTACTCCTAATTGTGCAATGATCAGACGCGCGCAAGGTGTCACTTTAAAGCGTCACAATTATCAAACTATACTTTAGTCAATTATTTATCAAAAATTAACTAACTAATCAAAACTAACGGTCATAGGAAAAATATAGTATGCAATACGTTTGCCAATTTTCTCAGATAATCGTTCTTTAAACATTCGCTCCAGTCTTGCCTGAATAAGCCGGTGACTAAAACTTAACTTAAACCCTTTTCAAAGTTAAAAAAACCTTTTTTCAAAACCATTTATTTATTTTAATTGTGATTGTATTATATTATATAATAATTATATAATAATATAGAAATAATAATAATATAGGATAATAATAATAATAATAATAATAATATAGGAATCTATAAGCAACCTAATAATCTTAATGTGGTTGTGCGGGGGTGGAATCAGTCTTCCGAGACGGTGTGTGACATTTAGCTTCGCCCCTCTCAAACAATGTAAAAGCAGGTACAGAGTAAAATGCGAGACAGTTTTAGTCAAGCTCTGAAGAAGCCAACAGGATGTTTGACGAAACGTCAGCAATTTCGACTAAGCAAAAACCGACGCAGCAGAAATCCAGAAGTTTTGCAAAAAGTATTACAGTAGCCTGTGGAAGTTTATTTGAAAAATATATCTGTTTCTATTTCAATATTGAAATAAACAAAGAAAGTAATAGTCTAACGAAAAAATATTAATTAATACTAAATAATTAATGATATTATTATTAACATCCTAAGTCAATTTTGTGATGATTTTAAAATATATTCTTATAGGTAAATTAAGGAAAAAAATATTGGCGAATTCAAGAACCCCCTTCTATACACTCAACAAACACTGATTTAGTTCAAGAAGGAGAAGGATAGGTTTTCAGGAGAAAGTATGGCCAACATTCTTATTCTTCTCGTTTATTTAGAATGCCGGCGGTGTGTTTGTAATTTTTGGGGGAATATGTGAAAGCGCACCAAATTTTTGAATAAAAAAAGTAATCCTCAATAATTCTTAGATCTGTATCTGGGTTACGCAAGGGAATATTTTATTTGAATTATCTACCGGTAGCTATTAGACCAGCAGGCTGTCGAATTAATTTAATTGCAAATTACAATGTTCTTAATTAAAGAGCACCCTTTGCCTTTTGACCACAATGCAGGTAGTATAGGGTGATTCACGAGCCAATGTACACAGCATACGGCCCAAAGAATGAAACAATTTAGTTGGGTAGTTCAGCGTAATTAATTAATTACAGCTTTATTTCAAAATAAATAAGAACTAAAAGTTCAGATTTTTACGAAATTATATATTTTGACATGACAATTGTTTCGACAACACCGTGTCTTTATCAAATGGTTTCCAATAAATTTAATTTTCTACTTTTTGTGGCTGTATGTAAAATATCAAAATTGTCGTCAAAAATGTGTTTTTCTGTGTTTAAGTGTGTAGCATAATTAGAATCTAGACTATTGTTTTTAAACGCTAAATAATTAAAAAACAAATCCAGACAACAGTAAACTTTGTTTATCCTAAACCTGATACAGAACAATTACATACATAGGAAAACCTAGTGAAAAAGTTTCAAAACATTTTTCAAAATGTGGTTTAAAAATAGGTTTCAGAACTAACAACACAATAGGAAAATTTTTCAAAAACAATAAAACGAAATGTCCAAAATCGCAAAAAATTCAGGTGTCTACAGGTTGAAATGCGGATCTTGTCCTAAAATTTATATTCGACAAACAGGTAGATCCTTCAAGAAACGCATTAACGAACATAAAAACCGTTTAAAAACAATAGTCTAGATTCTAATTATGCTACACACTTAAACACAGAAAAACACATTTTTGACGACAATTTTGATATTTTGCAACAGTCACAAAAAGTAGAAAATTAAATTTATTGGAAGCCATGGAGATTAACAAAATGAGACATTCAAATGTATTGCTTAACGATCAATTAGATTTAAATACCTCCCCTTTATTGAACTTAAATTCTCACAACATTAATTAACGTTTTACGGTCATTTTTCGGTATATATAGCAGCAGGTAGTTTGTAAATATTACATTTGATAAAGACACGTTGTTGTCGAAACAATTGTCATGTGAAAATATATAATTTTGTGAAAATCTCAACTTTTAGTTGTTATTTATTTTGATAAGTGGATTTTCATCAAGTAAAAGTCATTTCAGTTTAACAAAATTATTCTTCTCTACTTCATATGAAATTTTTGGGAAAATTTTTAATATACAAGCTGCTTTTTTAAACTCACAGGAACCAAATATAACAGGGGGTGGTTGAAAACTTTAAAATATTAGGAAACACAAAATCAATTATGAATTTAAAATCGTATTCCATATTGACTGAACATTTAACTGGCAGTTATTAGTAATTTCGATCCGGTGAGGGTTCAAATTATTCTGATGAATTCCGATTTTCTTATTACAAAAATTTAAATTAAATTTGCAAATCGTTTTATTCTTTTGCAAACCATCTCACATGAGGTTTTCTCGACAAGACACAAAATATTTACTTTTTAAACGCCAACATCACCGGAATATAGCTGATTCATATTCGTTGTTTATTTGCCAATTATCATTCGTCTCTAGACATGGCACTTCCAATGACTACGCGAACTACATTTATTAACTACTAAGAAAACTACTTTTTCTTCTTGCGATACGAATCATCGTAAATAATTTACCTGCCATGATTAAAACGACAATATTTATCCAAATTAAATTAGCTTTCCAACGGCACTAATGTTTTTATCACATAGGTTGTAGAAAACACAAACACATATTTTAAGCTAACTGACGGTACCAGGATCCACGTACCACGGTGGTACCTGTGTAAATGCAAGCGGAAAAATCTAGGAGTGGGGAATTGTCGTACAGTAAGTCAGGTCAATTTTTATTGGCAATTAAATCTGGTATGGTTGATCGTAGGAGCTATCGGTTGGAAAGAATGCCAACTTTATGTTTTTCTATTACTCATTTAAAGTACTGTTTTATTTGAATAAAGGAGGAAGATTTTGAATTTGTTTTGCCTTTAAATTATGCAATCAATTTTAACCAATTCATCAGAATTAAAAGTAGAACAAATTATGATTCTAATACTCAAGATCTCTTCCAAAAATAGGCAAATTACTGCACCATTATTAACATGGTTCAGTGTTTGATACAGCCTGAAGGTATTGTGATAGTAAAACCGAAAATGAAATAGAGAGATGGCTCCTTTGATTTACGATGAGAGTATTCCGCAGGTGAGAACAGAAAATTGAAATTCTGCGCATGGCAGAAAATTTAGACGCTTCAGTGATCCAGGGGATGCAGATATTGGTGGTATATTAGTATCGTTTACAAAACTGGTTGCATAATAACATAAATTTACGATAAGGGAAGAAATAAGGATTTGAAAAATATGTTCAAATTTAAGTTACGATTTCGAGACGAATTCAAGAAGATATCAATAGAATATTAGTAGTAGCATTTTTTAAGTAAACATTTAAAATTTATTTATGGTTTGAATGGGTATCTTTTTTGTAGCAAAGTAAGGAAGCAGGATGGATGTATATAAGTTTCAAATAGAAATGTACCACTTAATTTTATATGCAAAGCTCACTATATACGAAAAATTAAAATTTTTTTGAAAAAGTTAATAAAACGAATAATACAAAAAAAAACGTGAATGAGTAGCTCTAGGGAAACCTTATCAAAAGTAGTGAAGGGGCTGAGGGAACTGAACACGACAAAGGAGTTAGGAACAGGTGTTCCATTTAAAAAGCATAGAAAAATTAAATTAAATTTCGTCAAGTTTTCAAGACTTTGAAACACCCGCTGTATGAAATCATTACTATAGTAATACGTAGCTTTAATAAACCCTTAGTAATGCATTTGACTATATTGAAGTTTATTTTTAATATTATACGCATATTAAAAAACAATAAGTTGGTATCTTCGCATTAAAACTTGAAAACAACCACGATATAAACATTTCTTTGGGGAATCGCAACATGCAAAAATACATAGGGCGTTTCATTATAATAATTCTGGTTGTATTGCGACAGTACTTTGCCACACTATTCTGCCACTTTATTATAATCTCCTGCGTTGTTCCTCTATGTTAGATAATGTTGGTTAGTTTTTGCTTTCGACTCCTTTCTATCTTTGGCCCTGTGACTAAGGTGATGGTTGGTCAATCAGTTAGATGTTCACTTATTTCATGTTACGTAGATAGAAATTTAATACGCTTTGAATAGTGTGATCTTTAGACCGTCTGCTTGAATTTTTTGGTTGAGGTGCTTAGATGTTAACTTATATATTATTGTACTGAATGTATTCATTATTCTTTTACATTTTGTAAAAAGTTACTTATAAATGTAAACGTAAATTGTAAAAAAAATAAAATAATTGACCTTTTAAGATTGTTGGAAGAATAAACCTAGGGCAAACAAATTTCAAAATCTCTCAAACTAAAACAATGTCAACCACTATTCAAACCATTCACTCTGAATTTATCACTATTGCTCTTTTCGCAGTCTTAACTCTGGAAAATGCACCTCCTCACGTTTAGTTAACTTGTTTCCCAAATCAAACGCCTCTGTCCCCTATGTGTGAGGGCTTAAACTAACCAAGGCCTTTTACTGGCTTGTATCATCATCTTCACATAACAAACTTGTTGGTGCCCATAAGGCATGGAGAGCGGTGGTGAAGCAAAGGTCGACGATATGTGTCATAATATAAATTATATTATTATATTCCTTACACTCGGAGTCAGTATAATTTAATATCCAATCCCATCCAAAAGAGAGCAATACGTTATAGCTTCCAAGACGCACGTACTCCAAATGCTATTAGTTTTTAATAATACAATTTTCCGCAGGCGTTATCCATGTTTAATGCCACCCTATTTCACATTCAACACAGATCACTATAAATCCAGGGTAGATTGCTAGGATCTTGTGGTTGACTTCTTGTATACAGGGTGTTTGGAAATATTACATTTTTCTAACTCCACAACATTACTTAAATGGTCTATCTAAAACTATTATGTAAAATGTATAGAAAAAAAACGATTTCGAATCAAGTTTATTACAGAAAACTTATTGACCTATATATAAGTATAAAGATTCACAGAGTCCAAATTTACATAAAAAGTCTTCCATATCTAGTTATGATAGTTTACAGAAACTAAAAAATTAGCTGAAAAACATATATATTCATATCTTATCGGCTCTACTTATTCACAGTGTAAGTAATAAATCTAAGCACAATCTTTAATAAACCACAACAACTTAAAAACTAATAACAAACTTCCCTCAATCAGAATCGTCCTCCACTACCGTCGAAACTGGAACAGAGTGAGAAACTGCCTTCGACATTTTTGCAGTGTTATGTTTTGGCTGAGTGAAAGTTATCGAACTCGACGACAATGATGACGTATTTGAGCATTTTAAATTTGCAATGCCCTGAGGTGACCTAACGACCGAATTTCCCATTAGTTGGTAGTTTCCTGGAGAACTTTCGACCACGGTGAGAAAATTTCCATTCGGGGTCTATATGGAGAAATATAATCAACTAATGTTTTACATATGAAAAGAAAAACTATCATGCAGAGAACTCACTGATCTGTTTTCGAATCTCGTAAGAGCAGGAAAAAAAGCGAAACAAAAAAATAATGTAGCAAATTTTTTGGGACCTAATTTGCACGTAATTCAAAAATTAAAACTGGTCGTAAAAGATACAATACTAGTTTACAGCAGAGAATATATACTAGAGCTTATATAACCTGCTGATGATCCCAACTAAGCTAGTAAAACGCGTGTCAAAAACGTTGTATAATTTGGAGCAGAGCGTAGGCTGCAGACTAGTATTTTATTAAATTGTAAATTAACACAAAATACAAAGAAAGCAAATTGGTGCGTCTGAATCACAAAAAATATTGGAAAAATCTCATATTTTTGAAAAAAGGCCTACAATATTTAATATTAATGTTAATAAAAATTTTAAGTTCTTGCATATATAACAAATTGCAAAACTATAATTGATATAATAAATAAAAAAATTAAGATGTTGTGGACAAAATGGTAATAAAAAAATCAAATATCAATGATTGACAATTAAGACTAAGTGTTTGCGAAAAGTAATTAATATCCATTATCATTTTTTTATTAGAATGCAGAAGTTTCTTTTAAAGCTTTTAAAATGTGGTACAATTTCAGTGCGCCACTTATTCTAACCAATACACTAATAACATTTTCTCTTGAAATGCAAATATTTTTTTTTTGAACCAATTAAAAGTGACACTGCACGACATAAATTATTATAATATATTATTCTCGGATCAGTGGGCAAACTGCACATTTGCAATTGACATTATATTTTTATTCATATAAACCTACTTGCACTCTTAGCGTTTTTGAAGGTGAAATGTTCCGATTCAAGTACACCTTCTGTATGGGTTTCGAAAATGTTCTCTGGAAATAAAAAAATATATGATATCATATTAATTTCTACACTTGTTTCAGCTTTTTTATTTTTATCAACCATTTTCATTAGGAATGAATAATAATTCAATATTTGTGCCTCTGTTTAATTTAAAAAAATATATATCTGAACGACGAGGATAATGACGAAGTCAGTATAATTTAAAAAACTGAAAACTTTGCAGAAGTCAGGTGACCCTTCTTAATAATAAACAGTTTAAAAAACAGGGATACGATTGATATATCAAAATATATATATTTAAAATATTAGAAAAATTCCGTATATTAAACCAAAATTCTGCATTAGAATGTAGAACCTTTGGAGTCCACATTCCTCCGCAAACAGAGTGCATACAGAGTGACTCGGATTACACTGAGTGAACAAGTCGAACTCACCTAAGGTCTGTTCGAATTATCATTAAGACATATTTTCCATTCAATTAGAAATACTTAATGTTAAATCCCAATAATGTAGGATTCTTTAAAGTTTAAAAGAGCTAATGCTCATGATAAAAAAAATCCCCAAGATTTATTTTTATTTTTCAGTCACATCATAATTATACCCTTTCGAAATCATTAAACTTCCGTCTAACTGATGTTGCACTCACCGAAATTGCCACTTTTGAAGGAGCTGTTGTAGGCCTTAGGATTAACTGTTGCCCTATCGATCGAATACCTCCTTGGGCAACTTGTGCGGAATTACTGTTCATATTTTGGGTGCATTTACTCATATGAGTTGGCCAATGTTTTTGCTGGCATGGATAATCACAATAACTCGTATTCCAACAGCAATAAAACTGGGCTTCTTTTGAACAACTGGCACACCTAATAACGATGTACAAATTTATATAACTCAACAACAAACAAAAGGGTTGCCGCATATACAAAATCAAACGATTTATTAAAGGTGGATTGTATGATTGAGCTAAGAAACCTAACAAAAGTTGCTACTTAATAAATTCTGCTTCAAGTTAGTTATCTAACATTTCATAATATCCGGTGGAAAAAGAAAAAAATTATTTTATTTAATTAAGGAATCCATTTACAAGAAAATACGAACTAAATGACCAGAAGTTAAGATAATAAATATAATAAAAAACAAAATATATAAAAATAAAAATAAAATTTAAAGAATAACTATTTCAGCCTTACAAAAAAGCCCTTACGAAAAACCAAAACCAGATGTGGACGCAAATAATTAAAATTCCATTAAACCATCAAAAAAGACTAGATTTCGATTTCTTGAATAATTTTAATTTTGCCTGCAAATTCACCTTCCAAGCGCTAATTTAGAGATAAAGCATTATAATTATACTTATTAACCATTGTTTGGATTTGGCGTCTTCAATCCTTTTTACAGTTTCAGCCTCGCAAGCCTCCCGCGTTTCTTGAATTATCCTCTCTCTATCGTCGACGATACTTTTCTGAATATCTTTAAGAATGGTACACATATTCTTCTCGATTTCAGATAACTCAATGCTGTGTTTATGTTTAAGAGACTCGATTTCCAGTTTCAAACCAGTGATTGTTGCGTCCGGATTATTTGATTTGCCCAAGTCATTCAATGTTTCAATAAGCATACCTCGGAAGTAATCGCTAAGCTAAAACCAAAAATGAAGTTCAAAATTGCATTTTAGTTAATCGCTTTTCGAGACATGAGAATTTTTCCAGATTAATTCTTCCAATGATGATGGGGGTTAACCATAATAAAATTTGATGCTTATCAAACTTGTTGATTTTTCACTTATTTGTTTGTTCTCAAAAGTTATTGTCACCAACCAACTTAATCAATATCACATCTTCATATTATTGATTTCATTGAGTAATTTACCAGCACTGGGGGAATAAATTTATTTAAACTTACCCTATGGGCAACCGAATTAATTTTGGCTGTCGTGTCGCCAGCAGAACTCGGAGTGCCTTCACTGAATATGGTGCTTAACATTCCAGGCGGCCGAGGCTTCAATTTAGGAGGTGGTCTTTGTATGAGCTGCAAAAAGAAAATTTAAAAACTTGTGGGCCGATGTAAATACTGAAACATACCTCACTAACCACCTTATTGACACCTTCTGGAATAAGATTATTTAGTATACGAAATTCGTCGTCTTCAAAGCTCTCAACTGTGCTTTCTTGAGTTTCAAAAGCGGTAACATGTGTGTTCCGCAGTGTGGTCGTGGTGGTCGTTGTACATGTTTGAGCGGTGACCGTGGGACCTGGCAAAGTAACGAAAACCAACACACTACTTTCCCACATTTATCATAACAACTTGAATACATTATCTTATTGAACTCTTTCTAAATTACCTGTTGTAGTGCCTCCTGTTAACGCCATCGTACTAAGGGCGGTACCGCTAGTGATTAAAGTATTTTGAAGCTGACTCGCATTGGAAGTACACTGCACCACATCAGTGCGAAATGGCATGGTTGACAGTGTCGACAACGTATGTAAAGAAATATAGCTTGGAGTACATTTTTGAACATTTACCGAGTTTTCTCCTGTGATACTGTTTGGCGCAATTTGTGGTTGTATGCTGGACACAGAACTCTACAAGAACGTATTATTATAAGTGCTGTAGTTGTTAATTGTTCTTTTACATACTACTAGTATGTTAATAATGTGAGTATCATTACATACACTTCAAGTTTAGCATTCATTTTTTTTAAAAAGGTATCAAATATATCATTATTTGCATAATGATTCGAGACTTATATCATTCAAATAATCTTTAAATTTAATAAAATATTTTCAACTTACCACCAACGTATTTTCCATAGATTTGGGAGTGCTATTATTATTAATTGTTTGATTTGACGGAAATAGTATTAGGTCTTGAGTCGCCGGTTGTTTTACAATTAAATAACTTTTGTTGGGTTGTATAAAGTCTACGTGTGAATTAACCGTTGGCGATGTTGCAATTTTTGGGTTCTTTTCCTTCAGACTACTAGTTACTTCAGGATTATTATCACTGGTAGATGCCGCAGTAATGGGTATTTTTTTCGAAACATTGACGGCGTAACTCCCAGGAAAAGATTTACGGGCTCTTGCTTTGGTTCCTGTAAATATAAAGTATAAAATACAAATTGTGTGCGGTTTTTAAATATAATTTACCCATTCGCGCAAACGATTTAACAAATATTTCGCCATTTTCTCCCTTGCCAGGCTTATCTTTATTTACGAGAGGAACCGACTTTTGTGGTGGCAGTGTTGATTCATTTTCACATTTGCCGTTTCGTTCATTAGTAGCCACACTATCTATGATTCTCGACAAATTATCAGCCATCTAAAACAAAATAACAGGGTTACAAAATGACTTCATTTAGTTCAATCTTATCAACGAAAACGATCAATATTTTGAAACTCTATTTAAAATATATAAAACAGGCAATGTTGAAAATTATCACTCTTCTGTTTATTTTTGTTGTATATTGTAGCATAAATAATTAGAAATTAAAAAAAAAACTAGATTTTTTTGACATTTCAAACTTTTGTGAATTCATATAACCCATACTTTATATCTTGCTAATAATCTAATGAATAAAAAAATGCATCTGAATCGGAAAAAAGTATTGAAAGTGCTCTATTTGACCGTTTTGGAGTGAATAAGAGATTCCCTTTGTAAAGATTGCAACCGGAAAATTTTTCTTTTAGAATATGGCTTATACTTTCAATTTTTATAGAGATACTATTTATAACTAGTTAGCTATTAAGTATAATAAATATCATAAAACACTTACTCTGTTTCTTGCTCTCTTCTCTTCAACTTTGGAACGGGTTCTTATCTCATTACGGACACTTTTTTCTTCTATCTCAGTTTTTCGTTCCAGAATATTCAATGCAGACAAGTACTTTTTCTTTTCCTCAAAATTTTCAGCACCGACATATTCCACGTCGGTATCTGGCTCACTTTTTATTTCTTCAAAATGCGCTTCAGATGTTAATTGATTGCCAGCTACAGCGCCAGACGAATCATTTGTGGAGGGACATTTACGTATTATATCCTTAGATTGCAGAGCGTGCAGTAAAACTGAACACTCCTTGTTTGGTTGGCAAGATTGATGGGCCGAATCCTCATTGTTACTAGCAATGTTAATATTCATACTAACTTTTTGATTTGATATAATTCTTAACTTTTTGTTTGGTTCATCAGCTTGGTTGTTTGTCTTGCGTTTTCTGCTTTCCGGATCTGCCTGTCTGTCTGTTGGGCTATTTATCGTTTCTTTTATACTAGGTGTTATTTTTACCAATGAATGGCTTCCGCTAAGTGATGAATGTATAACACTCATAATGTTTTCCTAAAACAGAATTAAAAAAATGTCTAAAATAATATGAATCCAACAATGATTAAATTGTTAAATTTAGAACATATATACAGGATCTGTTATGAAAAAACAATTACTAAAAATTTGAAATTAGAGAAATTTTGGGACCACACAAATTTCAACTTCCGGTTATACCAGAAATAGGTGTCAACAGTCAACAGTTGAAACGTTGTGAAAGTTTACAATAAAGACAATGTAAGATCAAAATATCTCTGTCATCGAAATCCACTATTGTCTATGAGCTTCAATCAAATATTAAATATGTTTAGAAAGTTACTAGAAATTCAAAAATAATATATAGGGTGTTCGTTTAAAATAAGAAGGTTCTTTTGATATTTTTTACAGGTTCTGAGATAAGGTGTCATCCCATAATAAATAGGCTACTAGATACAGATGTTCCCTAAATAGAAAAATGTCCGTCTCTAGAACTTCTTGTTGGTTTCAATGTAATAGCAACTCTTCAATAACGGTCCTATTGCTTTTTATTACCATCTTCTACAAAACCGGTTTTGCCCATTACTTTGACCACATTACAATTTTAAATAATTTAACATTATATAATCTAATAAATAAATCTAGACTCTTGAATGTGGACTGAAACGGGATTCAGTGATATGAAAAGAAATTAATAGCAAATATTTGTAGCAATTATTACGAGTACTTTTGGCAGTTGTTAATGAACACATTACATTATACGATGTCATTTGAACAAAACTAACAATCTAAAAACCTATTTACTGAAGAAAGACTAAAGCATAACAAAAACGAGGTAACGAGCATAAAACAAATATCTAACAAGTTTGTTGTCACAAAGTAAACAAACAAACGCTGCTAATACTAGAAAATGATCTATGGAAAAAATATTATATTCATATTACACTGTCATTCACAAATGTGCATGATTGTAGGAAATATAAAACAAACCGCAGCTCAAACACATAACTGTAGATTGTAGCATAGAAAATTTAGTTACAAGCACATGTATCGAGTACAGCTTCAATCTTATTTTTTATATTACAATACATCGACCCACCTTATCAAGCTGGAGCTCACTTAATTTTCGATTATCTTCCTCTTCAGAATCGTCGCTTTCATCAAGATGTGAAGTCAGACCTCTAACACTCTCTGTTTTGTTGGTGATATTTTCTCCATCATTTGTAGTGGAACCAACACAAATGTCAGATTGGGTTTCATTTAGCGCATTCTCTGATAACTTTTCCCCAGATTTATGCTCTAACTGAACTTCATCTGTTTTTTGCGAGGAGCCCGCGTTTTTATCATTTGTCATCAAAGATTCACTCACATTTTTAAATTGTTCACTTTTGAATGATTGATCGTTTAATAGGATATTTTTACTGGAGTGCGCTTGTTGTAAAAGATCGACAATATTTTTATTACCCGTTTCTTGCGGTAAAGTTTGTTCGCCTTGATTTACGATTTTCTCCTTAACATTTTGTCCATTGACAGGTTCCTCTATATCAGTTTCCTTATGAATACCTTCATTTTTTTCATTTGAATTCGTCTGATCGGATTTAATTGCTTTTACTGTCTCATCAATATTGTCATCAACTACTTGGTTACCCTTGAAGGAAGAAGTAGGTACTTCCTCACGCGAAGATGACACTAATTCTTGATTTTCTGTTAAATTGGCGTTTTCAGCATCTAAGTGTCTTTTTATCTTATCCTCTTCATTTGAAAGTCGTTTGATCAGTTTTTCAACAATTTTGAGCCCTTTTGGAGGAGACAATGAAAGCTCAGCATTTATTATATCAATTTGAACGGGTTTTTTCTTATTTTCAGTAAAATTATTTTCTATCCTTGAATTTTCAGAATTTTGTGGTGAACGATTTATTGCGCCACTGATGCAAGGCAAACTTATCTCAATTTGTTCTAATACATCAACCGTATTAATTTTATCTGAAATATTTGAATATCGACTGGAATCACTTTTTGCTTCGCTGTTCCTGCGGGATAATCTCGATGAGTTATCCAATTTTTCATCCACTTCAGTATTCAGTTCAGACGAACGCGAGCCTACCTTAATATCACCTGAAATTTAAACAATAGTTTTAAGATGACAATTGAATGCCAGCTGCAACTTTACATTTAATTTATAAGTATTTAATAATCGAATAGAATGGATGCAAAAATGGTGTAAAAGTGTACCTATTGCTAAAATTTTAAGGCTTTTACCAAAAATGAAATGTGTGTAGAATTTAAAATGCTTACTCCCAGGTTTTTTAAACAAGATTTTTGGCTTCAGTTATATTTTTATTTCACTTTAGCAATATCGGGCGCCACTTAGGTTTGGAAAACATATGAGGAATAAAATTACCTCATCTAAATACCCTACATTAATCACGACACTTACAAGTCATACATATTTGTTATCTATATCTTAATTAATTAAACGCATGAGATGCTAATCGTGCAGAACAAAGGGTCCGGCAAACAATATTTTTTGATTTGTGAATAGCAAAAGTTGACCTAATATAGCCTTTAACTAACCAAAATTTAAAGGAAAACACAGCATTTGTAGTTTCTAGTCAATCTAAGCATTCCCCATAGTTACTAGAAATATAGGGGGCCTGCCTAATGCTGATACTACAGAAGCTTATGAAGCAACTACACATTTTTTTTGAGAAGGTCCATTCAACATGCGCTGAAAATGAAAATATGTTAAAGAACAAACAAATTTTACAACTTACTTGGAAAACTTTTAAGAGCCGCCTTTGTTGGTAAACTTTCATGCAATTCACTTTTTGAAGCAATGATGGTATCTTCAGTCTCAACTTCAATGCGGTCACTGTTTTTAGAATTCGTCAATAACTCTTTCCTAATTTCAGTATTAATTTCCGGAGGTGTTTCATCATCAGTACCATATCCTTCCATGACGTCTTCATCATTTTTAATATCTTTGCTTTTAGGATTTTCTTCACTTTCTGCTTCCTCGTCCTTCATTTCATGATCACTATTATTAGATTTTTCATCGCTCTCCACAACACTTGTTGCAGACTTACGAATCTTGTTTTTGTTTTTATATGTTTTTACCCGATATTGCGGTAAAAAAATTCGCAACTGTTGAAATTCGTTATCGGGAGAAAGAGGAGTTTTAAACGGGGGAAAGCAGAACTCTCCATAAACTTTTTTTAAGTTTTCGATATGGATATTAAGTTCCTAAAAAAACTTTATCATTAAAATGGGCACTAAGGGGTCATACTTAATACACAAACCTCGATGCATTGTTCAATATCAGTTCTTCTTTGCCTGAAACCATTTGGATCTTTTTGAGAATACAAGAAACATTCTCTTTCAGGTACCCAGGCCCTATCATGAGCTCCAAAAAATCTAACATCAACCATCCCATCTTTACAAACCATAACTTTCCCGGGCCAGTATGGGAACCCTAAAAAATAACAATCAAGTGGTCAAAATAAAATGCGGCGAAGCATGCAAAAAGATTATTTGTAGTGTACATCCTGCTCTCTAATTTGTATGCTGTTTAAATATTTGTAACTGTATAACATAATCCCTAATAGACATTCTGTGAATTTACTATTCTGGTAGTTTTATGATATATTAATACGAATGATTTTTAAGAGAAAAATTCACAATGAAGGTGTGTCTGCAAATGATTGAAATGATAAAACGCTAATGCCTGAATGTCAGATTTGGTAAATATTATTGAAAAATCATGAGTCAAACTAGGAAGGGTGGTGCTATTTTTACCGTCATAAGAAGAATAGTTTTTTATGCAAAATGATACCCTTAGCATTTCCCGTCACCCCTCTCAATTTGATAAACTTCAGCCCACAAGCGGCAAAATAGTTTTGTTTTATTAAGTTGTTTATTCCGAGGAAGCGCCAGTCATAAACTTCAATATTTCATAAAGTGTATAGTTGTACACATAAGTCACACAGACTATGTGTATTTTTCATCTTTAAAGGACAGTAGTAAGTTCTGGTGTGGAGAATATTACAGCCTATACATACATACAGGACACACTATTACATACACTATAATGGGGAGTGTCATAATAATGGTTAGCATATTGGTAATGTGATCAGAAGGTATTTCCCCTCAACATATAAATGACCAGGTGATTCCAGACTACAACTTTAAATGCAGCTTTGACTTAAAATCAATTACAATTTTTAAATGAAGGGTTTGATGGGATTATTGGGTTAGTTTTGGTTAGTTGTGTCTACTAAATCTTGTGTGTACTTGGGCGTGTGATTTATGTTTTAATACATCCTGTAAAAAATTGTCATTCCTTTATCCAAAAGAATTTCATTGTATTGTATTGCATTAATAAATCTATTGAATAAATTTTATAGATATTCTGTACAGGCTCTTCATCTGCATGAATTTCACAACATCTATGATGACACAATAAAGGAACCAACTTATTGTACCCACAGACCAGAAGTTTCTTCTGTACAGTCCAAAAATTCTCAAGACCAAATTTGCACATTTTTTCCTTTTGAGACTTCCCTATGTAACTGAAAATTTTCAAATTTTGCAAATAAAAAATTCTTACCTCTTAATTTTGCCCAGACTAGCAGGTGTGGTTTAGGACAAACTTCAACAAACCAAGTATTTTTCTTAGTATTTGCATTCAAATAACAAGTGGGGCAGTTTTCAATTTCCGCCATCTCCTGTTTGCAAATTTTTATTATGAATTTTGCGACTGTTGTCAATTTTGACTGATCTAAAACAAAAGTGAAAACATTGATTAACCTCATGAAAATAATACAGGTACACGAGATGTTTTTACACTTGATTCTCTACTATTTTTCACAAAATTAACCAACAAGGTTTACAGTAGAAAATGGACTGTTATTTCGAGGTAACTGGTTACCCACTACCCAAAACAACATATGTACCACCTACTGAAAATCTCAGAAAAATTGTTTATGTAATATTGATACTATTTAACTGGTCCCAAATAAATTAAATCTACTTACATGAATTGAAAATAATGCTATTATGCAAAATCCACTTTGCATCTGCTTCGAATGCTTGAGTACTTCCATACAAATTTTCTTTAATATTTTTCTCTAATAAAGTCAAATCCATAGGTTGGATAATATAACTTTTATAATCTGGAAATTCTGAGGGATTTACTGGGTGGATAAATGGTCGGGACTATAAATTAGAAATACATTTGTTTATATCCAAAACTGAAAGTAATTGGGCAAACTTACTCCCTGACATTGCATCATCCTAGTAACAGCAAACTTCAATAAACTACATAAATGTTCCAAAGTCATTCCTTTTAAAGCAGCTGATCTACAAAACCAATGTTGGTAAATAAGATTATAAAATAAAAATTCAATTTTAAAATATTACATTTATGAGCTAATAAAAAAAAACTATTTTGATTCAGTAAAATTTAGAACCACCTTACAACTTAACTCAAGTTTTATTATTTAGAATTATTTTGAGGTTCTAAAACTTGAAATGACCATCACACCTTGTTTTAAATATATTAAGTTAATAATTAACCACTACAATTACCGTGAAGAAGTGCTTTCTGCTTTGAGTATTGAGACACACTCAGGGCATGGCCAATGGTCAGCATCATCTACAGTTTGTTTTAAACATTTTTGATGATAACTTCGTACACAAGTCTCACATGATATATTAACTCCATCTTTATGACATCTCCAGCAAAACATATCTTTGTTTGCCTGCAAAATAAGATATAGTTACGCGTTTTTCATAAGATCATTGACCTACTATTTCTTCAAGAAATAGCAACCAATTGGATACTCCAACTAACCTTAAATTTAATCAACTTTCTTGCCTTTTTAGAATCATCACTATCAACACCTAAGTGGGCATGTGAGGGAGATAACTTTTTCTTTTTAGGATCGTCTATTTCCCCACCAATGTAAGTGTATGCTAAAGATAACTTTTTCTTCTTAACAACTTTGTCTTCTGATTTTCCTTCCTGACCACTATGATATTCAACTTCAAGTTCACTCTCAGCAGTAACAGGAAATTTGGTATATTTCAATTCAGTTAAATTTTTCGATTTAGCAAGATCTGTAGATAATTCTTTACGGTGTTCAAGTGACTTTCGTTTTCGGGATAAATTTGTCTCTAGTTTTGCCTCTTTTGACAGGGCTAATAACAGCTTTAGCTCCCGGGATGGTGGGCTAGTTTCCGTTTCGTTTTCACTTTCCATGTTCTCACTAGTATCATCTTTCCTTTTGGTTGCATTTTCAGGTTTGTTTTCATGGTTCTCTTCAGTAAGCGACGTAACGGCGCTATCGGTCATGTTATACTCTTTTAAATTTTGCTTTTAACAATCTGTGTTACATATCAACATAATACTTCCACAAGATCTATATTTCATTGTACGCACTATGCTACGATGCTACACTCTATCCAACATTAGTAATGCTAAGGACTACCAACCGGTGAAGGTTGATGCCTAGGGTGCAACTTGAACGTAGCCAGACCAAATACCACTTCACTAAACTAAAAAACACTAAAATTATTGAAAGTCGAACAATTCTACCAAAATCACCTTCAGTAGTTGCATATTTAATCCAATTTTTGAAAATCTTTCTTAATAGTATGCCGAATTTATATTTTGTTATTTCTAAATTATTTATACGCGGCATTCCCTGACTGTTTTTTTCAGATCATTTCAACCAATCAAAGTAGATGAACGTCAGCTGATGGATGACAGTAGCCAAACATATTGGTCAATGTTGGTTAAGTTCATTAAAATTTTGTATAAGGTTCAAATTAAAGGATTCTAAAGTGACGCTTTACATTATTTAGCAAAATATGGAGAATCGCAACTAACGAGTCAAGCCTCAAAATAAAGATGTCAGCCTTTTGTTGCTTAAAAAATTGTTTAGATGGCTTCGCTCTAAATTCTTCAATTCAAAATGTATCTAAACCAAATCCAATTCACTTAGACACCTCCTGTATGGGTATGTGAAAGTAGAAATATACCTCTGTGATTTCTGATTGATTATTTCTAGGATATGAAGTTGTCATTGTTAAAGGGGGTCAGAGGGTCTGTGGTTCAGGAGCTGTTTTGGGTAGTGCTCCATTAGTGCAATCGAAATCATATTTTGAAGTCAAAATTCAACAAAGTGGTTCATGGTCTGTTGGATTAGCTTCAAGACAAACTGATCTCAGTCTAACAAGAGGTTAGTAAACCCCATCATCTTAAAAAAATTCTTGCACACTATGTGACAAAATTCTTGACTTCTAATCTGAAAATCTCTTATAATAGTAATTACATTTGTTTTAATTAATTAGAATCCCTTTTCTTTATCTAGGAGGAATGGATAAATACTCCTGGGCTCTTTGTAGCGATCATGTGATAAGACATAATAAGCAAGAACTACACAAAATAGATATGTCGAATGTGGATTCTGATATTGATTCATTGCAAGAAGGAGTTGTTATTGGAGTCGCTTTCGATCATATTCAAATAAGGTTTTACTTGAATGGGAAAGAAATTGATTATGCATTGCCTAATGTAAAAGGCAAAGTATATCCAGCTTTATATGGTACTGGTTGATTATTCAGCAATGCATCAGTTAACTCCTGTTCTTTGCAGTTGATGAAGGAGCTATATTAGATATAGTATTAGATAATTTTAATTACCCACCGCCCTCCGGATTTGAAAGGATCATGTTGGAGCAGTCACTTCTTTAATCCTTCTCCAAGGATTAATTAATGTACATAAAGTACATAAGCAAAAAAATCACAAAACTAAGCTGTTTACAGAGTCTCAAAATTGTTTTGTTAGTCATTGTGTAACAAATAATTGTTGTAACACTTAAAAATTCATACATTAATCTTCATGTACAAAACATAAAATGTAAAAATGTAAGAAATATATGCATAACATAATCTCTTCAAATTTAACATCTTGAAAAATTACTTTTTGTTATTTCTTAATTCCTTAGATTATTTAATTTAAAGTTAATTATATTGTTTTTGGGTTTTACTGAAAACTTTTTTCGTCCTTGGTAATATTGACAAAAATATTTGTGCCTAGAATATATATACTTTATAAGTCATTATTTATTCTGTTTATTCAAAGCAGTCATCTGGGTCCACAGTAAAAGTTGTGCCCAGGCAACTGTTTAGAAATTAGAGTCTTTCACATTACAGAATGAAGCTGCAAATTGAACTGCATAATTTTTATCCTAAGTAAAGCCTTGAGACCTTTGTTTTATATGTATTAACCATATTTATACTGCATATATGGTTATTCACATTTACATTTTCAGTATTGTCGAGAGAGACATTTGCCATTAAAATGACACTCATGTGGAATCTTGTATATCCTAACATATCTTGGAGTAGACAAGGTAGATGTCGCCAGGCTACGGTATACCGCAACCATTGTTTTATTGTGTGAATTTAATTTGTAAAAACCGAATCATGAAATGTCTTGCAACTTTGATGTATGAGCAAAAAAGAATTATGCCACTTCGCATGCTGCTCCATTCTCTAATGGGTAGGACTCGGCAAGTTAATTATGTAAATATGTATCTAATACCTTGAATATGTTTCACAAATATAAGTGTGATAACTCCCAACAAGGATAACAGACTTTCAAGTGCTAAGTGTGAGCCCACAGCACAAGATAAATCCTACCTAAACCTTGTAAACTATTTAAAAGCATATATTTTTCAAAAAAACTTCAAACATTTTTATTTTTTACTCAAACTGATTCACTACTGACAGTATACTCCACCTACATCTCCACCCAACAAACCAACATTAAATTAACGACACTGGTTTACCCTGTCGTCATAGTGCAGCCTGAGATGGCTTTCGGTATATAAACCAAATTTGGTTGAAAAAAAGCTTTTTCCTAAATCAATCAATTTCAAGCAACTTTGGACCATGAAAAAAACAAAGGCGCCTTCCAGATCAAAATGTGCTATATTATTCTTCTATTTCTGTTTATAAATGATTACGAATGAATGCCTCAATTTAATTCGAAAATGAAAAATTCCATGACGTTTAGTAACCACCCACCTTTATGAATTTGTAATGTGAAAATGAAAAATTCCATAAATTCCTAACCACCAAGCAACTAAACATATTAAATTAAATCAAGAAAATCGAAAATAGAAATTCAGCGATCATAAATCACAAGTATCATTTATACATATCTGAAACATCAAGAGGTCAGCAAGACCGGGAATACGCCCTATTGTCAACATTTCTAAACTTGCAGTATATATATATTTTTTTAAGTTTTAGTTATAAACTAAATTCTCGAACAAAATAGAAGCCTAGAAATATCAATGCTTTTTTTTTCGGCCACCTCATCCTCACCATCCTCATTACATGTCCCTACCAGAGCAGTTGTGTCATCTGTATTTTTTCTGCAGTCGTGTATGCTCGTCCCGTTCCTTGTAGGTTTATGCTTTGTTCTAGATATTCTCCAGGATCTTCTCAGGTATTTTTTCGTCTATCTAGCTATAAGTTGCCAACACTCGCATCATTACGTTAAAACGGTATTGATTTATACCATAAAAATCTAGAATTCTAGAGGTTTCTATAATGCTGGAAAATGGTATTTTAAATTGACTAAATTTTTCTTTGCACTTAATTCTTAGTTTTTTTGCTGAAGAACCCATGGTCAGTGTGATTGTCTTCCAGTAGATTAAAAAAAATCAAAAAATGTTTTAATATTTTATTAATGTTATACTTGACAAAAATAAAATAAAATGTAAATATTTCGATTATAAGACTCTGTTAATAATTTAAACATTTTATACATCTGCAACATTCTAATTATACAGTAATTTAAAATTTAAGATCGATGTCACCACATCTTAAGTAGGTACAATCATTTCTCACTTTTATTTAGTCCACAGTAAGCAATGAATATTTTACTGCATCCGAAAAGCGACTTAAGCTTTGCAACTCAAAATCACATAATTGTATTTAATATCTTGTGCAGTCAAATTATATATGATAGCGCAACTTCCACATGAAATCATAAGTTTTGGCGAACTCTCACTGCAGAACCTATAGCAACTAAAATTAATTTTCATAGAAATTTATGATCTGCCGTATTAAAAACCTACTTAGTTCTTAAAATTCGCAGTATCTCCTACTACCATATTCGATTTTCAGTTTGTGGTGCTCTCATCACACCTACACCACCGCCTAATCTCCTGTAGTTCATTGAGCCACATAAACGCCATTGATTTTGCTCAGTATCGTAAAATTCTATAGTCTTTAGGTATGCACTGCCATCAAAACCACCGACTGCATATAATTGGCCATTAACAACCGCCAATCCTACCTGAAATGTAATGTTGACTATTTTTTACCGAAGTTTTGACTCAAGTCTGTATGGCGACAATAGAAGCAAACATGTTTGTGAAAAGTTGTGGAATAGTATATTGCGCAACAAGTGTGGTGAGTACATTTAAGTCAGCAGCGGTACGAGCGGAGCACAAAAGGCGGTAGAAAAAAGAATTTTTCTGTCAAAGAAACTACCAAAAGTCATTCATCCTGTTGCCTTGTTCATAGCTTAATTGAAACTGGCTCGCATTCTACTCTGTATTGTTTCAGGGGGGCGGAGCTAACGGAGGGGCATGAACATTGTCTCGGATGACTGATTCCCATTAAGGTGGAAGATAAAGACCTAAGTCGCGGTTAATATTGTTGCTTATAGATTTCTATAGATTCGCGGATTTTTCGTTGGTGGAAAAATTGATTACATGCAGTTTTACCTAATAAGATTTGATGATCGGTTTCGTGATTGTGTTCGGCAAATGCTGATGAGTTTATTCATAGTCCTAAAACTGTTTCATGTTCTTTGAGTCTAGTTAATATTTTTTGTCAGATTTCTCCAATGTATTCTTCGCCCCATATGCATAGAATTTTGTAAACTCGTGGTATCTCAAACGGAATTTTGTCTTTGATGGATCGAAGATGTTGAGATATTTTTGGTAAATCTGGTTTTGATGTTATATTTCTTAAGAACTTTTGATATGTAGTCAGTGATGCTTTGAATGCAAGGAAGCACAACAATGGCCAATGTGGGTTTGCTTTGGGATTCATTGTGGAAGGTAGTGGTGAATTGTATTTTGTTATGGACGAAAATCTTAACTAGGCTCAAAGAACATGAAAGAGCCTTAAGACAAACTCATAAGCAGTTTCCAAACACAATCATGAAATAAGTCATCAAATCTTATTCGATAAAACTGGAATTCTTGCATGTAATCAAATGTTTTACCAACGAGAATCTATAGAAATCTATAAGCAACCAAAACAATCTGGACGGCGAATCAAATCTTTACTTTTCACCAATATGGGAATCAGTCATCCGAGACAATGTTCGTGCCCCTTCATTTAGCTCCGCCCCCCTCAAACAATATATAGGCAGGTCCTGAGTACAATGCAAGCCAGTTTCAGTTTGGCCCTCAAGAAGGCAACAGGATGATTGGCGAAAAGTCAGGAAGTTTGATTTATAAGCAGCCGACGCACACGGATCTGGGAAGACATTTTATCACGCCAGTTTTGTTTTCCTCAGATCTGAGCCACTTTAGACATTTCCACCGTATTACAGCACAGGTTTGGGTGCAATCGAATTTTTTCTGAGTGAATGTATTGTTACTTGCAAAAATGTACCCGAAAACTAAGATCCTAGAATAAATATGGTATGGAACTGTTTGAACCACTCATTTATTGATCCCATCAGCTCCTAACTCAAATGCCGTTTACCATATTTGTTACATAATATACTATTTAAATTGTCTGTATTTTTCTAAATAGTTGTTAATTCTCATTTCTTATTACACAGAACACAAAACAATATTGAAAGCAAAGTTTTTATGCTTACCCCACTTCTTCTTGAAGTCATTGCAACAATGGGACTCCACGTATTTGTATGTGGGTTATATCTTTCCGCGCTACTCAATTCCATGCAATCATCTCTACCACCAACCGCATAAATTAAATTATTAAATACAGCACAGCCTAAGTGTTTCCTTCTTGTTGACATAGGGCTAACTAGTGACCATTTATTATGACGAGGATCATACCTTCAACAAATACATACAAAATTGAAAATGTATAAACCAAAATCTGAAGCACTCACCTCTCAACAGTATTCAGAGGCGATTGTCCATCAGAGCCTCCAATTGCATATAAATATCCACCCAGAACAACCACAGCAACTCCAAGACGTCGAGTTGTCATTGGGGCTACCTTCGTCCATTTATTTTCCTTTGGGTCATATCTACAAGCTTAGTTTAAAATTTCTATTACTACAAAATTGCATCATTTCTCACCTCTCAACGTGATTTAAGCACTGAACACCATCTTGTCCGCCAACCGCATAAAGTAAGTGATCCAAAACTGCTACACCTACGCTAGTACGGCATGATGTTGTTGGAGCCACATCACACGACCACTGATCAGTTTGAGGATCATATCTATGGCAAACACATTTAAAAATTTAAAATCTTTTTTTGTTTTTCAAAAAAAACCTAGGTACCTCTCTATGCTGTTGAGATAACTTTGACCATCATGACCTCCCACAGCATAAAGCAGATCATTTAGAACAGCCACACCCACACCACATCTCCTCTTGCTCATTGGGGCCACCATTTTCCATTCCATTGTTTGGGGATCAAATTTTTCTACTGATGCAATAGCATCACCGCTGCACCAACCACCAACCGCAAATAATACCTCGCCTAGATATACCCGTTTAATCAATCTACTCTGCATTCTTAAAATTAATTAACTTTAAAGAATATACATTTAATTGGTAATTATTCGTTGCATTTTAGAATTGAAGCATTATTTAAATCAAAATAATTCCAACCAAAAGTAAGTAGAATTAAAAATTCCCAAAACCAAATAATTATTATTAAACCTACAAAAATATAGATGGATAGGAATGCCCAACTTGAGTTCAAGAACAAATTTTATAATACTTTAACTACTACTGCTTACTACCTGCCATTAGGTTGACTACAATTCCATTAAAAACCTGGCTGATTTAGACACCTTGTTTAAAATATTTCAATTTTTTTTTCAACTTTGGTGCAAATAACATTCATCTGCAGATTTATTTATTTATCAAGGGCCAATGGCCCAATATAAAATAAGATTCACATAAGCAAAATAGTAAACAACAAAATAAAATAAAATTTGCCTTTAATTGACTTTAAGATGTTATTGTTTTTAAGATTTCGCTGTACTCAGAAAATATTTTTTAATGTGTACTGTTTTGTATTTAAGATATATCAGGTCAGCAATTTTTGATAAAGTAATAATACATTTGAATAACTAATCCATAGTAGTTACTGCATAAAACTTTTCGAAGAAAGTATGAAAGTTCCCAATACGAATGCAAAAAATTCATCACCTCTACGTGTTGGTTTTCTAGGCCTTGTTCGTGGACCTTGCATTAAAGGTCTTTCTTGAGGTAGCAACAAATAATTCTTGGCTTCATCTACTAAATCTCTGCAAGACTCATCAGAACGCACTAGCAAATCCGATCCAACAGTTCCCACCAAAAATTTTGGACTTAGTAAAGGGAGTCTAACATGTTGAAGAACAGATGGCAAATGCTGACGCCGTTCGGACACATTATATTTCACCCAAGACATGACTGCATTAAAAACTTGTTCTTCAGTCCTGACATTTAGCTCATCACTAGCAATTATATCTATCAGCTGTCCTACAGGCAGTAATAAAAATTCTTCAGATTCCATAACATCTTGAAAGTTGTGTTGAGTGAATTTATCTGCTATTCTTAACAATTCTCTGCATGAATGGGTATCAGCAAAGGCGCGTATACCAAGACAATTTGAAGGATCTAACTGCCTTTTTAAAAACTCACAGCAGATATCTTGTATTTCAGTTAATTGAAGCAAGCATGCTGCTGGAAGCAACATCTGAACATTTGATTCCTCAACTACTATGTGTGAAGTGTAACAAAAATCTAAAAAAAAAAATGCATTCCATTTATTAGACAAATAAAAAAAAAATAACACACCAATAAGTAAATCCATAGCAAGTTCATCAATATCCCTAATTGTGACTTCAGTTTGTCTTGATTCGGCAAGCTCTCCAGTAAACATAGCCCGAAAGTATGGACTACAAGCGCTGAGAATTACTCTATGTGCAAAAATCTTCCTTCCTCCAACATTTAGTACAACATCACACAATTCTCTGTGCCTTCGTAAAAGATTTAACTCTGTAAGAGTATTTTTGGGATGTTTATCAGAAGTGTGAGACAGACGGGCTGGAGATGGAGGACGATCACCACCAGACATTTCACCCATTCTATAAGAACCCCTCAACTGGGAGGTGAGCTGCAATCTTAAGGGCGGTGACGCCCAACCCCAAACTGAGTCTATCTATAATAAAATTGTTTCCAAAATTAAATCCTCTTCAAAATAGTATAAACACAGCAAAGCGTACCTTTACGTTGTTTGAAAACACTATGAGAAAAGACTAGTATTCACGCTTTTCAAAGATATCCAAACACAAAAAGACAATCTTTTGAATACTGTATGTTCTAATTAGTTAATAAGCCTAGGAAGGAAATATTTGCTAAATAAATCACGAAATAACTTTACACTTTTATCATAAACATCAACATGGTTGTCATAAAGCTATCTAATATCGAATATTAGTAAGTTGCTATCAATATTTACGTTATGTGGTAAATCGTTTTAGGTATTTTCTGTCTAAACAAATAATACGGAATTTGACATTGACAGCTTGACAATATTGACATCGGCAATCATAGATATATAATTTATCTGGTTAGTGTGTATTACTCCAGGATGCGTAGGCGGAAAGGAGAGTTACAACGGTGATTTTTCTTGCATAGGAGGATAACAGTTTAGCATCTTGATGCCGTTATTTTGAGTCTCCATGCAATAAATATCGCATGAAAGGAGAATTGGTCTCCTGCAGTTTACGTATTTAGTAGGTGGGCAAATTTTTATCTAATTTATATTACAGGACAATATTGCTAATTGCAATGTTCTTGTGAATGTGATGTTAGTTTTTTATTTTTTGTCACGTCACTTTCACCTCTAGCTGTCGACTATTAGTTATAATCAACCACGGAGTACTACACTAACAAAAAAAAGAGCCTCAACTATTCCGGACAAACACATTCACATAAACCGCAATGTCCATGGCTGTGAAAATGTTAAATGTTGCAAACAAACGGGTTAAGTGTATAGGAATTACTGAATTATGGAGGTATATGCGGAAAATCATTATCTTTTCTAGGAAAATATTCATGCTGCCTGCGGGGCATCACTTTTTACCAAAGTTGGGCCACTATATTATCTAATAGCCATAAGGTTGAAATCCATAACATTTCAGTGCACCTTAACCGTTAACCGCTTTCCTCTCTAGAGATAGAAAACCATAGAATATAGAATACTTTTTTTATTCTGTGGTGATTACCAACACCATCAAGCACTATTGTGATTTTGTTACGGTAGGAGCAATTCTATGGGAGCGAAGCATTTTTTCGTAGTGCGGAAGTGTGCTTAAGCAGAAAAATACCTTATACAGATAAGCTTAGTTGACTGGGGATTTACATTTCCCATAATTTCGTGCTTTTACGTGTGCTCTTTGCATGAGGTATGTAACAACAACCGTAAAATATAAGTATGAAGTACCACTGTCAAATTGATTGATATCCATTTTCAGAAACATGGCGGAAGAATTAGATGTGGAAGCTATGTTGGAAGCCCCTTATAAGAAATCGGTATGTACTTATTAGTATTTGAAATTATTCATTCGTGCTACGGTTGATTTCTGCCCAGATGTGATTTAATAGCTACCTATATTTCTTTCGAAATGTCTAATAGTTGTGACGTATAATTGCACTCAAATGACATGTTTAGGTTTTTTAAAATTTAATTGAAACGGAGTTCTGCATCGTCTTGCGGACTTCTGTTTTATTAAATTTTGTTGAAGTAACGTATTCAGTTATTAGTTACATTTTATTGTTTCTTTGCTTTGCTCATTTTCCCAGAAAATTCCATATCCGTTACTTATTTTTGTACTAGGGTAAGAAGTAACTATAATTTAATTCAATATTGCCACCACACGTGCTATCTGTACCCAAAAATCTATCGTGTACCTTAAGCTCCGAAACGGATATAGTACTATGGCATCTCACTTTATGAATTTTGGTGTATTTGGAGGTGTCCTACATTTTTCCATTGTATACCGGGTACGCTTCATACTCGTAAAAATTAGTGTATCTGGTAATACAGGCAAGTTTTGCTTTCAGCTTTGGTTATTTTAAAAATAAATTTATTTTTTTCTCCAAAGATATTTAAAAAAGGATCCCGCTTTATTTTTCCTTTAGAAAAAAAACTTGCTTATTTACATTAAATTATTATTTATTGCAACTATGGTAGCAAAGTTGGCTGAACATATTAAAAATAAGCGATGATCACTGGATCTTTTAAGGTATTATACTTTTATTGTATTATGTTTTGGCTTAGTTATCTTCAAAACATTCAAGGTGCATTTTTGTCTCACACTTGAAAAGACAAGTTTTTGATAAAATTCTTTAAAATTTATAACAGAACTTACATTTTTTAATATTTCTTTTGCCTTCAAGTCTTGATACAAATCATCTAACTTCTCTAATGTATCCATGAAAGAAATATAGTTAGTTACACCGCCAATCAATAGCAAAAAGCAAAAGGGCACATTCTTTGATTTTGCCACTTTTGCTTATTTAAATTATGCCCTGTTCTTATATGTTTTCTACATAAAAGTCTAATTTTATATTTTAGAAATCTGAGCTTACATTTTAATTGGGCTATCAGCTCCCACCCTATATCCAGGTACATAATTACATTAATTTTTTGTTAATATTTGAGTAATTTTTGAGATATTTTTATTTATATTTAATTTATATCTTAAAAATATTTCGATTTGGATTGTTAAATATTATTGGCTGAAGATTATTTTCTCATCATAGGATGTTACATGAAATGGACAGGATCCTTCGACTTCAGTTGAGTTCCAAACAGTAAGGTGCCTTTACTGAGGATTCTTCAGGAGTAAAAAGTTCATCATTTTAATTTTGTTGACGTTAAGTGTAATGTACTGAACAGAAATGTTCCAGGGTAAATTGACCGCAATTAACAAATTTTTAAATCTAGGCACTTGAGTTTGTTTGTAAAATAAAAATATGTTGCCATATTTGCCAAATAATTAAAACTGGGTTAATTTCCAATTTAAAATATCCTGAATTGCTTTGGTTAGTTTATTTTATCACCCTTACTAGCAACATTTTAAAGTAAAGAAAGCAGTCTAACAGATGGGCCATGAAAAGCGGTTTATATTTTTTAATTTGGTCAAGCGACACATTGCTGCATATACTATTCAGTGAATCTAGTGTAGCGAAATTGTTTTTTTTTTGTATGAAAGTAGTAATGGTTAGGATGTTATTGAACTAAATTCCAAACAAAAAGCTTAATGTTAAAATTTTTTAGCATAACAGATTAAGGGAATGACAAGGATTTTCGAGCCAGTTTCTGGGCGCGAAGGCACCCTAGAGCCTGTTCAAATATTATTTCAAAGATAAATTAAATTGTTTTCGATCTTGGAACTTTAGTTGCAGATGTACTTTTTAGAGTATAAACATTTTTAAACTACTTGTCATTGTCCTGGATTAGATGAAAAAAACTGGCTCCCAATTTTGGTCAATATTAATATGTTAATAATTCAGGAGTAATAGTAGTCTTATGTAGGTCTATTTTTTCAGAAGTATTCTTGGGTGAAGTATTGCAGCATTGTTCCTTTGTAATGGCGTCACGACGGTAAGTCTAGTCAGGGCTAGACACGTCTCAAACTGTTTAAGCCAGAAACTTCCACACCAAACTTGGGCATCGAAATTTTATATTTTTAATTGATTTACTAATTAAAAATCGATTTTTCATTATTTAATGCTGTTTTGTTTTTCACCACCTTCTGCATGGTCTTCTTGCTGTTCATAGGACGAGTACAATGGCAGGACCAAGGAAAATGGTGAATCAGGGAAGCATCGGAGTTCAGAGTAAGTTGTGTCTCAGTTAATAATGAATATATTAAATTCAAAAAAATTAACGAAAAACAATTATTATTACTAAATACCTATTGCTAATTAATTTTTGAGCTGTGAATAACAGTAGCATCATCTATAAGCAAGTCAAAAAAAGCTACTCCGAGTTTATTGAAAAGTTGTTAAGAATTGACAGCAATATGCATTTTGAGAATATCTAAAATCCCCAACAATTTGAAATTTAAAGTACTAAAATAAAATTGTAAACAAACGATTACAAGATGCATTGTGTAATACAAATTGCGTTCTAACTTTGTCACATGAAACATTCATGCACCAAACCAACCTAAACATATCAAAGGCAACATGTCTTAATTTTTTCCCACAGTTGTTTTAACGGGTTTGAATAGTAAATGACTTTAATTGAGCATTGATTTCTAATTGTCAAAATCTAAGAGATTCTATTTCCAGTGTCAATGAATAGCTTAAAACCAGTGATCCCCTTGCCTGTGTTCTATCCTAAGTAAATAAATATTAAAGGGACATTTATTATTTATTTGTGTATATTTAACACTATTACTACAAAAAGCGGAAAGAAGTAGTGTAATTATGAAAAAAACTAAGTCAGCGGCACTGCAAGGCACAACCACGAGTATTATGGATGTAGTAGTATCGCCGAAATACATTTTGGGAACTACATAGTCGTAGGACTTTGGGAAAAATCCTGTAAAGAAAATCCACGATGGGAAACTCTTAATGTACCGCTAGAGATCGTAATTGATAGGGATATGGAAAATTATGCTAAGGAAATATACTCGCTCAGTAATATTTTTTGTTGAAGAAATAAGAGCTTAATGGAATTTGGAAAACTAAGTGTAGAAAAGCACTATTTAGCACTTAAAAATTTTTACTACTATTTGTTTCAACATGAAAAGAGATTATGTACAAGATACAAACTTTTGCTAGAAGAATGCATAATGCTAAATTGTGTTTACTCCTTCTGTCTATAGAAATAAATTAAAATTTGCATAACATTTTCACTATCAACTGTTTTCTACGTTTACTATTGCGACCATTAGTTCCTGAAATATATGGTACTTTCAAGCACTAATAAATCATCTTGTCCCTGCTAATGCAAACAGAAAGTAAATGAACGAATTTTTCCTCATCCCCATCGCCTGACCAAGGTGAGATCAAAATGCTGTCGGCTATTTTTGAACGATTTATTTAATTTTTTAGATTTCTTTGTTTAAGCAACAAGTCGGTGAATTGTTAAATAAAATTGTACATTTTTTGAAGACCTGCGAATCGTCCAGAACTCATTTATCATAGGTTTGTTCAAAAATTTTAAGTTTGTGCTGTTACATATTGTTACATATGTTTTTTCATTGAAAGGGCTAAAAATGACAAAAAATTGTTCTTTTCACTTTTCGAATGGCGCAGTGCTAAATGAATTCCACAAATATGTAGATGACTTATTTTGAATCATTTTATTGAAAAGAATTAAAAAGTTGAAATACCTTCGACATCTTTGAAGTATCTTGCGACTGATAAATTCGTATTTGCAAATTGCAAATTAGCATTTTCTAACGGAAATATTTTTTAGTTTGAGTTTATTTACAGTTGTTTTGTATTTTACAATTGTTCAATTACAGCAAACGCAGAAGCCGTAGTAAAACTCCTAAGCGAAGCAGGAGCCGATCTAAAGATCGGCGCAAGTCGGATAAGGACAGGGATGACAAACGAAGGAGTCGTAGTCGCGACCGTAAACGGTCGCGTGACCGTCGCAGGTCCAAATCGAGAGATAGACGGTCAAGATCAAAAGGTAAAGAGCGCCGAAGATCTAGATCCAGAGGAAGAAGTCACTCGCGCGATCGCAAAGAGAGGTAAACATTGAATTCACTACTAATTACTTTTTAGCTTCAGCGTTAATTTGCGTTGGGTATTTACATCCTCAGGCCCTTAAATTTTTGGTAAAGTCTGTTGATAGATATAAGGGCAAGCTGTAAGAATGAAATATGGCCGAACATGTCCGTACTTTGCTTAGAAATCGCTATCATCGCCTGTTCTAATTATTATTTGTTCTATATTATTTGCAATATGGATATACGATTGTTCTCTTGTTTTCTATATGTTCTGTTATGTTAAAAACTTCGGTTTCTATAAGTTTGAGTACATTGGAGTTAACACGGGGAAAAACATTGTTCCGACGAATAGCAGATTTCAGTTGGTGCCAAACATGTTAAGTGGGATTAAATATACAGTGGTAAGGTGGAGGAAGCCTTAAAACTGTATGCCCTAGATTTTTTGCATAATTATCACAGACGTATTCCTTTTGTAGGTTCAAACTTTATAGAATCTCAATTAATTGCTTTTTGGTATAATCTTCGTGAAAATAAATGTCGTTATTATACATGTAGCTTTGGAATGTTGCTTCTGTGTTACATGAGAAAGGGGTTTTAGTCAACTCTACTGTGATAATTTGCATTGTCCATTACATTGACGCTATTAGGAGGAATGTTTGGAACTAGTTTGTTTTTAAACCAACTTTCAAATAAATCAGCGGTGGTGTCTTCATGGTAATCCAGAGAAGAATCTTTAATATTTTTTTGCAGACAGAGAAAGTCCATTTGGAATCCAACCATCTTTAGAGCCAACATGCAAAATACTTATTCTTTTAACTCTTTTTGATGGCGCGTTTGTTTTACACTTATCAGTTGAGTCAGCCCAACCCTTCTCCGTTGTATCATAAGTGTCGAACCAGGTTTCATCCAAGTAAATAATTGGCCTTTGTTGTTCTCTATAAATCCTAATTTTTTTAGACATTCCAGTCGCCATTTCGGAATTCTAAAAGATTCCATTAAAACTTGCCGTTTGTCAATTTTTTTAAATCTAAAACCCATGTGTTGAATACCCTTCCATAAGGTAGTTCTGCCACATTTAACACCGGTGTCATCTTTTTCAAGCCTCCTAATTAAGATATCTAATGTAGGCACGCTTTGTTCCTCGTATAACTGGTAAATTTTACGCCGTATTATATCTTGATCACTTTCATCTACACTCGAGAAAATCGCATCGCTGCCTTTTTTCCTCGCTGAAATGGGATTATTCACAATTTTCCATACAGTTGATGTTGGAATTTTGGTCAATGTGGCCGTTTCTTCTAAAGATGCTTGCTTGCTGTCACCACGTTCAATGAGAGTCAAATAAACATTGTTCATAACTTCCTTAGTCTCAATAGAATAGTGTTTTCTACATTTGGGCGGGAGCATCTCCTGAGATCCACTAGACTCGCACATATTTTGCATAATTCGCACACAATTCAACACACGCTGTATTACACACGAAATAAGAATGATTACTAATAAACTTAAACTAAGTAGTATACCAAACCAAAGAATATTAAACACAGGTAGGTATAAAATTATTTTCTATTACGGACCACAATTTTACCTGAATTTAAAATTTAGGTACTAATAATCCCATTCAAAAGCAATTGGTGACTTTCTTATATCTATGAACAGATCATACAAACTTTGCCAACACTTCACAAGGTACAAGTAAAGTGAATTATGTATATGCTTTTTATGCGATCTACCTAAGGTTAAATTAGTATGGGATGTCATGCCAGTTGTTTTCGCATCACGCTGTAGTGTTGCATTTATTTATAATTTCTACATAATTGAGCAATTATAAAATTTAATCATATGACGGTTTTTACTGTTTTGCATAGTGTGTCCATAGGTAGTGATGTACGGCGGATCTCCAAAACGGTAAGAGTTACGAGATCGGTCCAATTTGGGAAAAGTTGAACATTTATTTTCGGGGAATGTAGATATTGTCCCGAAAAACTCAACGAAACTATCCAAAAATCATGAAATTTGAATTATCCAATCTGGAAATTTTCGATTCGATTTCGATTTTTATTCCTCCTGTTTTTATTTAACTATATTTTATACCAATTAACATTGTTTATTTGAATAAATATTTTGCTTTGGTTTTATTTTGCACTTTTTTTAAATAATGGCTAATTAGAATTAGCTAGTAGTCCCAAAAACTGTGTTTAGTGATGATCCACATGAGCCCTCTAGACCACTGCCAAATGCAAATTATTTTTCTTTATTTTCCATTTTATTCTCAATTTGCTTTCTAAACACAATTTTCATCATTTGTTAATTCATAATATTTACTTACTAATTTTACAGAAATGAATGAAGTAAAATTTTGACTTCAAAAAATTTTGTCATTTTAATCAAAATAAATAATTGATGTTCTTTTATTAGACAAAAATTTAATCATCTTGTAAAGATTTATGTTTCTAAAAATATTTGTAGTTTTATTTTTAAGTAAATCTACAATGCATGAATTTTGATTAATTATAAAATTTACTGATTCGCTAACCTTTTTTGTTTCCTAAAGGGAGAAAGTAAGGAGACGTAGCAGCAGGGACAGAAAAAGTCGAAGCAAAGACAGAACACGTAGCCGGGATCGTAAAAGGTCTCCTCCATCACCTGTTGCTAAACCGTTTGCATCTCGATCGATTCGTTCACGTTCTCCTCTAGGCTTGCGAAGTCAATCGCCGCTGGAAGAGCTTAGCCCCGAGGAGAGAGATGCAAGAACAGTGTTCTGCATGCAACTGTCCCAAAGAATTAGGGCCCGTGATCTGGAGGAATTTTTCAGTTCAGTAGGGAAAGTAAGGGATGTCCGAATGATAGTGTGCAATAAAACAAGACGGTTTAAAGGCATTGCTTATATTGAGTTTAAAGATCCTGAAAGCGTGGCACTGGTAAGTTTTGAGTCAATTTTATGTTTGCTCTTTTGATGTTTATATTTTTAAAGAATCATTTATTATTTTAGGCACTCGGTCTCTCAGGTCAGAAGTTGTTGGGGGTGCCCATTATAGTTCAGCATACTCAAGCGGAGAAGAACAGAATGGGAAATTCCATGCCAAATCTAATGCCTAAAGGTATGACTGGGCCTATGAGGCTTTACGTTGGATCTCTGCACTTCAATATCACTGAGGATATGCTTAGAGGAATTTTTGAGCCATTTGGGAAAATTGAAAATATTCAATTAATTATGGATCCTGAAACTGGCCGGTCTAAAGGATATGGATTCATAACAGTAAGTTTTCCTCTGTGGATACTCATATTGTCATTAAAATTATATTTCAGAAGTCAAATTTTATAAAATCTTGTATATTAAATTTGATCGATTCACTCTAACAAGCAAACAGAAGCATTCGCTTTGGATAGAAATTTTTAAAAATAAAACACGTCAACCTACTTACAGATTTGATATTTTGATCACATGTTTTGAAATATTCATATTTGTATTTACGCATTGTTTGTGATTTTTTCATTCTCAGAAGTAATTTTTGTGTAAGATACAAAATAAAAAGTTTTCTCAAGCTACAATGATTTTGCACTATTTAGTTTATAATTATTATGGTGACCGAAAAAATACCTTTGCTTTTTGATAGGGTTGTGGAATTGACCGGTCAATTTTTTTTTGTCAATTGACCAGTTAATGAGCGAAATAATTCTAAAAATACAATGAAATTTATAAACATATTTATAAATTTATCGTATTCGGGTATTCCTTTAAGGGTGATGGGTGACATCATAAATGGGTAAAAATTTATTATAAATTACATATTATTAATAGTGATAGACAACATTCTACAATTGCAAGATGTTATTTAAAAATTAAAAATTTCTTAAATTTAAAGTTTAAAGTAAAAAAAAAGTTCAATGTAAGGCTATTTGGATCATAATAGTAATATCAAACGAGATTTATTTTCTTAAAATTATAAATTGGTGCTAATTGGCGTAATTGCATGTTCATCTTGCTTATCAAGTAATGTCAACAAGGGGGCTCTCTATATGTACCGAACTAAGAACCGCACTTTATACTAATGTGACAAGATGGCAAATTGTGTTCTCATGCCGTCACTTTATACCTATACTAAAAACTGTAGATACAATAAGTACTTGACATAAGTTTATATTTGGATTTATTAATTAATTAAGGTTAACCATTTCAGTTCCGGAACTGTGACGACGCCAAAAAGGCACTGGAACAATTAAACGGCTTTGAGTTGGCAGGGCGGCCAATGAAAGTAGGAAACGTGACGGAACGGATTGATCTACAAAGTCAGGGCCCGTCGCTTTTAGATTCTGACGAACTCGATCGCTCTGGTATCGACTTGGGAGCGACGGGACGGCTTCAGCTAATGTTTAAATTGGCTGAAGGAGCGGGCATGCAAGTGCCCGCCGCCGCCGCCAATGCTTTAAGCATGGCAACGGGCCAACCGGTGGTGCCACAAGTTCAAACCAACACTACCCCTCCCATCGCCACACAGTGTTTCATGTTGAGCAACATGTTTGATCCCAGCTCGTAAGTTTTACTATATTCCTTCTAGTTTTTTCTCTTGTAACAGTAACAGCAATCGATTAATTTGGTAATTGCTCTTTTATGAAATCTTAATATAAAATAGATCAATCAATTAATAAAAAATCGATCATCTAGTCTGCAGTTGTTGGACTGGAAATTGTAAAATGATTTTTTTTTCTTTTTCGTAACATTTTGTTATATTTACGTAAGTGTAAGTGTAAATTTTCACAGCGACGCATGATTTCAAAGAATTTTTTTTGTAGACTGACATCTAAATTATTTATTAATTACGCATATTAAGAGCATTTTCAACGTCATCAGTAGGTGATCAAAAGAAGCTGCAGTAGACATAACCTCACTTTTGGCATCCCTCCTGCATGGGTGGGGGCCCCTCCGGCTGCGGGCGGTGCTTTGCCCCCCGCGGGCTGATGGGTACCCGAGCTAACCTAAAAAATGACTAGCCCTTTTGCGTCCGGTGCGTGGCCGTACAAAGGAACGGGGTGCTTGCAGGGGTTTTCGGTTTTCCCCGCGGACCTTCCCGCCGACCTAACCTAAAAATGACTAACCCTTTTGCGTGTCCGTTTTCGTGTGTGGTCTTGGCCGTACTAACTGTGTTGTGTGGGGGGGGGGGGGTGCACGAGGTGCGCGCTCTCATCTACCGTTATTTGTTAACGAAACCAGCGGCAAATTGTTAAAAATGATATTACCAACGCGTCGATGAATAACACGTTTCTTTCGGCAACGAAGTGTTGGTCCAAAATCACCGCGTGTGTGGGCGTGGAACGCGGCTGGGTGACGTAGGCCCGCACGAGGTGCTCGCGTCGACCGTCCTGTGTTAACGAAACCGGAGGTGCCCATCGGTGGCCACGCGCTGGCGAATCATTTTTTTTAGATTAGCTCTTGGACCGAACGGCCCGCGCGGGCGAACCCCACCCGGAAGACTGTCGCAGCCGGAGGGACCCCCCATCCCGGCAGTCGGGATGCCAAAAGTGAGGTTATGTTTGCTGCAACTCCGTTTGATCATCTACTGTAATAATTTTTTTTTATCTTTTTAAAGCGCATAAATTGTGCCCTGATTGGACATGCGCAGTGCCATTAAACAATGTTGCCAGCAACTTCGACGATTTCCTATACTTTAGTTAGGGGCTGGAGTGATAGGATGTTTTCGGTAGATTTTAAACAGTGATGGTATTTCGACGTTTGTCAGTTATAATGGTCCTGCATGTGCTCTGCATTCAACATGTTACTTAGTCAATATATTAATGTTTTGCAAAAATTTATCCAAAACTAATGATCGTAAAAAAAGTAAGTTTTACTGCGCATCGTTCGGGCTCAAAGAAATTTGTGTCGTTGTTAAAACTTTTTGCCCAATATATTAAATAACATCCAAGTATACCCATGTATAGTAAAATATAAAATAACACATAATCAGCTCAATTTAATAATTGAAATAATTTAATAAATGTTACATTAAATAGAATTCATTAAAAAAATTAAGAAAAATTCGTTGTAATAATTTTGAATCAATATCTTCAGATTGCAGTAACATATCTCATATTCGAACACGTTGACAATAATTTGAACCATTAATAATGCCACCAATTTAATTTACCCCACATGGTTATTTTAAATTTTATGGCGAAGGTGAACTAGGCTCATAATGGCTTTATTTTTGGTTTTAGAAAAAAAAAACCTTTCATGTGGACGATTTGTTGATAAATATGCAGCTTATAAAGTGTACCAATAAAACAAGTAAATTTTTGGAAATAATTGGAGTAAGTCAGCGGAAAAAATACTACAAGTTAACCAATTTAAATGACCTCTTAATTTCAACAATTAAAAGGTTAGCATTAGTGCCGATTTCATTTCTTCACACTATATACCACACGAAAAGCAATAATATTAGTAACGATCAAACTACAAACAAATCCTATGCTACTGACCTATCCCTGACATAATTTCAAATATTACAGTATAACCGCTTAATTAAAACAATCTTAATTTTTTTCTGCCCTATTAAATTTCGTTAGGGTTCACATTATTACAAAATTTAATTTCCGCATGGTAAGGGTGACTTACTTGCTGCAATTGAAGGAGAAATATATTGCAATGCACATTTATTTTTTAAAATTTTACAAAAATATTTTAAAAATTTGAAAAATGTATGTTCCCTGAAACATTTTCCTGAAACAATTTGCCGGAAACGCCGACGTCGCTCCTTACAGTCGTCGAACAAAAAGTATTCATGAATTACTGCGTTTCAGGGAAAGCAACTCAAATTGGGACGTGGAAGTGCGGGACGACGTAATCGAAGAATGCAATAAACACGGGGGTGTGTTGCACGTTTACGTCGATAAAGGATCACCTCAAGGAAACGTATACGTGAAATGTCCATCGATTGCAACGGCAGTCGCGTCAGTGAATTCCTTACACGGTCGGTGGTTCGCTGGGAGAGTGATTACAGCCGCGTACGTACCATTGCTAAATTATCACTCCCTGTTCCCTGATGCTATGACTACGACGCAGCTGCTACTACCATCCACTAGAAAATAATTATCAGTTTTTTTTTTTGGTTGTACAAAGTATTTTTCACTTTTATCTTGGATGATATTGGAATTGTGTAGACTTCAAGATGAAACATTTAGATTTGTTATGTTTTCCGTATATTGATTATCAAATTGATTAATGAATAAATGATAATAAATGGTTGGGTGTTATTTAGTACCAGATTGAAGTTTTTCGGTAGAGCTGGTAGGCATTGGAGGAAATAATGCCAAACCAAATAATACCAAACATTGCGGCTGACATTTAGCTTCGCTTGGCCAGGTTTGAGTTTAGGCGTAGCATTTTTGAGATGTGCGACCACCATATTATCTAGTACCTATATTCTCTACACCTAAATGCCTTTGTTATTGTCAAAAAGTATCGGGATCTGCTGGGGGTACCACATTCACTTTAGTCTGCACTGTACTGGATTTTTGATGTCCTAATGACAGTGTGAAGTATGTGCTCGCTATATTGTAGAGGCGAGTCAGTGACGTGACGGGTAAGTATTTTATTTTATTTGCTATAAAACCGACAAAGGAATTATTAAATAAAAAGCAACAGCGATATCGGCGGAAGTTAAGCAATTATGTCCTAAAGCGTAGCATTAAATTAATCACAGGCTGTGTTTATATATGGTATATTCGAAAGAACAGGGAAATTTATAACTGCGGAAGGATTAAATGGAATACAAAGGAGTAGTTTTCCTTTTGGGTTTTATCCATCACATTTTTGAAAGTTGCACCCACGCTGTTTAGACGCAAGAATGAGAAATTTAATAAACTATTTTCAAGTTTACATTGTTGTATCGTTCCTCTTCACCACCACCATAACTACTAGTAAGTAGTAGGATTTTGATGCATCTACCTAATTTTCTATTTCAATTTCAAGATTTATCTAACGACTCAAAAAATGGAAAATGCCGGACGAGTAGTATTTTAGATGGGTGTAGAAACATGTATGGAGATTTTGTAGATAAATAATTGAACTTCTTGTCTGAAACTAAATTTTTTTCAGAAATGTTAATTTTTTGGACATCCGGTATGACTTGCCATGAAAGTCGTGTATTGGATATTAAGCCTTACTAAAGTAGCGTTTTTCTGCTAGGTAAATGTTTTTTTTTTCGAAATGAGGGAAATAAATAAAAGTTATTCAGAATTTTGCGCACCGTTGTAATATATATGGTGTTCTATTTGAAATTTGTCTGTTTCAAGTTAAGTTGTCAATGTGTAGTATGTGCCTAAATATTATTTTACACACTCTGACCAAATACCAAATTTCAAAAAGAAACTAGTTCTCCAGAACTTCTAATTGGATAGTAAACGTAAATCATCCTTTGTATACCCTAATATTTTTTAAAACATTAAAATAGTGTCCACTATTTCATTTTGAAAAAATGATATAATAGCCAATACATCTGCATCTAATTTTAGGCAATAGGTTTTTGTGAACAACATTTGTCTAAATTCGTGTGCTGCAGTTTCTTTTTTTTTCTCATAAATAGAAAAACTAAGTTTTTTTTATGTTTAAACAGTCTGAATCATTAAAAAAAAAGATCAGATATAAAGGGTTTTACGAGACTAAACCGTTTGATTTTAAACGTTAGTGTTTTCTAATTCACAATTTCGTGTTATTCTGGGTAACTAAAATCTGCAAAGCTACATTAAAAATTGTCACTAGAATTTGTATTTTTATTTTCACTTTTGTCTCTCTAAAATAGTACTAAATTTTAAAAAAAGTCATATTACTTTTATTATTTACCAATGGTTACGTTAAAAGTTTATGTTCTGAACAATATTACTTCGTAGAGTTACACATATTTTTTCTTGTTTTGAGTTAAATCCGATTTGGTTGTAATTAGCGTTTAATTATTTAGTGTACTCGATTGTAATAAAGGACCGATCATTCCGAAAAAATGTATCACCAAATATCGATGAAATAAATCTTCTAAGCACGATCTGAGATGGTAACGAAACTGGTTTTCTTACAATATGTTATTTGATGCGGAACGCGTTCTGCGAACTTATAACGACTGCTTTAATATTGTTATAGTAAACCCCCAAATCCAAGGTCAAATGAATATGCGAAAGGTTGACACATTATTTTCAATAAATAAATGTTACTCCTTCTACTTGCGCGCGTTATCAGCTTAAAGATTTGATGCTTGGTCCGGTAAATGTTTAGTAGTCCTTCAGCGTCAACGGAGATCTGATTAAACGCGAAGATGAAATTTCATCGCTTTACTTTTTTAACACTTGTGGCGGCTATATCCTCCGAACATTTTGGACTGGCAGCAACGGCAGATAGCAAAGTCGTATGTTATTATGACAGCCGGTCTAATAATAGAGAAGGTTCGTATTTTTATATTAAAAATCCTGAGAATTTTAAAACGAATATCAAATTAAATATCGTTCAAATGTACATATTTTTAATGAGGCAAGGCATATTTGTGGAATTTATTTCAAAATCAATAAATCACATTGAGTTGATAATTAATCCCGCATATATGGCGTATACCGAAGAAAACTCTTCCTTACTTTTAGAACTCCGATTAAGTATCAAATGATTGTTTTGTTTATTCTGTGTTTTTTTTATCGTATAAGTATTTTCTATAGATAGGGTTCTCTGGGAATACAATATTAATCGCACTGATGTTTTCTGATTAAGCAGAAATCGTGTTTATCCTAGGATACTTTAGGATATGATGTTGACAAGAAAAATAAAAAGAAATGCAAGTAATTTTAAAAAGTAAATGGTAAAGGTCTAAAACATATCTAGTGCAAAATGCAAATGATATGAAGTAAAATTTGTAAACTTATGACAGACACCATGTATAATATGTATTGTTGAGTAGCTGGGTATCAGTAACACTTTAGTAATTGAGTAGCGTTTACTTTTGTCTTTTACGGTGTCTAGTTTATTTAAATTTTATTTTTATTCGCTTAGATATTTTCTGGTCGGGAAAATGAAAATAATAATAAATGAAAAGACTTCCAAATATTAATAAACTAAAAATATCTTTTATATTAGTGATAGGGAAACTATTACATTTCTGGGTAGTTACGGTTATTTAAATGCATAATTAAGCATTTCACATTGATGTAAACTAATAAAAAATATTTACCGCAATACTTTTTATAATACTAGTGGATTCCTCCTGCGTCGGTTTTTGTTGAGTCGTACTAGCTAACGTTTCGCCAATCATCTTGTTCAGAGCTTGACTGAAACTGAACAGTTGGCGAAACGTTAGCTAGTTCGAGTCAACAAAAACCGACGCAGGAGAAATCCAGAAGTTTTATAAAAAGTGTTTCAGTAGCCTGTGGAAGTTCCTTTGAAAAAAAAATATTTACCGTATTTTTTAAAGTTTTTTTAAATATCTGTTTAAACGGTTTTAACGCATTTATTAATAAAGTTTCGCGTCATTTGCGTATTGTATGTATACATAAGTATTAGTATTACTAATAATATTAATATTAAACGAAGAATTCGTAGGAGTAGCTCGATACTATAAAGGCTTTTTACGTTTTTATGCTTAAGTGATAAAACACTGAAGTATCTACAGAAAATAATTCCCCGCATGTAAAGATCCCCCTCTCCCCGCATGCCACTGTGAGGTATAAAAAATACCGCAAAATGTAACACAAGGTGATACTACTTTATATACATTTCTTGCAAATTCAAGGTCAGCTGTGTTAGTCACAATTCAGATCAGGCGTAAAAAATGCTCGCAAATCCTAAAATAACGAAAACAAACAACGGAGAAACGGAATGTCAATAATAACAAATTTATGCTATTATTATCATAAATATGTGAAAAAGATTTTATCAGATGGATTAATGCAGCACAGCTTTATGGTCCCTTTTTTGTAATGTATACCTAGATAAGTTCTTACCACATATTCTCAAATATATATGAAAGCGATATTTCATTTTCTTATTATTGTTGGTCATCCTGGAAAGGAAAACAACCTTATTTCATTGTTGAAAAACTACGCGGATATTACCATTGGTTTTGTTCTTTATGTTCTGAAGTTATGATATAAGAAACATTTATTGAACGATTTTCTGTACCTTTCTTTTATAAACTCTTGTAAGTTAAAAAATCAGGCAAAAATGAAATTGTTATTGGCTATTGGCAGAGCGAATAAATTTACGAAGAACTATTTCCTAAGATTTTCATACTAATCGTCGTTTTACATCTTATATAAAATGCAAATTTTCCTTCTTTTTTTTTAATCAGGATTATTCACACGGCACAAAATGAATATTATATTTTCACAAAATTTAAATTATGTGAGAATTCTTAAGGTTTATGTATGCTAAACCTTATTGAAACATCCATTTGACCGTCAAATTGAAAAATCTGTTGTTATTTTAAAAAATAACTACACAAAGTAATACTTTTTAAAAACTATTTATTTTGGCCATAATATTCCGTGCCGTCCCTACAATAACTATGTATTTCCATCTGCGGCTACTAGTTAAGCAAAATCTTCATAATTTTAAATTTAAATTAATGTGCGGTGGCGGTTTCCAATTGTTCCAATTGTTCATTTATGATGTCCGTGAAAATCACCAAGTCTAATTCAACACTTTGCCTTAACTGGACCAATCAAATCTAACAAATAATTTAATAAACAAACATTTCTTGGAAATAATATGTTTGTTTGTTGCTATCTGGTTTAATATATGTACACGGGGTTATCGCATAATTGAAATGTCCTACTAAATTGTGTGAAACTATGTTATAAAAGACACTTGAGATACTACTTATATTAGCAATTGTCAATAGATCATTTAATGAGCAGATGTTACTAAAATACCAAAAATCTACTGGAAAATAGATTTAATATTTAGTTTAGTTTTTAATGGAATCAAATACTGTAAATATTGAACAGTGGTGCAAAGCTTCATCCTTGGTTAATAGGTTCGTGGTGTTGGATTGGTTTTTAAATCATTTCTTGCTATACAGGGTGTGACTGTAACGCAGAGAAAAAGTTCCATATTTGGCGAAGAATTTGTAAAAGTTAGGAGTCCTGTAAAGTTCTTTGTAATGATAGGTAAATCACTCGGTCAACACCTCGAAATGCTTTGTTTGATATATTGAGATGCTATTGAAATATGAAATTTAACTAAATTCCCTTTTTACTCTTAAATTAGAGCTGAACAATAACAGGTACCGTTTAAACTGCATCAGTGACTTGTAAATAAAATGGTCAACACCAGCATGCAAAAGTTGCGCATTTGAAATGAAAAAATATAAATTGTGTAAAATAAGAGAAGCTTTTTTCCTTTTTATTGAATACCCCTGATTGTTATTATAACACTATACAAAAACTTTTTTTTTTATTTCATAAACTGCTTCATGTAGACGGTATCTGTTTTTAAAAATAAAAACTGAATTTCATAAAATGGTCATATTTCCATAGCAACGCAATGTATCAAATAAAGCATTTACCGATGTTGACCTAGTGATTCACCCATCTGTACAAAGAACTTTACAAGACTTGGCGAGGCGTGGACCTAGTAATCCCATCTTTTCCAAACTCTTCGCCAAAAAATGGAAATTTTACGCAGCTTTACATTCACACCCTGTATAAAAATTATGGATTTAAAAAAAAATCTGATCCCACTATCGCCTAGATGAACCATGAAGCAAGTGAAAACTACACAACTTTTCGAGGGCCCGCTTCATCGGCCGTTCAGTTTAGAATAAACCGCTACGTTACTGAAAATTAATGCAACGATGTTTATGTAATATTTTCGATACCCGTTTTACGTTTTGCAGGTCAAGGAAAGTTCGATATCGCTTTCTTGGAACCCGCACTTCAATTTTGCACCCACTTGATTTACGGATATGCCGGCATCAAAGAAGAAAATTTTAAACTGGTTCCTCTCAACGAGCCTCTGGATATCAACAGGCAAAATTTCAAACACATAACCGACTTAAAACGAAGGTTCCCGGGTTTGAGGGTTCTTCTTTCTGTGGGTGGTAATGTCGATGTTTCTGGCGAAGGTAGCGAGAAAAATATGAAGTATAGAACTCTTGTAAGTTATTTTATTCGAATAGTCAAATTATTAGTCCACAGATTAATCACAGTGTTGTACCTTAGGGGAGCATATTAGGAACGTAAAAGTTCGGAAGTAACGAAAAATAATTCTATAATAAGCTTAAAATATGCCGATGACAACAGTTGTAATTCCTGGGTAGGTCTGATCCTATTCAACTGATTCTGGTCCAATTTCAACTACCATATATTTCGAAAAACTCAGCTCATAATAGACAGCTGTGTACTCTTTCAAATTACCTACTCGAATGGTACTCTCTTTGTCGTTAAGATCAGAAACGATATAATAAATTTTAATTAGTGCACAAAACTTCTAGGAATACTTCTGATAACCATTTAAACTTCGAAGACTATGCTGGAAATTCACATACGAGATTTGATATCATCATTTTTGACTTGAAATCCAGAAAACTGCATTTTGTGGATTTGTATCCCGATTTTATCTATCTAAACTAAATTTGTTTCAGTTAGAAGCAGTGGAGAACAGATTGGCTTTCGTAAATTCTGCTCACACATTGGTAAAGAACTACGGATTTGATGGTCTAGATCTGGCGTGGGAGTTTCCTGAAACGAAACCAAAGAAAATTCGCAACAAATTTAGTAAGTGTAACATTTTCCATTCCATCTCGGTTGTTTGTTATCGACTCGTTGAAATTTGCAGTCTTCAAAAAGTATGGGATAAAATTAAAAACGTTTTTTTGTTGGTTGAATATAACTATTTTCTATTTTTGCGTTTATTTATTTTTTTTGGTTTTCTGGAACTTTTTCTGTGATTTCGAAATCTTTGTCTGCGCGGCTGTGATCATAACAACTATAGTTTAAAAACGTATTAGTTCATTATTTACGTAAAATACTTTGCTGAATTAAAAAAGAACTGTTTAGTAGTTAATAGGATGTTCCCACCATCTGTGTCACATCTTCTTTTCCGTGGGTTATTCAATGCATAAATGTAAACCCTGTACATATTATAATTGAATTACATTAAACCGGGTGTCCCATCGAAATTTTAAAATGATCAAAACTTCTTTTAAGGCAGAATGTATTTTACTATTCCTTCAGGAGGAGGAATTTAACACTGGTCATCTTTTTGGGTTAGAAAATGCATGCAAGGTGTCCCAAAAAATGTTCTTTTTAAATTTAAATATAATATTTTAATAATAATAACAGCATGCAGTCCTTAAGAATTAAATCTTTATAAGAAATGAGTTTTCATCACTAATTGAATTTCAGTTAAAATGCACAAGCAGAGATGTCAAACTCATGCGATACTGGCTGATCCTAGAATAAAATTTCGATTTGATTCGAATAAAATACAGGCCTGGTGACATTTTAATTTGCCATGGTTTCAGCGAATCGGATAACGCAGTACTTTTCGACAATATTTCGAAAAAATAGAATACCACCTGTGCAAATTTTGAAAAGTTTGTTTTCGATAACTTCAAATAGGCCATTTTAAATCCCCTCCTTTATTGTGTAATTTGCAGCTGGTTTCTTCGTTAACTTGAAGCACAAAATTGTCGGCGAATCAGTAATCGACGAAAAAGCCGAAGAACACAAGGAACAATTCATCGCTCTCGTCAGAGAACTGAAGAATGAGTTCCGGCACGATGGCCTTCTGTTGTCGATATCCGTCCTTCCTAACGTAAACGGTTCAGGTATATAGTCAGCAAAATAACTTGAATCAGCAATCTGTAATATGTTTAAATTTATTTTAGTTTATTTCGATCCTCGTCAGGTTGCCCCACATGTCGATTTTGTTTCACTCCAGGCCTTTGATTATCGAACTCCCGAACGCAATCCCAAAGAACTCGACTACCCCGCTCCTTTGTACGAGTTGTTGGATAGAAAATTTGACGAAAATGCCGATTACCAAGTGAGATACTGGTAAGAAGAGTGTTGAAATGTTTAAAGGGTCACTTTGTGTTAAAAAATAACAAATTAATAGTAAAGTTTGTTTAGATATGATTGGTTGACTGAAGTATACAATAATACCTAGCTCACTGGGTGCAATAGTGGCAGGTCCACAAAATAATAGTTCCGAGAAAATCAGAGATGTAGGAAAATAAAAACTGAAATATTGAGATAACTCATATTAACCCTCCTGCTTATTACAAAATTTTGTTTTATTTTAAAGCAGAAAATATTTTTTGAGGTTCTTTTTTAAATGTTTTTAAATTTTGTGCCGTTATTGATTTTTTTGCTAAACATCAATTTCACAAATAAAGTGCAATATTTTGATAACAGAGATTCTCAATAAAACTGTAAATAAAAGTTTTAACATCATTTTATTATAAAAATATGATACGGCAGTGTCAAATAAACTCGTAAGTCAAATGCCGTTTACCGCACTTGTTGCATAATATACTATTGACAATATCGCCTCAACTGTCCCCCTGATAGTTAAAAAGAATTTTTCTTCAAAATCAAAAAAATCATCGTATATCATTTCTAGGACTTTTATAAGGACTTCCTCTCTTCTTCGCGCTTCTCACACTGGGTATGTTCCGGTATTGTTCGTTGTTAAATTACAAATGTGAGTTTTATGGTACAATTAACTAAGAAAAGCTACTTTTTGATGTGTGCCATTATTGCACCCAGTGAGCGACATGATAATGAATATATTCGACAAATTTCAAACGGCTTGAAATAGCGAATTAAAATTTGAACGTTTTAATTTAGACTAATATCGAAGCTAGGGCAGCTTTTTCGGATGAACTAGCTTACAGCCACGCGCCATTTTCTTTTTAAATCTCCATCTCCGCACAGTTTTTTCTCTAAAAATTAAATTGAGTTTGGCCATTGTGAGAATTCAGAATTCGCGAACTGTTAGCGGTCATAGTGATCGTTGAACGTCACACGGTTTTATTGGTTCAAGCGTAGATTTGAAATGTGAAATCTTATTGTCAGAGAGTGAATTTTGAAATGACTCGTGCATGCGCATATGGCATGTCCCTTCTCAATATTTTTTGATGCTTCAAAAAAATCTTTATCAGCACGAACAAGGCTTCTATATAACTAGCTCTAAGAACTCTACATTGTTGACTCTAATAAATTTCTAGTTTACCTTACTATAAAACTAAATAATTTCAATTAAACCAATAATTTTGCTATTAGGCTTTCAAACGGACTTCCCAGTCACAAACTAATTCTTGGCATACCGACATACGGGAGAAGTTGGAAGTTAAATGAAGATTCGGGATTAACCGGAGTACCGCCTACGCCAGCAGATGGGGCTGCCGATCCCGGTCAGTACACCCAAGAAGCGGGACTCCTTAGTTATCCCGAAGTATGCGTGAAAATTGCCACACCTAAAGAAATTCAAGCCGGATACCTTGGCAAGTTGCGGAAGGTCAACGATCCCACCAAGAGATTTGGTAAGCCTCATAATGACAAACAAATTAAATTCCATTTCCGGTTTCTTCGCCATACAAACCCCATTCCTCGTTAAAATTTTGAACCAAATTTTTAATTTTCATTTCATTGATTTTGTATGGCAATCAATACTTTTGAAATGAATTTTAGTGAGATGTTAATGATTTGATGTCGCATAGGAGTATACGCGTTTCGTCTTCCGGATAACAACGGGGAGGGGGGTATTTGGATCGGATACGAAGATCCGGACACTGCCGGAAACAAAGCTAGTTACGCCAAAGCTAAAAGTCTGGGAGGTATAGCTCTAGTGGACATATCACTCGATGATTTCAGAGGACTCTGCACCGGTGACAAATATCCAATACTGAGAGCTGCTAGATTTAGACTATAATTTTCTTTGAATTATGAATTTAAACTTTATTATAAATAAACGCGCGGATGTTTAATAATGTGTTATTCCGAATATAATAAAGTTTGTGAGAAAACGTGGTTTTATTTATCATCATAGCTATAGAGTGTTTAAACGGTTTTTTTTGTCCGTCATTAAAAATACAACTTTTTTAACTCTCGAGTTATTTTGTATCTTGCTTCGTTTTCGAGAGAAAAAAAACCTGAAAAACTGACAATTAGTATATTATGCAACGGCATTTGAGTCACGAGTTTGTTTGGCATGAGCGGACGGCAGCGGAGCGAGTGCCTAATAAACGAGTGACTTAAAAGATGTTTCTACTCTCTTCTGTAAAATATCCAATTATACACCGATCTAGCGTGCGTCACTTTACCACGTGAGTTTCTTGTCCCACGGATCCGAGCTACTTCGGACATTTTCGGGATATTACCGTACGGTTTCGGATGTTTTCGTTGGTTTTACCGCACGGCTTTAATTTTGACAGTCATGTCAGTGAAGGTAATGGTGTTGTTTTGCGAAAATGTACCCGAAAAGTAACGGTCGTGGAAAAAGTCTAATGTGCAACACGTTTCGTAAACTTTTTAAGTCACTCGTTTTCCTGGATATTACCGCACGGGTTCGGGAGCATTCGGATGTTTTTGGAGATTTTACCAGTAAGTCTTGGATTTTGAAGTTTGTCAATTCTGACGCTCATTGAATGTTGTTTTGCCAAAATGTACCCAAAAACTAACGGTCGTAAAAAATATGTAGTATGCAACACGTTTGGTAAACTTGTTAAGTCATTCGTTTATTAAATAGCCTTTGACGTAAGGATTTGTAGCACAAGCTTTTTTTATATTGAACACTCTTTATCTCGAAAACTAAGTATTTCCGGACTTACGTTACTTACACACAGTCACTTATATTTGTTTCGACAATAAAAAATGGTATATTATGCAAGTAGTACGTTAAACGGCATTTGAATCACGAGTTTATTTGGCGCGAGTGGAGAGCAGCGGAGCGAGTGTTTAATAAACGAGTGACTTAAAAAGTTTACGAAACGTGTTGCACATTAGAGTTTTTCCACGACCATTACCTTCACTGACATGACCGTCAAAATTGACAAATGCCAAAATTTAAGCCGTGCGGTAAAATCTCCGAAAACATCCAAAACTGTGCGGTAATATGCCGAAAATGCCCGAAGTAGCTCGGATCCGTGGGACAAGAAACTCACATAGTTTGCAATATTACATAATGCATTTCTAAGAATGCAGCAAATGTCATAAAAAACATTTTGATATTTGCTGAAAAATGTGCAAAAAACGATAAGAAACTGCGAAAATTAAGCGAACGCAACTCTACCCTAATTTGAGGCATCGCTTTATGTGTCTGTTACTGTTACATAGATGACAAATCATAACCCAAAGTAAAAATTTAGCATTCATTATAAAATGAACTTTATTAAAAAATAACTTAAAAGTATAATGTTAAAAAATTATTTTTAAAATTACGTGTAATGACATATCACTTCCTGAAATAATTTCTCGAAATTGTGTTCATCCAATACAACAAACTGTTTGGCATTTCGACTAAAGTAGTAAATTTCACCAGTATAAATATCAAACCACAAGGCGTGTATATGTAATTGAAATCTCTCTAATCGTCTCTTCAAGAACCCATAGCTGGCGATATTTTCCAATTGTTGCAGCGTATTTATCTGCGATAACTTGTCCTCGACTTTGAACCTATCCTCTGGATCGATATAAGCGACAAATTTTCTCAGAGGGGTTTCCGCTCGGAATATCAGAGGTGCTTTATACTTGCAAGATTCCAATTTTGCTAATGTCGCCAGACTCGGTTGCGCATGTGTGCATAACCATGACCGAAGAGGAGATAACCTTCTGTTTTCCTAAATAAAAAAAGCAGAATAAATTATCCGTGTCTGTAGTAAGGCAAGTTAACCCATTGGTGCATACATACGACTTCCATCCATAGTTATTACGATTGACATTGAAACTTAATCAACAAATTTAATTAAGTGATGCTTTTGTTAATATTATTTCACAGGTATAAAATGTTCTTTCTAATTCTGTTTGTAATGAAATTGTTGCTCACTTGTGTCGATTCTTTTGGGTTTCTTAATTGGTACAATAAATTCATTGCTTTGCAGTCGCTGTGGCCGCATACAATGATATGCCTTATGTCATTTATTACACATCCGAGTTCTAAAGCAGCTGGTTCATTTGTATTTTGTTCGTCTGCGAAGTGTTGCGAATGAGGTACCAGATTCCCCGCATTTCTTACTAAAACATAGAGTAAACCTACCCAAATTGTTCAAATAAATTAAGACTAGAAACTTCTCGCGGCCAAAATATGGATAGATAGCTCAACCATCAATTAAATAAATTAACTGGAATTTAAAATAAGGTATTAAAATTTTAACGGAACATTGAAATAGGTCTGTAAAAATTAATAACGAGAGGTCAAAAAAGGTTTATTCAATAATTTGTAACAAAGTGTCCCAAAGAATTTTATTTTTTAGTTGTTTGTTAAAAACTCCTTTAGAGATGATTACATTTATCTATTATGATCTTAGATTATATAATATTACGAAACGATATAATATTATTAAATTTCTCGGTATGATACATAATATATAAAAATATAAACTACCTATTATCTACCGCGTTTCCCAAAAGAACCACAATAGTCGAATATTGCATTGATTTTTTAGTCATTTTATCTGTTGTCTATCTATAACAATTCAATTTATTTTATTAGAAATTTTTAAACAATGTTTATAACGAAACGTTGATTTGCCATAATTACAAAAGCGCAGGGAATTAAAATTTGATATTAGAGGGTCATAGTCATTTTAAGACAATAGAATTAATGCATTAAGATGTGGGCTCCGTAGGAAGAATTAAGAGACATAAAGCTAATGCCTTTGCGCAAAACTGTAAAACCGAGAGAGAAATTTTACAGTTTTATATTAACCCGCTTCTGAAATATTCGATCGATTTAATAATTTTAATAATAATTTGCGCGGCATACTAACAAGTTGTTCATTATATCAATGACTAATACTTACCGATAAACATGTCACCAACATTTGTTTGCGTAAATCTGGTAGGAATCATTCTACTGTCAATACACGTAAAAAATACTGCTTTAGGCTGAAATCACAGAGTTAAATTTAATTATATATATTATTAATTAACATTCTCGAAAATCTATATTAATATATATGTAATTACGCTAGTGGAATTGTAGAATGCTTGTCGTGTAAAAATTGAATTCAAAACGGTTGGCTCGTATATATACATATGTAAGTATAAGTATCTAAAAAGACTTCCTAAAAGTGCGGTTTTATTGCGTAGAGATTTTTAAATATATCGTTTGAATTTTTGACATGAATTACATAAATTATTGCACGAAGCTGTTTTTATTAAAGAAAATCTAATCTATCCATTATAACCAGATCAGTAGAATTACATTTAATTATTAAAGTACAATTCTACCGGACTATGATCAGTAGCGCGTTTAAATTCGCTGGAATTTTTGAAAGTGATTGTATAGTTGGTACGAGCGTTTGATTAGTAGACATCACGGAAACAAATCTGGGAAACTTACCTTAGGATTATCTTTCACTTTCACAAATTGTTGGACCATAGTTTCCCTAACTGTTGCGCGATATTTCATTATACCTTTCAGTAGTTTATCCATCGCAAGGGATCAAATACCGTACAAACGACCTTTTTTGATAAAACATAATTGGTCAAGGTCATTGTAGAAATCGCTTTAAAATACGGTTGTTTCGGGTCGAAGATACAATATTTCGTTGAATCACTATTGTAGACTTTGATCACATACGTATTGTATACAATCGAACGGTGTATTAACGACGGAGACGAATATTATTTGGTTTACTATTACTGGGAAACATGAAAATGAAAATTCCAATAATGGATTTTGTTTTCTACGAATTTACAGGGATCAGTAGTTGTGCTTAGAGAATCAAGATTAACATATTGAACTTTGGCTCTGATTTATTTTTTTTACCTCTATTTAACCATATTTCTAGACTGACATAGGAAGAAAGAGGCCTTGACAAAAATTGTTATCTGGACTCTGATTGTGCCATTACAGGAAATAGTTATATTTTGTTATAAATTGCACTCACTATTGAAACTTGGTAATTTTTTATAAGCAATTTAAAAAATATTTATGATTCGGGGTGTATGTGTAGGAAGGAGGGGGTTTAAAAGAAAACAAATATGTCTACGGCAAAGCTTCTTTGCCCTATTGCCAACTTATGAAGTCTTAGAATACTCTTTTACATACATTTATTAGACAAGAATATTTGAATTTCGCGATGTTTTGATTAATTTGGCGTTAAGCCAGAGTATTTTATTCTGGTAAACTGCCAATAGGGTCATGAAATGTTGTCTTATTTCCTTCGTTTTAAAGTTAGTAGACAAATTTCCAAAGACAAAAATAATATTTAAATCCAGTTATAGGCTTTGGTCATGCATTCTGAGAACAGGATAATAACAAAAAGTCAATAAAAAATAAAGTAACAAAGTCATTGTTTTATTTACACGTCTTATATAAACTTGCAACAATGGTATCAGTCAGTCTCAGCAATTAAACATAAGTGTACTTCTATACTTATGGACTATATGAGGCTTATATTTTAATACAAATTCGAATTCTTCACAAAAAATGACTAAACCATCACAAACTATAAACTTTTATCAAGATTGACTTATAAGGGGTGTCTCGCTTTTCGGTAGATCACCACCGTATTTTACAAGATATTTCTAAATTTGAAATAATCGCCTATTATAGCCATATCCAAATTTGGAAAAGTTCTCAATATTGGTATTGAACGAGTCGATCTCACTCTACACCATCCTTCCACCTACATACATACATCATAATATTGTCAATTACCTGGCAACATAGTATTAAGTATCAATGTGTAAGTAGAATTTCTATCAAGTTCTATCTTTTTCAAAATTTTAAGGTGCTTTAGAAAAATATTTCCTTTTTTTAATATGCTTAGATATAAACATGGGGTTAAATTTTTGCCCGACTAATTCACCTTATGTGTGAGAATTTTAAAATGCTTCAAAATGGAACAAGTAGGTAAAAATTGTATCGACTTAAATATGTAGTTGTTTTTTCTAACCAGCAACTTTATTATCACCACTAAAAAATAGGAATACCCTATTAAAAAAAAATTTAATGTCAGAAATAATTCACTTATTGAAGTTAATGTAAGCATTTTTGTGTACCTACATATTTTACAAATAAAAGTTTTAATATACATGTAGTTACAAAATAATATAATTCAACTTTTGAAGGATGCGCTAAAGAGATATGAAATACAATTTTCAGGTTTAACTTTCCACCATTTCATTACACACAATCCATCACTTTGAGAAACCCATAAGTAACAATAGAGAGAAAACCAAATTAAATGTTATCAACACGGATTTGTTTCAACTGCAAATTGCTATTGTCTTTGCTATTGACCCAAAAATATATCAAATGAAATTGACATTGCCATTACTATCATCAAAGTCGTACTCTGACTTGCAGTTGTCATTTCTAATGTGGAAATTGACTATATATTCGGAATTGGTACGTTGAACTGATATAGCAAAAGGATCAGTTGGATGAAATGTAAATGCTACCAGTCGCCTAGCTGTTGAAATAGGATTCCTCTGGGTATCAACATAAAGTCTAAATTTAAGGTAGCCGGAATCCCTAGAGTTAAATCTAAAATTCACAAAGAGTACATATAATACATTGTCCTTTAAGAGAAAAATATCTCTACAAATAACCATTATGGTGAATAATGTGTACCTGATTGGATGTTCTCCACATGGCTTGGGCCTTTCCATGACAGATATCCATTTATCATCATAGCTAAACAGGGAATAATCTAGATATGGAGAACTTGTGTAAGATTGTGCACTTATAGGTAAATGTGCCAAAATTCTTCTGACCGCTTCGGCTTTACCTCCAAACTTAGCTATAGTTAAGGTATGTTTAAATCTAAAATGCAAGCAAATCTAGAACTGTAAAAAAAAGATTCATTTTTTACCTAGTATGATGCAGCCTTGCATACAAATTATTGGAGGGGTTGCATGTAAACTGAGTCTCACTAAATAAACAAGCATTTCTAAATGAATCAGTAAAATTTTCATATAATTTTAAGAGTTCCATAGAGCTATTTTCATAAACAGCTATTATTTTGCTGTCCAGTATATTATAAACAACAAAGAATTGTTGCTCACTATTTGGGTCAATTTGTTTTAGTGTAATCACTTCCTCACTAGCATATTTTATGAGCAAATGATTTTCATCCAACAACTGCATTTTCCACATCTTCAAAGAAAGGAAATTGTTAAAGTAGTGAAAAAATTTCCTCACTTCTGTTGGATCAGCTGAACTTTTGGATATTTTATCGGCTCTTTTATACAAAAATGTTAATAGTCTATGTTTCAAGGAGTTTATAAAAATATCTTTAAAAGCTCGTTCACTCGGGTACACCAAACTGTATAGGTACAAATCATCTTCATAACAAAATCGACCAATTTTTCTGACATCAATCAGCATGCCATCCAAAATTTGGTAAATATGGATCATTTGATGTTGAACTGATAAAACTGCAAGTATATCTTTATACAAATATAAACCTTGATTATGAGATAAGAATATTTTGTCCACTTTAAATTGTCTGGTATCACAGAGTTTTCCCAAATGTAAATCTACCAAATGAAGAGTATAGTCTTCTAAAAGTGACCTAAAAGGATTGTTTATTATATTTCAAACTGCCCTAGAATTAGTTAACAAAATAAAACATGTCTTAAGATAAAATACTACAAACTTGTAAATTACCTTATATTGGGTGTAACTGATTCATTATTAGTATATATTTCATAAAAGTGAGGTCTAATTTCATCGGGAATAAAAGATGCTGACCCAACAATCACATAACGGCCATCATCACTAAATAAACTACACTCTCTGTTCAATTGCTCACTCCTTGTTATATTTATCACAAATTTTAACTAAAATCAACGCATTAATTAAAACTGGTGTCTCTAAAATAAGGATTTCTTACTTTAAAAAATCTTTGAAATATGTCTTTTTTAATTTGAAATTTCTTTTTAATAATATCATTTTCTTCTTCCTGCATACTGCGGATTAAATCACAAGCGGCTGCTGGTCCCTGATAGGAATATACTTCTAAAGAAGTTTGGTCTGCGGAAAAGGCAATAAAACATTTTCCATCGGGACTAAATTTCCTTAAAAAGCAGGGGGGTCTTTCTACATTTATCACGGTATAATTAGGGAAAATGTTTTGATAAAATTGGCGCGCAGTGTGTAATTGAGTTCCTGGTTTCCAACATGCACGAATCTGACGATTTAATAGCCGAATTACAATATTTTGCGGTACCTTTTTCTTTCTTTTTAAAAAATCCATTATTTAATTTGTTCTCCAAGTTGCAAGGTTAGATTGGTCCATCGGACTTCTTCTTCTTCTTCTAAGGTTGGCGGTGTTACTAGGCAATTTGCAAGCACTATTTCGAACTGACCCAGATAATCGTGAATGTTCTCCTGGGGAAGTTTACTTTTCAGATTTCTGTTTCTGTTTAAGAGGCATCTAAAGCTGCTAAGGAGATAGGTCCATCTGACTTCTTTTTTCTTTTCATCAGGGATATAGCTATAGAGATGGCTCATGGTCGGCTATCGTCTACACTGCTGTCGTCAGATCCGGCCAACCAAAGGTAATGGCAGGATGTGGAACGTACCACAATAAATCAAGCAGGATCAAAATGCTAAACTATTTTCTGAGCTGGAGGATCCTCATTGTTACAGTTCACGAACGCCAGTGAATGAACCGAACAAATATATTTTTCTATGAAACACACCCAAAACATAAATACTTGCCGACCACGGAGGAAATCACAACAGAGCAAGTCGTTCGTACATTTGTTATAACTCTCTGATTCGATGATAAATTTTATATTTTTTTCTTACACTACATTTAACACACTTTACATTCTGAGTTTCTTTTTTCTCTTTTCGTCTATATTACCTAATTTGTTCAAACGTATCTCTGCTGCCTACACATTGAAGAAAATATTACCATATATTATTCTATGAAATGTTATGTCAAATTTTGACAGGAATAATAAAAATATTTTTTAAGTAGTTAATGGTGATTTTAACCAGGTTTTAGATCGAATATTTTGTTAATTCGGTATCAAATTTAGGGTTAAAATTGTACAAAAGGTACAATGGGTATGAAAACCAAAACTGGCATTTGTGCGATCAGCCTTACTGCGACTGCATTTCTATTTGTTCTTCTGGCATTTGTGACTCCCTATTGGCTTGTAAATGATGGGAAAATTACCAGACCCATGTTTGAAAAGATTGGTGAGTGTTGAAGTAAAATGTAGATTAGTGGATTATTAATTTTTGATAGTAATGGGATGACCTGTACATTTTTTTAAGGATTGTGGGAAGTCTGCTTTAACCAGTTTGAGGATTTTCGTCATCATTATGATTACAAATTTACCGGTTGCTGGTGGGTATTTGAAGAAGAATACTACATTATTGACGATTTTTTACTACCTGGATTTTTCATCGCAACACAATTTTTTTTTACCCTTTGTATGACGTTAGTGCTGATAGTGGCATTCCTGACTTGGATGTATTGTTTCTGCAGTAGAGATCATGATAAGTACCTTTTATTGCTCCTGAGCAATGGCGCAAATGCAGTGCTAGCAGGTTTTTGTGGATTAATAGCTGTTTTAATATTTGGATGCAATGGAGATAATAGAGATTGGATGCCTTATTGGAAAAATAATGATCTAGGCTGGTCATATGGTTTAGCATGTGTTGGATCACTGCTTTTGTTTCCTGCAGGATTATTATTTTTAGTTGAAGCTCGTAGAGCGAAATATAGGAAATTGCAGGGTTCCGCCCCTCAATCCCATTATGAGATAGAGGTGCAAAAATCTGAGCCATACCACACAGATATTTAAATATGTTTTACTTATTCATAAAAAAGTACATTAAATTTTTGTAATATTAATATGGTTGTAGTGCAGATAATCTAAATTTATCTGTCAAGTACTTTAATAATTTGTCTCTTTTGATTGAATCTCATTTGTTTTTTAATGAGAAAAGTAATTAATTCTTGCGAAATTAGTTTCTTTCCTTTAATCAGTGCAATTATTTAACTCAGTAGTATTAATGCTATCATAACTCACTAAATGTATTATGCTTCCAGATTGGCACAGTATTCATTTGCATTTTTGTAATACTTTATAGTTTTTTACAAACACGGGAATGTGAACCTCATTTGGTAGTATTATTAAGAATTATAAAATACAGTATTTGTGCCTTTGTATTTAAAAAATATAACATACATCTTAACTTGTTAAATATTTAACTTTTAGTTAATTTATAGTGTGGTTTTGTAAAAAAGAGGTGGCTTTATTTAATTAGCAGTAAGATTTTGCAAAGTTATTATTTTTATAATAAATGGAAATTAGTTAAAAATGTCTTTTTGTTCTGACGAATAAGGTTATGAAAAATAGGCTTTGATTAGATAAATAAAAATTTCAGCTGGTAACAAAATTTACGTAGAATAATTTCCGCTGCTCCTATGTGAGATCTTTATAGTCTGGTAAAATGGCCAACAGAAAAAATAACCAATTATTTTAACAATTTAAACCAGAGAAAAACTACCTGACATTTCGTTTTTCTCCTTCCAAACATTGACCTTTGAGCAAAGCATAAAACGACTGAAACTGGCTAGCCACTGGCAAATGTTTACTTGAAGTACGTCTCTGTCGTTTTGCTTAACCACTTATGGTTTTGTAATATTAAATTAATTTTGGGAAATTTAGAAGTTGTATGAGCACGCTCTAAATAATCATACCTCGAGAACGCATAAAACACATCCTTAACAATGGCCAACCAAATTGATTAGTTTTTGTAGTTTTAATTGAAAATTATTGAATATTAAACTGACCAATTGTTGTTTTTATGGGTGATCTTTGGCTCTATTTGATTCGGATGATTTAACTTTTGTAAACAAGAAAATATATTTTTAAACAAAGACAATGAGCGGAATGTTGGAAAAAAACAATTACCCAAAAGCGTCAAGTAAGGAAACAGGATATTAAACCTACTTTTAGGCAACTTTTTTCATTTTAGAATATTTGGTTAATGGGGCGTTTCTCACATATATAGCTGGGATGTTCCTTATGATTGCTTTTTGCAGGTAATTAGAATTTTTCTTTAAGATGGAATTTTGCATTATTCTAAATTGAATAACTTTCAAAATAACTTCGTTTTGATGCAATGGAATTAATAATAGGCATGTAAATCATTTTTTATAACATAATTTTCTGTAATGCAAAACAATGTAACTCTTAAATCTGACATTTTTTAGTCCTTACTGGGTTAAATCATTCGACGAAACATTCTCAAATTTCAAAAACATGGGACTTTGGGAATATTGCTTTGAAGATTTCCGATACCCATATTATCAATTTGATCATCTTTTCAATGGTTGCCATCACGTATTTAGCCAGGAATATTACATAATAAGACAGTGGTTGCTGCCACCTTGGTTAATGACAGTACAAGCATTTGTTACAATGTCATTTCTACTAAGTTTTGGATCACAAATTTTGATGGCTATGCAGCTGTGTAGGTGGCCACTGGAATTTATTCTTCGTTATGAATGGATCTTGTCTGGAATTGATTTCATCTGTGTATCAACTACAAGTAAGTAAGAATTGAAAAAATAATCATTTCACTGTACAATTTTTTTTTGTCGCAGCTGTTTTTATGTTTTTTGCCATTGCTATATTTGGAGGATCCCATGTTCGCCGTGATTGGTTAATGTATCCTAATTTTAATTACCTGTGTTGGTCCTACGGTTTGGCGTGCTTATCGTTCTTCTTCCATGGCTTCGCAGCTGCATTTCTGTATAAAGAAGCTCGACTTAGTTATGAGAGAAGGAGGGAGTCGAAAAATCTTATTATGCAGATGCATCCAAACCCACAGCATCGCTTAGGATGGAATGTCCCACCTTCTTACTAATTTATCTAGAATAAGGTTCAAGATTAAGATTTTTTTTTGCAAAAAATGTTTTTGTTTTTGCTTTTTCTAAAAAGCACTATTAATAGTAAATGTTTTCTCAAACGACAATCAATTGAATCATTGTTGGTGTAAATTTTTGAGAGAAATATTGTAGATATTTTTACAAAGCAGTTTTGCTATTGTATTTATGCTGTTAGAGCACATGAACACACACTTTTGTCCGTCCATTAAGTGTACTTATTTTTTTATTATTTTATATTACTGATTTATTTTTGCTATATTAAAAAATAAAATGTGTTAAAATAAATTACAATACATTTCATTTCAATGATAAAAGGTCAACAAAATTCTGTAGGTCATAAGTAATATAGTTATTTTATAATTCATAGTGAAAAAGAAAAAACATCAAAATCTTAAAAGAAAAAAATCACAAAAATAGGTCAATATTGCATTCAAGAAAATGGAAAGGACTTTGAAAATCACCTTTATGAATTCTCATTTTTTAAATTTGTTTTCACTCTCATGTTTATTTTATATACCTACTACTCTGCCCTAGGTCAAAATTGTATTATGTTTATATTTTTTACTTATTAGAAATGGTTCACTCTTAAAAACAATTGCAAAACAAAATATTTCTAAAACGGTTGCTCTTAGCCAGGATCTTTTTTACGTAAAAATGATGGAAGAATTCATATTTCTTTCCAAAAATATAGTAATATGTCATACAAAATGTCGTTAAACTTTGAAAGTGAGAAATGACATGTAGGCATCGCCCATTACAAGTAAGGGCTAAATTAAGAACATATTCATATTTCTCATCTCAAAAAGCCGCAAGGTAACAAGTTTCGTTCAGAAATCGTCCTTATTTAGGAAATTATGCAGAAAAATAAAATAAAAACCAAACCTTGACATCCTGTATCTCGAAAACGAAGCATAGTAGACTACACGCTTATAACAACTTTTTACCTTAAAAATACTAGAGAAATGCCCTCCTGAAATATTGGAAACTTGTTTATTATATAACGCCTTGCATATGTGACCTTTTGAAGCCGCTAAAAGATTTCGAAATAAATGAACACGACCAACGGCAAAAATTTATTTTTTCTACTTCCGTCTGTAAAATTCCTAATTACCCACCGATCTAACGTGCGGGAAGCGTCACTTTATCATGTCAGATTTTGTTTCCCATGAATCCGAGCCACTTCGGACATTTCCAGGATTTTACCGCACGGATTTCCTACGCTTTGAATTTTGACGTTTGTCAATTCTGATGGTCATGTCAGTGAATGTATTCGTGTTGTTTTGCGAAAATGTACCCAAAAACTAACGGTCGTAGAAAAAATATAGTATGCAACACGTTCGGTAAACTTTTTAACTCACTCGTTTATTAAAAACTCGTTCCGCTGCGCTTCGCTCTTGTCAAATAAACTCGTGAGTCAAATGCCGTTTACCACACTTGTTGCATAATATACATTTTAAGTAAAATCAAGATATTTAAGAATATCGGACTTCTACGGAAACCTGAAGAAAAATACCTTGGAATTTTCTCAGAAATAAAAAAATTAAATGAACAAATGAAATAATATAAATGTTCCCATTTAAACCATCAAAGTATATGCTCTAAACTAAGTATTAATAATCTGGTCAAATTAGACATAAAAATATTAACCAAATAACAATTTTTTTTTAACTGCATTATATTTGGCACCACCTGTCAGATTGTTCTTGGAGTTTTTTTAACGGGGTGTCCCAGGTAGGCTTGTTTCACGATCTGTAATGGTGAAGTTTAATAATGTTATTGATATCTTAATATTATGTTTATTTATTTATTATAGCAATATTTTAATCGAATACGCCATGCTATACTTTTTGGCGCTTTATTTATATTGCCATTTTTAAGATCGCCACCAAAATCCAGGTTTGTCGGAATTTTTGTTGAAATCTCTGTTTTGACCCATAAGTAAGTATAACTTGGTTTTTGTGACGAATTTTAAAACTTATATCAATTATTAAAACAAGGGAGGACACAACTAAAGTATTTGATATTGGTTACTTCTGAAAAATATGTCCAAATAACAAATCAACATTTTTTATGATGATTTCAGATATATTTTAGAATATATAACGAAATTAGTTTTAATGATATTAGGTATTAATATAAATACATACAACTTTTCATTTCACGGATTAAGTCTTCATATATAAGAAGACATGGAAAAAATAGTTTGCAAATATTAAAAAAATATAAATCATTAATATACTTGATACTCGACATTATAACATTGGAGTATATTCAGCGTAAGTGGTCCACGACGGATGATTTTCATCGAGTATTCGTTCTGCCACCGGAGCCTGACTGTGCAATGCCGTCAGAGCGGCAGATAGTCCTACGGAAACGCAGATTTCCTCAGGTAATCCCTTTAGTAAAGCCACAATGAATCCGCTTGCGAAGCAATCTCCGGCTCCACTTACATTCGCGAAGTGTTCTACTCTTTTAGTCGGATAATGCCGTACCGAAATGTCGTTAGTTGAATCAGTTGACAGTTCTTTTCTTGCAATTAAAACTCCGTCCGGTCCTAATGTTATTATTACGTTGTCAATGTATTTTGCTAATGCGCGAGCTTTCGTCGATAATCTTTTCAGATCACCATCAATCTTTTCCTGTGACTGGAGATTGAAGTGCTCACAGATTCGGACAAATTCGTTTACATTTGGCGTTATAAATTTAATTGAGTCCCAATGCTGGGCGCAAAAGGGCTTCTCTGCTACCGTGACATCCGTTGGCTCATAAAACACTGAAAATAAAATGGTCTACTAAATATATAAATAAAATTAATAAATTTGTTCTTTTAAATTTGACCTAAAAATTTCCACTATTTTTCTACTCTAAAACGCAATTTACGACAGCAGTTTCGTTACCTACGGCTGCGAGCCACTTCGAAAATTTCTGGGATATTACCCACGGGCTTGGACCAATCGGGTGTTTTCTGAGTTATTACCGTGACCGTAACGTGACCCACATAATTTACTCAGTGAATTGTTCATTCGTATAGTATGCAACACGTTTGGTAATTTTTTAAAGTTTAGGTTAGTCAGGGGTCAGCCGATTAAGAGTACTAGGAGCTCAATTAATTGAGCACACACAAATTCAATTTTCGATAACGAAGTGCCTTTTAAAAAATAGTACATCCCAGGTAGCAATATGGAAGTATAGTGTACAGGACCTTCCATTTGATTTTCTCACGAAAATTAATACTTTCCATTTTGATTTACCCTGTATAAACGATTCGAAATGACTACTACTACTACTTTATAAAATTGCTAGCAAAATAAAATTACAGCTGTCGCAAACGGCGTCAAAAATATAGGGTATTAAACACATGGCACACTCGGTATAGACCATAACAGCCCTACATTGCATAATTGACAATTGACAAACTATTTGGACACTCTCAGATATATTCTCCTACATCAAGATTTTAAATAGAAGAATTTGATAAGAGTTTAAATTAATTATGAAGTTTAAAGTCCATATCTCCAATTAATCAATTCATTTTATGACGACATTCGAAGGTAATTTTTGTGAAGTTAATAATACCTTTTTTTGACGTCACTTTGACGTGTTCTTCGGGTCACTGATGAATAACCATCACTTATTACTCCAGAGTGACGTCACTTTGACCCTAAAAGTGTGCTTAAAAATAATTAAACAAAAAATTCTTTTTATGCTACAGATGAATATCTAAATTTTAACGCCTCCGTGCTTACGCCTTAATTATCTATTTAATTTTAAAACATTTAATATGACATTATTCTATACTTTGTTAAAAATAAATGGAAATAAAAATTTGACTTGTATTAAAAAAATCGCCGTTTGGATAGAAAATGGCGCAAAGTGTAGGTCTCGAATTGAGGGGCACGCCGTTATCTTAGCCACCTGACGCGCATCAATTTTCGTCGTTATTATCTAAATGCTATAAGAGTACCATTAATATAAACAAAATCAAATATAGACCTTAAGGCAATACGTGCTTGCTGACGTTCGCCAAACAAGTTTCACAGTCTGCGGAAGTGTCTTTGAAAAATGTATTGCTCCAAACCAACCAAACTTTACTTTCCCAAATGTGACAAACCTCAAAAATTACATATAATAATCCAACTAGTAAACATAATATTAATGGATAGGCCTTTTTCTTGTACAAGCAGAATACTTTCTGCTTCTGCTATTATTCTTCGTTGTTGTAAAGTAATAAATATACGAGGGCAGCGCCAAAATTTCCCGGCCTGCATATGAAAGAAACAAAGTAGAATAACAATATTTTATTATTTTTCAATATAATCCCCCTTAACTTCAATACACTTATAACATATCTTTATTAACAACTCAATCCCTTTAAAAAAAATATTCTTTTGGTTTGTCTGCAAATGAGGTAAAACAGCCTTTTTTAACTCAACTTGGTCGTTGAACCGCCGTCCACGTAAGTCCTTTTTCAAATATCCAAACAAATAATAGTCGCTGGGGGCCACATCTGGACTATATATATCTCTTGGAACCCACACTCTAAAATGGCAGCTTGTGCAACACCAGCAGTATGGACAGGTGCATTGCCGTGCAAAAGACGCACGCTTCTGGTCAGTTTTCCTCGACCTTTTACACGTACGCAGTCCAGCAATTTAGGTAATAATGTTGCGTAATATTTACCATTGACAGTGGTATTAGTTTCGCGAAAGCAGTAAATTTTCGTAGATTGATAAAGAAACAAAATGAATTAACTGATTTACAGACGAAGTTTGAGAGTATCGCGGGCATGATTCGGAAAAAAATTCTTTCAGTTGATTACCTGCAATATTGGATTTCTTCGCAATTTTAAAAACCGCTTCCATTGTATCTAGTCCAATATTGGAGTCAATTATAATAAGCGGCGAGTTACTAAAAACTTCTTCATTTTCCAAAATCTGTAACAAATACAAAGCTTTTATGGTTACAGACAGAAATAGTTTGCGGAGATTGTTGTAGCACAATATATTTCGTTTTCGCAAGAATTGTCCTATTCAGTGTTTAAAGGAAAATTAACAACATTAAGGAACACCCTGTCTCTGATGATAGTAAACTCCCTTTTGAAGCCAATATCAGAAAACATAAGCATACGCGAGTTATTTCAAAACTCGCTTTCAACCAGTACGACGCGACATTTCACATCGCGAAAATAGAGGCTCCAAATACCGTAAAATTCAGTCTGGCATAGAGAGGATACGTTTTGCGAAATTTTTGCAACCACACACTTAAAACGGTTTTACCTAAACAATTTTATTTTTACATTTTGTTGATATGATATTATGTAACCTGTCGATAGGGTGTCAAATTATAAATTACAAATTGTAACCTGTTCAACCATTTCAGTTGGTGGTCGGGAGATTTTGAGTAGATAGGAATTGAAACTTTTTGTTTAGCATAAGTGATGAAGAATAGTTGAAGAATAGCAACTTTTACGAAGAACCTACAGAGCGAATATAGAAAGCTTTGCGATTTTTAATATAAGCAAGTAAATATCCATATTTAGAAACCGCTTTCGGGGGTGGCTATTTTTGTCGTTCTATTTTCCGGGTCATCGTACTCCTTTCATAACAACGCAATTTTTAAACGGGAGAAATGCCGTAAGACATGAAAACGACTTGCGTGATGTGATATGGATCAGATACGCTTTTTTAAAATACGGCTACTTTCTGACTGATAATTCTGGTTCGAGGTGGGGTTTCGATTTAAATAATGTGCTTGTGTGCTGTAAAGCAGAACCGTACTTCCCCATTGGAAAATTATAAGCAGAAGGTTACCTATACAGTTTTCCCAAAACCTAAGAAACTTTCTTTGTACACATTTTTATAAACTACTTATTATTATCTAAACCCTTTCTCATTTTGGTCGACTTTGTATGCCTATATATAACACTAAACATTTTATAATTAATCATTTCAATTCAATTTTTATACTATTTTACTCTACCTTCTTACTCTACTCTTACTTACTCTACTCAGCGTTAAAAAAATTTAAACATCTTTTCCGTTATACTTTTCCCAGAATGAAAATTTCCGATTTTTTTTTTAATCCAAAAATGTTTGCTATTGTGCAAAACCTGGCTGGCCTTAAGCTACTAGAATTTTTGTATATAATATAAAAAATCATCTTTGATAATTTAATGCTAAACATTTTTTTTATATTATTACTTTACTTTTCAACAACATGACGTGTACATATATACATATATATATATATATATATATATATATATATATATATATATATATATATATATATATATATATATATATATATATATATATATAGGGGGTTTCTCGGAAGTTTGAAAATCTGTCATCCCTTTTTGATGATACAATTTTGTTTTATTCTTTTTTGGTTCAAAACACGGAAGAAATAAGCATAGAGAACACATTTATGTCTTATTTTTTCTGGTATTCAAAATAGAACAATTATTATATCTAGTAAAACAAATAATACTATTTATTTGTTTATTTCTTTCTAGTACTTGTCAGACAGTCGGGACAACATTAAAGTAGGACTTCAATAATAATTCACTTTTAAAATTTCGGTCAGTCTTATCTCATTGTATAGTCAGTCAGTCTTCAAAATTAACTTAAAAAATCATGTCACGAAAAACTTGCACCTAACAAACGTTGTTAATAATTTTAAATATAAAAAAAATAACCAAAACTTCGACCTTCCATTGTCTTTATTTAATTAAAGTATAATGTTTCGGACTTATGGATGGCGTCTGGATTTGATCAAAGTACTTCTTACCAGTTACTCCGTTTGGATAAAAAATGGCGGAAAGTATAGGTTTCGAATTTAGGGGAATGCCGTTATCTTAGCCACCTGACGCGCATCAATTTTCGTCTTTATTATCTAAATACCAGAGTACCATTAATAAAAACAAAATCAAATATAGAACTTAAGGCAATACGTGCTTGCTGACGTTCGCCAAACAAGTTTCACAGCCTGCGGAAGTGTCTTTGAAAAAAATGTATTGTTCCAAACCAACCAAATTTACTTCCGCAAATGTGAAAAACCTCAAAAATTACATATAATAATCAAACTAGTAACCATGTTTTCGTAGAAGCAACATATTCCAAATGGAATCGTGCTGCAACTGATAGCAAAGTGAATGATAATTAATTAAGCAATTTTAGTTGCCGCGACCTTGATCTCAAAGAACAATTTCCTAGAATATAAAAAAGTTGGTGTGTGGGATCTAGTCACGCTTAAATCACACACGAATTTACAGCTGTTTGGCATTAATCACTTTACATCTTACCCTATTTTTATGAAAATTTCAAATGGTTAAATTGATTACAGTTTCGTAAATGAATCGCATGCTAAATATTTTTTACTCAGTCTGTATATCTTGGTGAGGTTAATTAGTGGGTAGATGTAGGCCATTTGTTATACCGACCTACATCGTTATCTTGATGCTTAAAGCGGTCAATGCGTATTAAGGATCGCAACTTAGTGTTTGGAATATTTTACCAAGAATTTGCCAGTAAATTACTAATCGTTACTAGACTGTTAATAGGTATCGTATATGGCAAAATCTGTAAACTACATTATGCCACTTTTACTTACCAATTTTGGTGTAATGTTGCTGTGGACTCTCATGTCTCCCATTAAAAACAAGCACTGCCCTTCATTGTCCAAAGCAACAATACATTGTGCAGAACTATGATTGTCCTGAATTGCCACATGCTTCAGCGACTTTTTGGGAATTGTAGCTGTCAACATACGACCTTAAAAAATAAAGAGAGGAAGTTGTGGTCACCCGGGCATTCGCAATATATTAAATAGTATCAGCATTCTTACCTTGATGATCGTCGCCGACAGCTGATATGAAGTTCGTGTTGCATCCCAACTTTTCGAGAGCTTCGCAAATATTCCTTCCGACTCCGCCAGGCGTGTATGTAAATTTTCCAAAATGAATTCGGCCATCTGTCTACGAGAGAAATATCCTGCAGCGAATATGGTTTGAAATATTTTTTTTTTTTCGGAAACACAATTCAAGAATTATATTCTAATTCCTAATGAGCAAGATCACGCCAAGTGTGCCCCCCCCCATTTACTACTTGATCATAAAAATATGGCAAATTGATCCCCCAAACGATTTTTAAAAAATTTGATGTTAACATTTTTTTTATAATGAAAATTTTAAGCACTTTTAATTAAAAAATGGATTAAAAATCAACCGTAAGAGATAAATTTATGATTTCCTGACAAAAAAAAACATGTTTTTTTATGGGTCAAATGCTTTACTCATTTAAGTTTAAGATTTCGGAAGGAAATTTCACTGCTCGTCCTTAGTTTAAACAAAATGAATTTATTTATGATAGCGCGCCGGGCGCCGAATGCTGTGGAAGCGCTGCGCTGCCGAGCGTCTCGAACTGCATTGAAGGTTTTATCAGTGATAATTTAAAATACTAATACAAAATATTACTACAAAACAAATTTTATTATTATTTATGTTATTTCATTATAATTATTATTAATAAAAGTTTAGTTAGTTTAACAATGTTATAAAGAATACTATCAATTTTTTAAATTAATTTTACCAAATAACGTAAATTTAGAAAAAAATAATCAACTTTAAGTTTTCAAAACTGTTATGGTCTATATTTATTTTTTCTAGGTAATTTAGTTAATTATTATTTTTAAATTTACTTTTTTTTTTAATTTACCTTTTTTTAAATAATTATTTCATGCTTTGCGTAAAAACTTATGTGACGAATAGACTTCTAAAATGATTTTGTTATTTACTCGGATACGCGAAAAACAAATAAAAATCGTAACAGAGCGGTTTTTCTTTTGCTAACTAAAGATGGAGTGTTGACTAGTAAATTTAAAAATTTCAAAATAATAATTAATTAGAAAGAATAAATATAGACCATAACAGTTTTAAAAATTTCAAGTTGATTATTTTTTTCTAAATTTATGCTGCAAAAATAATAATAAAATTGGATAATATTCTTTATAACATTGTTAAAAAAAATAAAATAGTATTAATAATAAATATCCACAGCGCTCGGCGCCCGGCGCGCTGTCATACATAAATTCATTTTATTTAAACTAATGACGAGCAGCGAAATTTTCTTCCGGAATCTTAAACTTAAATGGATAAAGCATGTGACCGATAAAAAAAATTGTTTTTTTTTACCAAGAAATCAGTTAAATTTTCATTTGTTAACTTAAAAGTTAGTTAACAATACGAAAATAAACAAATAAGTTTAAGTCGTTAATATATTCTTATTTGACATTTGACCATGGATGCTGAACCTTTCATAAATTTATCTCATACGGTTGATTTTTAATCCATTTTTTAATTAAAAGTGCTTAAAATTTTCATTATAATTTTTTTTTTGTTAAAATCAAAATTTTAAAAAATCGTTTGGGGGATCAATTTGCCATCATACTACTTATAAAATATATATATATATATATATATATATATATATATATATATATATATATATATATATATATATATATATATATATATATATATATATATATATATATATATATATATATATATATATATATATATATATATATATATATATATATATATATATAGATTAAATTTTTATGATCAAGTGGTAAATGGGGGGTCCAATTGACGTGATCTTGCTCTAACATAACAATCCATTCCTGTGTTAATTATAATATTATAATTGTATAATAAAAATAATTATTTTTCTAGTAAATGAAAATAGGATATCGAAAAGGGTATATAATTCATATTCCATTGTTACTTATCTATTATTATGCATATATTTACTTTCAGGCTACGCTATAGTGGTGCGGTGTAACTGCACCAGATCGAATTACATTTTTAATGCAAGAAAAAGCACTATAATACTATTTACAAATCCGCTGTATTCTTCCTGCATCGAACTTGCTGATGTTTCGCCAATCATCCCCCTGTCTTCTTCAGAGCTTAAATGAAACTGAATCAGTTTCTTTGATTGGCGAAATGTCAGCAAGTTCAATTTATCAACAACCAACGCATTAATACTATATATTAATATCTATATCTATATATACCAATGATAAAGTTTCTTATTCAGTTTACCAGTATTTAAGGTGTATCTATTGTTTTAATAGGTCAATTTTGTTCATGTTTTTTATCAATATTTATTTTCATTTTATTTATTAGTTGCCTTGGTTGGTTGTTTAGGAACCAGTGACAGCGACTGTTTAATTAATGGGCGACTGAAACAGTTTATCTATGTGTTGGTAAACTATAACTTATTGAGTGACGTGCGACGTGGTCATCAAAACTGACTCAACGTGAAAATGCTGTCAGTTTGTTGATATATCTATCTGATGAGGTAAAATGCCTATGTGCACCTGTTAATTGTGATATTACTTTCGCACTTTGTCATTTATATACAAAAATCAACAAAGGTTACCTATTACAGGGTCGTTAGCCGTTCTATAAATGAGAACCAGCGGATCTGTTATGATCACTTCTTTGATTAGACTCCACGGCATCGATAGTGGTGTAGATTGCTGTTTTCAGTATTGGTTATATACAGCTGATGGAAACGCACTCTGTGTGGTCGTTTCCTATTTCTCTTGGCAGAACCTGTATTCAATGCTTTCTTCCACTTGCATTAGCCTTAGATGCTCTTTTGCCAGCACTGTGTTGTACTGTCTTTCTTGACTTGTGTTTCTCGTGGTGTGCTTGTACACCGTTATCGGGACTTTTTATATCCATTTTTTGAAACCCGACTCTGCAATTGTCCAATTATGCATCTTGATTACCCTTTGCGTGAAATTGTTTTTGTTACCTTGGGGGCCTTCGGCACCTTCTGGTAACAATGAAACTGATCTATGCCTGTGACAATCTAACAAAAATATATTAGGCAGACATATGTATTAGTTACAATATAATAGATAGATAGATAATGAATCATTGTCTACCACCTTCAAGCAAACCGTTTATGTTTTTGAGCCTTCTTCGGAAAAATAAAAGTTTTTGCCTTGGTGCAACCGTAATACAAAAGATGTATGTGCAGTAGTAGTAATAGTGGTAGATGCCAAATTGTAATTTTTTTTCAAATTTAATTTTCGAAAAACATCCTGAAAACTCTAAAACAGTAACGCATATCCATATGCGTTTTTTATGTACTTTAAAAGTTTGGCCCATCCGGTACAAATGTGTAGTGCCAGTGAAATTTAAAAATATAATTTAGACAAAAGCATGTCTTTTCTTTCTCTTTCCTTAACTACTTAGTTTTCAACAATAATAAATATCATAATAATAATAAAATCAAAGCTCAACTAAAAATTAAATAATTTAAGTACGATACAGCGTGCCTAACCAAAACCAACGATGAAAGTAAATTTCAATTATCCTTCCAGTAGGGTCCTAATCAATAGAAAAACAATTTTTTTCTTCTTTAAGCATCGAATAATGTGACTAACCGCGCATGCATCAATATAAAGCGAAGCGCTGAGAGAGAAATTAACTTTGGATATGAAAAAATAAACAAAAAAAAGGTTTCGAAGAATATTCGTGAAGCCTACCGGAGCGAAACATTTTGTCAATCGCAAAGCAACGCAGGCAGCGTGGTGGGGGCGTTTTCCTATTCCTTGTACGCGGCGTCGCGACGCCGTCAGTCCGCTTGTCTACGTCGCAACTTAAACGTCGGTCATAATAAACCGTGTATCGCCGGAATTTGGTTGAATTTGATGGTTGCGGTGGTGTAATGGCCGAAAAAGTGGACGAAGATGCTCCCGTATGTCACGCGTTTTTCCAATTGAAAGAACCCGGCAGCGACCGCTGGCGGTTAAGGGGCGTCTGTTGACTGTTTTCTTGTGTTTACGCCCCGGTTTAACCAGATTTCGCCATTTAACAGTGATTTACTGTGACCTTGTCAGTCGAGTACGTAGATGAAACAACTTCTCTAGGTGTTTTCACAGTTTCCGTGTCTTTTTTCTTTTAGTAGAATAATTGCATGCAAATATTAAAAATTGCTGCACGGCAATGTTTTCTTTTTTGGCTAAGAATGTAAAATGTAAATTGGCTAATTCGCTTTCAAATGCCGGTATTTAGTTAGTAAGTATTTAATTCCCTTTAGTTGCGTTCTAAAACTTCACATAAAGTAATGAAATTTGTAATGTTTGAAAATTATTTATGTGTTTGTGTAATCAGCTGATTGTATTTGTATACTAACGACGGTCGGAACTTGTGAGAATAAACGAATGAAATTTTCAATAGTGTACATTGTATTTTTCCAGGAAATTGGTTAAAAATACAGGAATTATTATGATGCAATAAAGGATATGACTAAGCAAGAACGTTTTTAAACTAATCAATTAAAAAGAAAACCTGTTCTTCTTTCTGCTGCAAAAAATTTGGCGGTAGTAATCACTGTAATGAATGATATACAATATTTTTTATTAGTCACTCTTCAGGCAGGTCAGTACGCATAATTTCCTTTTAGATTACAGGAGGAGAGCAGACCTATTCGATAGCGATTGATAGTTAAATGGCAAAACTGTTAGGAACAAAAAATGTAGTTTGTAGCTTTAGTTATTATAAATCGCCTTAATTCTCCAAAAGAGAGATATAATATCCTCATAGTTTAAAATAGAAACAATTTCTTATTCCGTATATTGTCATAGGTGTTAAGCAATTTGGTGCTTAGGCATTTACTTTGGCTATCTATTGTTTCGATTTTTGGCGTTAAATTCCTGGGAAAATGATTGCATTCCCAATATTGCTCTATACATACGACAGACTCACACCATGGTTTCGACTCAAATTCGAGTCATACTTTAAACTAAAGAAATAATTGTTCTTAAAAATTTTAACAATGTTCACTTAGTTTGAGAACAGTATAATGAGACTTTTAGATCATTGGGTATGTTTTAATTAATAGATAAACTAAAACCTCTTTATTAATTTTTTTTAAAATTATATTAACAGAATTTGTTGGTTTATTGAAAAGTTCATTTAAACGCTTATTTTTCGTATACTGGAACATGTCAATAATGTACTTCATCTCATCAGTTACGAACACAGAAAAAATCCTGAAATCCTGGAGAAAATTGACCTATTAAAATAAATGAACCAATAGAATTGGAAATGGAGTTGTTATTGAGAAAGTTTCGGTGTGTTTTCGTTTAATGCCAACCCTAGAATTTATTTGCTGGAACATTTACATATCTTTAATTGGTGCTATCAATTTGCATATAGCAATGGTTAATAAAATTTGAAGAAACTCTAATGAATGTCCGCAAGACATGAGATTAAATATTAAACTAAGTTTTGATGTTTGATTATTTGGTACAAAATCACACACACTTTTTCTCCCAACTCTCATTAATTTAATGTTACATATTTATTTATAAATTTTCACAATTATATTTACAGACTTGTGGGGATACTTTTCTATATATTCTAATAAATCCAGTAACACTTCCTTTGGTTAGTTCTCTAATTTCTACTTTTATAAATTAAGAGATAGGACATGTTTTACAAATGTATTTCTCTACACCTAGCGCCGTCTATAGCAGTATTGAAACGAGTTATATATTCCGATTTCTTTTTTTTATGTCAATTTTTATAGCAATAATTATAGCAATTAAAAAAAAACTGTTACACCCTGTTTCTCGTATCTATACTAACAACATTTCAATAAGTTCGTTATATATGCAGTACCTCCAGTTTCTGGAATTCCCGTTCGTTTTCAAACAAGGGATTAAAAATCACTTTCATATTAACACTGCTCTGCAGTTTTTATTATTAAGAAAGAACTCCGTTCTATAGATATAATTGTGATACTATTTGACCAAGTGTCAAATTCAAGTGTGGAAAATTTATTATGGAAGTTTCTAGTAAATGAAACTGCATTAGGTGGATAATGGATAAAGTTCCCGGAAGTACTTACGACACGTAATAGATATTAATTTTAATGAGCTACCGACAAGTAATTCGAACATATAACTGGTGTTAAGTGATTTTATTTACTTTTAATGAATTATTGCACATAGCGTGTAGCGTCACATATTAAGTAAATTCTAAAATAGAATTTTTTCTATTTTAGGATTGATCAATTACGCAATAATAAACAACTATTTTGTTAACATGTGTTAGACACACAAATACACCGTATCTAAAACGAATCGATTTAGAGAAAAGGGTATTTGAAGTCAAAACAAATTTAAGTCGAAAAAGACCCCACTTTACCCTGCATAACAATTAACGAAAATTTTTATGCTGGGCATAGTCACCTAGTGAGGTCTGGCTAAGGTGTTGTTCTCAATGTTTAGTACTCCTTTGGCACTATTATGTTGTAAACATCTTGCTATTAATAAAGGAGGTACTTGCTTTGTTTCAAAAATGATACTATGAAAACAGATTTTTTCTCCACATCATAAACACAAATTTGCCAATTTTGGCGATGCTTCGTTGTTTGTTGTAATAGGAGGCAGGTGGCTAATTCAGACCTACTTATACCTACACTGCTTTTCCGAAACTCCTTAACTGCTTAGAAATCGTAGTATTATTTTCTTTGTAAAGTAACAAAAAAAAATTAATGGGCCGCTTTTTATATCTATTATCACCGTTTATAAGTTAATATCATATAACAATAAATAGCAATAATAATAGTAAAAGAAAAATTACATAACTTAATCTAGTGATTTGCCTATTGCTATGTCTTGTTAATGAAATTAATGCGCATTGCTTAATTCTGTTTGTTTCTTCATGGCTAGCTGGAGAAAAAGTTAATTGAGCTCATAAAAAAAGAATAACAAACTTCTTGAATAAAACGGCAATCGATTGGAGACTAAATGTTAAATATTAAAAATAAGTAGGGAAATTTATGGAACTAAATCGAAAACTATAGCAGTGGCAATAGTGCCAACTTGAGTTTGTACACAGTGTATAAACTGGTCACAGGGTTGATCACCTTCAATACATTTTTATTAGGATGGGCGTTAGGCAATTCTTGGCGTTAATAATTAGCTCGATGTTATATTTTATTTTAAATTAATTCCAGGCAGTTGTTAGTTCCGAACAAAATCTTTCTACTCGCACTGCACAATGGGTAAAATCGTAAGACAACTCCAGTCCTGTCCTTTATAGAGAGGACATCTTGATTTCCTCCTGAGGCACCTTTCGGTATCCCTCTGTCTCCTGCTTCCAGTTTTCCAGTTCTTACAATCTAAGGGCTGCCGACTGAAAATCGAGCTTTACTAATAAGTGTAAAACTCACGCCGTAGGAGGACTTTTATGGATGCAGTTGTGGTGGGTTTCAAGGAGCCGATCAGAATTAGACAGTCCAAATTTTGTAGTCGCCTTAATATTGTGTCTGTATTGTGTAATAAGTTTATATTGGAAAGTGGTCACTTTCCTCCATGACAACTGAAAATATTTTAAATGGAAAGATAGAAAGGAACTATTATAAACTATCAGAATTGAAATTCAAAAATTGTTTTATAGTATGGGTTCTGCTTAGTCTTCATCTGAATGAAATGTTAATAATTTCCGATTTCTATACACCCACCTTAATTCCGACACCCTAAGCTTATTATATATTCGCAAAGCAAACAAAATTGCCTTCCTACTAATCCGACGGAGTGTTGTTTCAAACGACGCCCTGACGCCGACACTTTCATGCCTAATATAGGCTGGAGAAGAGCCTTGTCAGTTTACGTTTACTTAATCATTTATCATGTCTTAAAATCAATTACTAAAGGTACTTTAATTACAAAAGCCTTCGGAATATCGAGCTTGATTTATATTTTAAGATGTTGCTGGAGTGCCGCTGCCACCTTGCCACGATGTTAGTTTTGTGAGGCCATATTATTTCGTGATTACATCAATCGTAAATTGTAACGAAAATGGTTTCGTTTTAGCAATCGGTTGTTATTCGATTAATTGGATCCTGCTTTATGCGCTACGGTTTACAGTTTATTATCCTATTTGTAAAATCAAAAATTTCCATTTAGATTCGGAATTCTTTATATCTTTTCAAATCTTTTAATTGCAATAAAGTGCAGGAAAATAATTTATAAGAATAGGATTCTGAGGATTTTTTAGATACACCCGAAGGAATAAGCGTCTTTTTAATTCATTCGTATTATTAGGTTTCTGTCTTTTTCTTTTCGATTAAAATATCAAAATTATACCGTATAATTTAAATTTGGATGACAATATCAAAGACCCTGTTATTATTGCGAACTGCACCCTCTACAATGGATACGGTATTTGAAAACACTCTTTCTGAATTTGTCTTTAAATAAGGCCCGTTCTTATTGAGCCAAGGAAGCTCAGACAAAACTCACACCTGAGTTTCTAATAATGTTACTAAAGTTATTACGTAGATTTAAAACCAGAAATGGATCGGAATGCCAAGTTTACTAAAAATATCCCAAATTTAACATTATGACGGCGAGATCTTGCTCGCATCACGGTAACTACACAGGAAATTACCAAGCACAAACTCACTGTGTCTATATAAATAGCAAATAGGCAGTTCTGGCTCTGCTAAGACTACGTATCACAACAGAACTGGAACCATGCCTTTGTCGACGCATCAGTCCTCCTTAGTTGGACGAATGCGTATTCTATGGGAAGTTGAGTTTCTGGCCAGGAGGGCTGTCAGATTAGGAACACTTCCCAAACCAAATAGTACCCATAGAATATCCGGTAAGAAAAAGAAGAAATTAGGTACGTATGGCTATTCCAACATATCATTGCTTGCGAATAGTGTGTAGAGTGTGCGAATAGGAAGACGATACAATAATTTGGCAATCAGAAAGACGACTCTTTGAGTTTTCATTGCCTATGTGAAATCAGGGTTGATGTAGGGCTGAGGGTTCTGTTTTGGAGGATGCATAACAGACCTTCCGAGGCCTAAGTGCAGACAACCC